AAGTGTCCTGATTAGGAGGGGGTGAGAGGTAAGTGTCCTGATTAGGAGGGGGTGAGAGGTGTACATAAAATAATGATAAAGTAACAGATCACCATATTATTGCTCTATAAGGTCGATGACATGTCAGGGCTGCCATGATAATGAAGGGGTTAATGATGTTAGTAATTAGCAGAGCATGTTACCTTCACATCCTGTGCTCCTCTTTCCTGCAGTAAATGATCCTGTATTGGGAGGGTATTTCAATCCTGTCTTTTTGGAGGGGTGGGATTTGTTAAACCAGTGGGTTGGGCTTGATGTTAACCCTTTCCTCTCTCTCTCCCTTGCAGGTGACGATGCTGGCTTTGAGACTGACGTCTATAATAACACTGCCATTAACACCCCCCACCTGCGACAGCTGGCTCAGAAAAGCCTGATCTTCAAAAACGCCTTCACCTCTGTCAGCAGCTGCTCTCCCAGCCGGTCTGCAATACTGACCGGCCTGCCACAGGTACTGCTGCATGTATCGAAAGCTCTGCCCTGATGGATGTAGTATTCATAAGCTGTCAGATGGCAGTTCGGGGGTATCCCTGCCTTCAATGATTGCTTCCCCTTCTGTGCCATGTGAATAGTACACACAGTGCGGCAGCACCTTTCATGTTCAGCCCATCACCTTTGTGAAGTGGACTGGGTCCAGGAGAACAGTGTGGTTCTGACAGCCCTAGGCGGGACTGGAAACTCTGCAAACTAGCTGGCGATTCAGTGGAATTGTAGAGACTAGAAAAACTAATTTAAAATTTTACACAAAACTAGCTGATTTTGTAAATTCTCCAAATCAGCTTAAGTCTGAGCTTCACTAGTTTTACCTAAATTTTGCGATTCAGTTGGTCTAGAAATAATCCCACCAGATTAAGTTACTTTCTGACTGTGCCACATCGCTTTATGTCCTTATGATGAAAGTGACCAGTTCGCTGATCCTTGCAAGATTACATAAAGTGATCCTTGGAGCGAATTCATACAGCTCGGCATGGCTCAATGTGTCTGTTTTTTAAATCAATCAACAGTTTTCTATTTCTGTCTTATAGACACGTTATAGTCACTTTTAGCATGTTGGTGTTTTTTTTTAGGATTTTATTTAAAGTTCCCAGTGTGTTCTATACACCCCAAATCAGATAGATGATTTAACCAAGGACTATTTATTCCATACAGAATTAACTAAACAAGAAACTGGGGAATTGGCAAGGAAATTGCCAATCTGATGCCAAAGTATCAGAATTAAAGAAAACCAAACACCCAATCTATTTTTCCAGTTTGGCTATTTTGGTCTGCAGTTCGTCATAATTCCCATTATATTAAACTGAACTTGTATTCTCAGCCCAGCGCTCTGTACTCCAGAACCAGATCTTTGCAGAATGTCTGTTAGTGATGGGCAAGGAATACGAAGACCAGATTTCATTTCTTTGGAGAAATACATTTTAAAACCTTGCTACAAAGTTTGTACCTTGCATGAGCATTGATGTATTCTATGGTTATATTCCTACTTGCATCCAAGGGGTTAAAACTGTAAGTTAAAAAAAGTTTTAAAAAGTTCTGTATTTGGTATAATGGGCCAATAGTGTGATTTCGCAATCCGTGGTCCCCTGACCTTCTCTGCTCGCTCGCTGTAAAACCACAATCATGCTCTAAATAGGATCATGTTATTCATAAGATGTGCTTACATTTCGCAATCGCTATAGATTTCCGGCTAATGCCGCTGGTCGAAGACTTGGCCGTGATATCAGATCTTAACAGTGAAACAGATTGGTCGCTATCGCAGTTCTGTGGTTGCATGAATTGTCTTCTGAGATCTGATAAATAGCCACAAGATTGATTCCTTCCTGTAACAAGCAGTTATTAGAAGCTTTCATGCACACATGCAGCGTTATTTACTAAAAAGAGAATTTAAAGTAAATTTCACATTTAAGGCCAGAGTAGCAAACATGAAAGCAAAGCTGACTTCCAGTTCAACAACCCTGACAGTCTAATTCAATTCGCAAATCCAAGAAAGTTTGGGAGAGACACCCATGCTGAGCAAAAAAAAAATCGACAGAGTTATTCACAGAACTAAATTTATTAAAACTGGGGCCTAAATAGCCACGATCTGACTATGGCTCAGGTGGAGAATGTTTCCTGATCTGAATTTTTTTTTTTTTGCCTCCGTTTTGTCATTTAGAAGTAAGTCACAAAGTTCAGAGTTTTGTGTAAAACCCTGAAAGAATCACCTCTGTTTATAGACTGTGTCCCTCTTAATGGAACCATTGAATCACCATAACCATTAAAGCGGGCAGTACTGGTTATGGTGCCATTAATGCCCTGTCAATCCACCACCATAAATATATAAGTAGTGCCCTTGGTGCCTGTCTCTTTGCGGTCTCTTTAGCTGAGAGTGTCAGTTGATCTCTCTCCAGCAACAGCTAAGCCCTGTACTTAGGTAGTGGTACCCAGAGGCCTCCTGGTGAGAGGTCAGACTATTACCAAATGGTATGACTTCTAACAAGCCTGAAAAAGGTTTGACTACTTATATTGGGCAGACACCAGAGGGCTGTAGTGATTATGGTACTTGGTGTATAACTTTAAAACCGAGAGGAAGAAAGCAGGAGTTGATTGGGAATGTGGAATATCACTGAGAGCTCATTTAATAATTGGATGCAGGAGTCAGGAAACAAGTGTTATAAAATCAGGACTGTTCCTCCAGGTTTAGAACTATTGGCAGGTATGAAGTTTGACATAGACTCCATGGACCATTTAAACCTTTACTGTTCCTCTTGCATAGGAACCTGCTATCGCTTTATCCCTCCATGTCTCTACAGCATCAAAATGGCATGTACGGCCTGCACCAGGATATGCACCACTTTAACTCGTTTGATGACGTGAGGAGTTTACCCGGGCTGCTCAGACAGGCTGGCATCCGCACAGGTACCGACTATCCCTCTGGTGATAACGCCACATCATTCTTTGTCAAGGCAGCGTTATCTGATTGGCGTTACAGTGCAATCTAGGCCATCAGTATGAAGTAAATTCTAGTGCAAAGTGGAAAACTTCTCTGTCGATTTTCTGCAGACATAGCATTATATTTTATAACAGGACCATATATTCTGCTTAACTTGTGGTGCTGCAGACATTCTGTGAAATTAGGGGATTGGAAGACATGTTTCCACTCCCCATTGTGTTCTGATTATTCTGTGGTTTCACTGTAGGAATTATTGGGAAGAAACACGTGGGTCCAGAATCAGTTTATCCGTTCGACTTCGCGTACACGGAGGAGAACAGTTCGGTCCTACAGGTTGGGCGAAACATCACGCGGATCAAGTTGTTGGTCCGGAAATTTCTGAATAGCAAGGACCAAAGGTATGAAATAGATGTCTTTTCAATGTTCTTTATTTTATTTCTATATGGTTGTACATCTCCAGATCTCAGGGTATCTTCTCACAGAGTGCAGTGTGTCTCCCGGCTTCTAATATTCCCTGTGTTACAGAGCTAGTGTGTCTCCCGGCTTCTAATATACCCTGGGTTACAGAGTGCAGTGTGTCTCCCGGCTTCTAATATACCCTGGGTTACAGAGTGCAGTGTGTCTCCCGGCTTCTAATATACTCTGTGTTACAGAGTGCGGTGTGTCTCCCGGCTTCTAATATTCCCTGTGTTACAGAGTGCAGTGTGTCTCCCGGCTTCTAATATTCCCTGTGTTACAGAATGCAGTGTGTCTCCCGGCTTCTAATATTCCCTGTGTTACAGAGTGCAGTGTGTCTCCCGGCTTCTAATATTCCCTGTGTTACAGAGTGCAGTGTGTCTCCAGGCTTCCAATATTCCCTGTATCACAGAGTGCAGTGTGTCTCCCGGCTTCTAATATTCCCTGCAGTGTTACAGAATGCAGTGTGTCTCCCGGCTTCTAATATTCCCTGTGTTACAGAGTGCAGTGTGTCTCCCGGCTTCTAATATTCCCTGTGTTACAGAGTGCAGTGTGTCTCCAGGCTTCCAATATTCCCTGTATCACAGAGTGCAGTGTGTCTCCCGGCTTCTAATATTCCCTGTGTTACAGAGTGCAGTGTGTCTCCCGGCTTCTCATATTCCCTGTGTTACAGAGTGCAGTGTGTCTCCCGGCTTCTAATATTCCCTGTGTTACAGAGTGCAGTGTGTCTCCCGGCTTCTAATATTCCCTGTATTACAGAGTGCAGTGTGTCTCCCGGCTTCTAATATTCCCTGTGTTACAGAGTGCAGTGTGTCTCCCGGCTTCTAATATTCCCTGTATTACAGAGTGCAGTGTGTCTCCCGGCTTCTAATATTCCCTGTATTACAGAGTGCAGTGTGTCTCCCGGCTTCTAATATTCCCTGTGTTACAGAATGCAGTGTGTCTCCCGGCTTCTAATATTCCCTGTATTACAGAGTGCAGTGTGTCTCCCGGCTTCTAATATTCCCTGTATTACAGAGTGCAGTGTGTCTCCCGGCTTCTAATATTCCCTGTGTTACAGAGTGCAGTGTGTCTCCCGGCTTCTAATATTCCCTGTGTTACAGAGTGCAGTGTGTCTCCCGGCTTCTAATATTCCCTGTGTTACAGAGTGCAGTGTGTCTCCCGGCTTCTAATATTCCCTGTGTTACAGAATGCAGTGTGTCTCCCGGCTTCTAATATTCCCTGTGTTACAGAGTGCAGTGTGTCTCCCGGCTTCTAATATTCCCTGTGTTACAGAGTGCAGTGTGTCTCCCGGCTTCGAATATTCCATGTATTACAGAGTGCAGTGTGTCTCCCGGCTTCTAATATTCCCTGTGTTACAGAGTGCAGTGTGTCTCCCGGCTTCTAATATTCCCTGTGTTACAGAGTGCAGTGTGTCTCCCGGCTTCTAATATTCCCTGTGTTACAGAGTGCAGTGTGTCTCCCGGCTTCTAATATTCCCTGTGTTACAGAGTGCAGTGTGTCTCCCGGCTTCTAATATTCCCTGTGTTACAGAGTGCAGTGTTTCTCCCGGCTTCTAATATTCCCTGTGTTACAGAGTGCTGTGTGTCTCCCGGCTTCTAATATTCCCTGGGTTACAGAGTGCAGGACAGATTTATAGCTACAGTCCTACAGACTCGATATCCTGCAAGGCCGACACATTTATTGCAATGCATAATGGTGCTTCTATAACAGTTGAGGCCATTGATTACATCCAGTATTTAATATCTGACTAATGCTTTATGTATTAATATCGCTAAATATCTCCCAGGTCCGTCCTTTCCTTTAACCTCTGACAATTAGTCCTTTTTTATTATTTGTTCCTGTTTCCATCCATACTCTTGCTCCCCTCCTGGGAGAGGAGGGGATTTGTTTTGTTTTTTCCCCTAAATTATTCTGTCTAGATGTTTTGAGGACAATTAGAAGCTTAAAAATTATTCATTTAAGGGCCATCTACTGCCCAAATATGAAAATAAAATAAGAATCACTATTTATTAGATAGGCCACCAATGAAAACCTGCATGCATTTAATTGTGAATTCTTTCACTGGGTCTATGTAAAAGCAAATGCAAAAGTTGCAGATCTTTTGTCTGCAGCTTTTGCAGGTCCTCCCCTTCTAACCCCGCCCAGATGTTCTGTGGCTGTCCAATCACAGACTTCCCAATGCAGCTCAATGAGAAGTCTTTGCAAGGCAGGTACTCTGAGCAATTGCTGCCTCTTGAGTTCAGCTCCACTAAGTTAACCAAACCAGGAAGTAATATGACCTGTTGTTATCTGTTTGATAGCCGAGGGGTGTAACAAGGTTAGTTTACAACAGTGTAAATTTCTATTGAAATCTGCTCTTTTTGTAAAATGAAAAAAAAGGACAAACATTTCACACATAAAGCATTTCAACAAGGTAAAATGCTTTAGGAGTATGGAGTGTCCTTTTAAATATGTGTTTGTTTTGGGCGGTGGGGTTTATTTTTTACACTGAATTGCAATATGGCTTTCAAGTCACAACAGATCGTGAATTAAAACCCAACATGTTTTATAAATATTTGAATATTTATTGGAGGGAGTTTGGTACATTTTTCTGATTCAATCTATAAAGCCAAATCTGTTTCTACCATTTATTTGAGGCAGATTTGATCATTTTGTTTAGTCCATGCTACAGATTCTGTCTCTCGTTCTGTCGTTCCAGGCCCTTCTTCCTATACGTTGCGTTTCATGACCCTCATCGATGTGGACACTCCCAGCCTCAGTACGGCGCCTTCTGCGAGAAGTTTGGAAATGGAGATGTTGGTATGGGACGGATCCCAGACTGGACCCCACAGTACTATACCCCCGAACAAGTTCAGGTTAGAAGTCGCATTCTTTGTGATGGTTAAAGAGGCTGTGGGACTTGGTTTATAGAATCAGTAATTAACGGCTTACGTATTTACACGCGTAGAATGCTAATTTTGGAGATGAAACTCCAGAAGGCAATAAGGCACAATATCTTATTTCCAGTTGTTGTATTTTTTAAAATTTGTTGCATATTTCTGCCTCTCCCTGTAATGTGTTATGAATGATGAGATATTTGGGGAGATCTGTAAACCAGCAAATACGTATCATTTATTGATGGATGAAGATGGGATGAGGTTTAACCCCTTAAGGACACATGACAAATCTGACATGTCATGATTCCCTTTTATTCCAGAAGTTTGGTCCTTAAGGGGTTAATTCTATTTTTATTTTATTTTTTCACTAGAGTTGGTGATCACCAGTGGTTTTCCCTTATTTTTCCTTTTTTCTTTTTACTCCTATTTTTTTTTCTTTCCTTTGTTCTCAGTTGTTTTGTTTTTCACCTGACTTATCTTAGCTCAATATTTACTAAATAGGAATCTTGAGATTCTGCACCCCTTGCTCTCTCTCGATTGTTATTCTTTATATACTGTTTTTTTTTATTTTTTTTATTGTAGCTTCCTTATTTTATCCCCGACACACCCAGTGCCCGAGCAGATGTGGCTGCGCAATACACCACGATTGGCCGAATGGACCAAGGTAAGGGGAAAATTGAGAAGGTAATTCAAAATTTAAAATTACACTATTGTGTCAGGAATACAAATGTGTATTCCTGACACAATAGATCTAAATACCCATTTAGCCCCCAGCACCCCTTACCTCCGGTTAAAATGTGATTTAATCCTTGGCTGAGATTATCAAACTTGATGATATCAGCCAATCCAATGCTTTCTTATAGGATAACATTGGTAGGCTAATGCAAATGTGCAGCAAAATGCCGCTCTGCGCAAATCAGCATCTCCTCATAGAGATCAGTCGACTCATTGCATCTCTATGGGGAAAGTTCAGTGCCTCCAAGCATTTCATGTTGTGTTTGGTTCCAGAGCCCAGACCCTGGCACGTATCTGCACGGCTCTGTCTGACTCTGGGAAAGGATATGTGACCAAGTCACGGGTCATGGAACATCTCACTACAAAGCTCGCATTCTTAATCCGGATTTTGGATTTGTGCCTGTACACCCTGCAACAAGAGATTAAAAAAAAAAAAAAAATCCCACAAAAAATTAACCCCTTTAGTGTCCTGGTTTATTGTGATTTAAAAAGCCCGTGGTACATTCTGTATTGCAAGGTTGGTAAACACTATAGAAGAAAAGTAAGCGTCCATCTCTTAGTCTATTTGTTTATAAAAACGTGGAAAGGTGCCGAAACTCCTGTTTCATCAAACCAATAGGTTATAATATATACAAATGTTATAAAATAACTGCCCAGCACTGGCATTTAGACCACGCGGGGTCTTTGTCAAGTCTATCACCAGCTGCCAGGGAAATCATACTAATCACTGCGGCCACCAGAGAAAGGCAGAGAGGAGGCAGCGGTGTCGGACGCCGGACCAAAAGAGACATTGTTTCATGTCTCCCGCTCTCTGTCTGCTCTCTGAGCTGACTGCCAGGTGTAAAGGGCGGAGCTTATAAAACAATGATTGACAGGGAGCTAAAATGGAGGTGGCTCTCTCTATACTGACTGCCAGGTGTAAAGGGCGGAGCTTATAACAATGATTGACAGGGAGCTAAGATGGAGGCGGCTCTCTCTATACTGACTGCCAGGTGTAAAGGGCGGAGCTTATAACAATGATTGACAGGGAGCTAAGATGGAGGTGGCTCTCTCTGTACTGACTGCCAGGTGTAAAGGGCGGAGCTTATAACAATGATTGACAGGGAGCTAAGATGGAGGTGGCTCTCTCTATACTGACTGCCAGGTGTAAAGGGCGGAGCTTATAACAATGATTGACAGGGAGCTAAGATGGAGGCGGCTCTCTCTATACTGACTGCCAGGTGTAAAGGGCGGAGCTTATAGCAATGACTGACAGGGAGCCAAGATGGAGGTGGCTTTCTCTATACTGACTGCCAGGTGTAAAGGGCGGAGCTTATAACAATGATTGACAGGGAGCTAAGATGGAGGTGGCTCTCTCTATACTGACTGCCAGGTGTAAAGGGCGGAGCTTATAACAATGATTGACAGGGAGCTAAGATGGAGGTGGCTCTCTCTATACTGACTGCCAGGTGTAAAGGGCGGAGCTTATAACAATGATTGACAGGGAGCTAAGATGGAGGTGGCTCTCTCTATACTGACTGCCAGGTGTAAAGGGCGGAGCTTATAACAATGATTGACAGGGAGCTAAGATGGAGGTGGCTCTCTCTATACTGACTGCCAGGTGTAAAGGGCGGAGCTTATAACAATGATTGACAGGGAGCTAAGATGGAGGCGCCCAGTTGCAGGATAAAGAGATGTGATTTTCTACTTTTTAATCTATTATTCATTTTTTTTACACCTCTAAAAATACATATCTGGTCACAATATGGGACAAAGCCCTTTGCAAACAGTTTCACAACTTACTTGGGGTCTGCCAGGAATCCGTCACCTGGTCGTCTGGAGCCCAAAAGCTCCCTCAAGTATCCTTCATCAGCTCCTGTGAGGTGAGCCCTGCATTGCTGGCCTGGCTCGTTGGCTTCTGTCATTGTCAGCTGAGTTCTTCCACCAATGAGATAAGACCTGCACTGCGGGGCGTAGCTCAGTACTGCGTAGGAGGTGAGGACCAGTGCCTGGCAGACCTCAGGTACGTTGTTAAACCTTTCGCAAATGGTTTTACTACTTACCCTGGTATGGTGCCAGGGAACTCACGACAGCACTCTGCAGCAGTTATGGTGCTTGGAGTGCAAAGTGGTAGTATGATGGTGTATCCATAACGCCTGATCATTTGACTCAGTTGCTTAGTAACCATGTAAACATTCACATTATAAACAAAGTACAAAATGCCAGATATTTATCACAACCCGTGAAGTGATTCATTTTCCATCCGCGCCTGTTCATCTGTGGTAATAGTGGAAGTTAGTTTTATTCCGCTAATGACCATATTACATAAAATATATCTGCTTTTGTAGAAGTATATTTTTGTTTTTTGCTATGTTAGAATTTTGTGGATATACCCTCCAGTAAACGCTTTATTACCATTATGACTCTGTAACCAGAACTTGGTGGTGTGAAGGAGGTAACCCTGAATGTCACATACACATAAACACATACATGTCTAATGGGCGGTAAAATTCTTACCTTTTTTCTTTAATAGTCCCAGTGTTTATATTAAATAAAATGATGCGTCTTTACTATTTCTTTAATTATTTTATAAGGGACCTCTTGTGCATTTTGGACTTTCCAGCCTATTAGACATGTATGTGTTTATGTTTACAGTATTACTTTTTTTTTTTTAAGTGAACTTACACTTTAATTACCTTTGCAATCTCCCCTCCCCCAGTTCATTGTTTTGTACCTATTTTTCCTCATTCATTATAGTTCACTGTTTTACAGATTAATGACTTGGTTGTACGTGGGATTTTTATACAATATGTTTTTGTTTTTATAATTAATGCTGGAGAAATTGTTAATTCCATTATTACAACTCACATAAGCCATGGATCTCACCCTGTCATCCTGTTTCTCCGTTTTTTTAATATTGTTTTTCCATTTTTTTTTTTATTTTTTTTTTTTGATTTGCATGTGTTAGGCCAAAGTAACAGCTGGAAAAATGATCCAATCCTGTTTATTTCATAGTTTAGCTATTTTGGTCTAAACATTGGAAATGAGTGATCCTTGAGGGATGGTTAGAGAAGTGAAGCTGTAGATGAGGGATTGCTGAGAATCGGAGTCTCTTTTACTTCTTCCTTCGTTTGAAATCGTCTGTCATTAGGATGGGTCCACACCTAATCTAATTACTTAATGAATAGAAAAACTAGCATTAATTAGTGCCAGGGTATATCCCAAAACTCAAATACAAATCACTACTGAAATCCTAATCATTTATTATAATTTCATCAATAAAATAAACTGAAAAAACACAATATAAGAAAGAGTTGGGCAGTGAAGGATTAGTTATTTACACTGGATGCTGGAACACTGTTTGTTGTATGTCCGTATTGGTAAGTAATTACTAAAGTGGCAATTTGTACTGAATCCCCTCTAGCAATAGTGCTGAGAAGGTGCAGGAACCTTAGAATGAGGTCTTGAACATTTCGGCTGAATTCACATCACCAAGGACATGACCGAAACCCTGAATTGCTGTTTGCGCGCATGCATGCCCTGTTCACACGGTTTCTTTGTTGCATTGTCTGATTTTTATCCTCCAGGAATAGGTCTGATCCTTTCTGAGCTGCGCAGTGCAGGACACGAGAACAACACACTAGTGATTTTCAGCTCTGACAATGGAATTCCGTTCCCAAATGGACGCACCAACCTCTACTGGTCGGGCAGGGCGGAACCACTCCTGGTGTCCTCGCCCACCCAGCCGAAACGCTGGGGACAAGTCAGCCAGTCATTTGCCAGTTTGCTCGGTAAGAAATCAACTCTAGGCAGCGTGATTAAAGGCTATTTACTAAAGCACTCATTGTGGAAAGTTCAAAGTGAATTTCAAATTTTAGCAGTCAGATTTTAGTTATCAAATTAGCTGAATTTAAAACATAGAGAATTTATTCCAAATCCGCTGTCTTAGCCTCAAATTTGAAGTTCACTTTGAATCCTGACATTTCAGACTAGAAAATTACCATAAGTGTCTCTTGTGTGAATCTATATATTATTATTATTATTATTATTTTTTATTTTTTTTTAAGTCTTTATTTTTCAAGTGCAGTGTGATACATTAAGACAAATGTTTACTTTCTCAAGTAGCATATAAATAGCTGTCAATTGCATTTGCACAGTATGAGAGGTTGCTATTATAGCACTTATTTTTTTGGTAAGAGGGCGGAACTGATTGCATGATCGGTTGCCAAATGAAGGAATGTGTGAGTCATCTATGGGTCGTGTGTCTACTTGAACCATTCTATATATTATTTTGAATACATGCTGCTGCCCTTTCACAGAACGGGTTTCTACAAAAAAAACAACCAAACAATTGGGGTCCCCTGGAATGCCCCAAAAACAGTGACCCAGTGGACGCTCCCCCTCATGTGGCCAGTGGGGTGGAGAGCAAAATATAAATATTTTTGTTTGTAACTTAAAATTTTTGTTTTGTAAATGAAATTAAACAAAGTCAGGCTCTAGTGAAACAACACAACTATATGGATGTTATTCAATTGTCCTTTAGTAAATAACATGTAGTCATATATTAAAACCCCATTCACTCAATGCATGCTGGATAGTTTATCTGAAATGTGAGCTGTGGATTTCTTTAAATTACCAGAATTTCATTTTTATACATATTTTAGCTTTAGTTCAGCGTGCTTTTTTCTCTCTATGAAATCCCACCATTTTTCAAGAAATCTCGTCTCAGAAAATTTGTTTCCATTCTCCCTAATCAGATTCTTTAGGATAATTTGAACACGTTACATTTTTCTTGGCCAGATATCACTCCCACTGTCCTGGATTGGTTCTCCGTGCCGTATCCTGACTATAAGGTATTTGGGAAGAGTGTTGAGCTCACTGGGAAATCCCTTCTTCCAGCTCTGGAATCTGAGCAACCTTGGGCGACTGTCTTTGGAAGCCAATCCCACCATGAGGTCACAATGTATTACCCAATGAGGTCAGTCCAGCATATGCAGTATCTCCTCATACACAACCTCAACTACAAGATGCCTTTTCCCATTGACCAAGATTTTTACATCTCTCCAACCTTTCAAGATCTGCTTAATAGAACTGTTTCTGGCCAGCCAACTAACTGGTTCAAGACCCTTCACAGCTACTATTATCGTGACCGCTGGGAGCTTTACGACCGATCAGGAGACACCTCAGAGATAAAGAATGTGGCTGGAGAGGTCATGTACCAGGGAATTTTAAATTCCATGAAGGAATTACTGCAGAAGTGGCAGTGGGAGACCTCAGATCCTTGGGTGTGTGCTCCTGATGGAGTTTTGGAGGAGAAGTTAGATCCAGAATGCCGTCCTCTTCATAATGACTTGTGATGATTACTGGGTTAAAATAGACATAGAAGCCGTTTTAACACCAGGTCATGCTCTACTGTAATGCCAGTTAATAGAGAATGTGAGTAAAAAAGGATCAGCTGGTGTGATCCTCGCATGGACCTTTAAATTAAAACCGAGAGCAAATGTCCAATGCTAGGCATCAGCCCAAGGTTCTACCTTGGGATCTTTCTCTGGAATGTCTTGGTTTTCTTTTGGCTAAATGTATGAAGACCAGTTCTGTGGCTGCTAAAAGGTAGGGATGGCTGGTGGTTAAATAAGCCCGTCATGCAGTATTACAACCCCAATGTGCGTGTCCACTCCAGAAGCATGGGGCAGAAGCCTTAATACTCATATGCACCAAATACTGAATGTTACCAGAAAGCCTGCTTATTTTTTGCACTTTATTTCAAGAACTGTGCCTTTAAAAACCAAGAGTGCGGTTAGTACATACCGTCCCATCTTTGTGAAGGAGTATTCATTTAATCCCACATTGTCATTGTGTCTGCTGGGTTTCTGTTGCCATCGTCGGGTAACTGGTAACTTGGCCTTTTCATCTCCCCAACATCCATTTTTGAGAAGCATGTGTTGTATTTAGTTTCAGGTGCCACTTTCGCAGCTTTTATATTGAATTCTTTTCTTTTTTTTTTACCTAATTTACCAAAGTGAACCATTTATTTAAGTGCCGTTTATTGACTGTGCCTGTGATGCACAAATTGTATCTTTTTACATTTTCACGTTTGCTCAGTATAAAATGTGATTGCCGCAATACCTACAGGAAACTCTTACTGTAGGATTAACAGTGATCATCGTGCCTTTTATCAGTTTCAATAAAAACACACAGTTTAATTTACCACTAGTACAGCTATCTGATAATCAGCAGATCCACTTCATATCCAAACCGATACGATCATCACTTTCTGTTCGCATTGTTTTTTTGTTTGTACATTTTAGAATGATAATTATGTTACATTTTTTCATAGCAATAAATCTGGAAAAAAAACAATGAATATTGTATATTTGTAATTTGTTCAATATCTTAAATATTCTTCCAGATTGACACTGGATACCTGATTCGGGCTTTTTGATTTCTGCTCACTTGTTCTAAGTATTTTTCCCAAGATTCTAATAAAAAAAAAAAAAAAAAATAGAAACTTAGTAAAGTATTACAAAAACATTTTTTAGTGGAAAAATCGAAACTTGGAGAAAATATTGCAGTGTGGTCCAAGGGCCTTTTATTGCCAAGTACTTTGTGTTTTTAGCCAATCTGCATTTCTGTTTTTATTGTATACACCGGTCCCTCCCTACCCCGAAAGGCTTGTGTTGTGGCTCAGCAGATGTTTGTTGATGATGACTTAAAGGACCACTATAGTGCCAGGAAAACATACTCGTTTTCCTGGCACTATAGTGCCCTGAGGGTGCCCCCACCCTCAGGGTCCCCCTCCCGCCCGGCTCTGGGGGGGAAAGGGGTAAAAACTTACCTTTTTCCAGCTGCTGGGGAGCTCTGCCTCCTCCTCCTCCGCCGCTCCGTCGCCGCTGCGACGCGCGCGCGGCAAGAGCCGCGCGCAGCCAGTCATATAGAAAGCATTCATAATCCTTTCCTATGGACGCTTGCCTGCTCTCACTGTGATTTTCACAGTGAGAAACACGCAAGCGCCTCTAGCGGCTGTCAATGAGACAGGCACTAGAGGATTTGGAGGAAGGCTTAACCCATTGATAAACATAGCAGTTTCTCTGAAACTGCTATGTTTATAAAAAAAATGGGTTAACCCTAGAAGGACCTGGCACCCAGACCACTTCATTAAGCTGAAGTTGTCTGGGTGCCTAGAGTGGTCCTTTAAAGGTAGACAGACAATGTTAAAGAGCAGCAGGAAATGCTAGCAGAATGCTTGGTTGTATAGGGAGAGGTATTAGCAGTAGAAAGAGGGAAGTGCTCATGCCATTGTACAGAACACTGGTGAGACCTCACTTGGAGTATTGTACACAGTACTGGAGACCGTATCTTCAGAAGGATATTGATACCTTAGAGAGAGTTCAGAGAAGGGCTACTAAACTGGTTCATGGATTGCGGGATAAAACTTACCAGGAAAGGTTAAAGGATCTTAACATGTATAGCTTGGAGGAAAGACGAGACGGGGGGATATGATATAAACATTTAAATACATAAAGGGAATCAACACAGTAAAGGAGGAGACTATATTTAAAAGAAGAAAAACTACCACAACAAGAGGACATAGTCTTAAATTAGAGGGACAAAGGTTTAAAAATAATATCAGGAAGTATTACTTTACTGAGAGGGTAGTGGATGCATGGAATAGCCTTCCAGCTGAAGTGGTAGAGGTTAACACAGTAAAGGAGTTTAAGCATGCGTGGGATAGGCATAAGGCTATCCTAACTATAAGATAAGGCCAGGGACTAATGAAAGTATTTAGAAAATTGGGCAGACTAGATGGGCAGAATGGTTCTTATCTGCCGTCACATTCTATGTTTCTATGTTTGTAAACATAAACAGGCAATGTCACTTTACAGCTCTGTTTCCAAAAATCCAAAATGGAGCTGTCTGTAAGCTGATAGCAAACACTGTGCAGACTTGGATACTTATTGCATTGATGAAAACAGAAACAAAATAATCAAAACTCCAGTTAGCTACCTGTCTGCTTCCACAGTGTTCCTCAGCCAGTGTAGAAATACATGTGTCTATTTGTAAATGAAATCATGCAATCTGACAATATGCTGGAGGAGTAAGTACAGTTCTGGGAATGAAGCCTATGTCTGGTTTTACATTAAATAAATGTGGGCATTGTACTCGCATAAAGTCATAATGATTTCATTCTGATGGCTTATTTACCAACAGATTGCTTATAAATCCTCACAGCGTGCGATTTGCCCTTTAAAAAAAATAAAAATTCACCTTTTGTTTTTTGATTCTGATAAAAATACAATATTATGGAGGTTATCTGCAAATACATTATAAAAACATCTCATTCTTTAAATCCCAAATAATGCTTTCTTCAACCCCACCATTGAACTTTGCTGTAGGCATGTTTAATGGGAAGTAAAATTAGATATTAAAGGATAGATTCTCTTATCACATATATTTCTCACAACTGAATAATGGTGTTTATATTGACTTCAATGGCAGACTAACTGTTCGAGCTGCTAGAATTAGACCTATGTCCAGACGCCATAGGCTGCCCTTGGAATGTTGTATCAAACCGTTTAAAAATAATTATGGATTTTCTTAAAATTAACCTACTAAATCGAATCTTTGTTTAAACAAACTGTGTGTCAAAAGACTTCATGGAAATGTAATAATCTATTCCCTCTTTGTCTTCCTCTAAGACGGATATTTGTATGAAACAAACTGTGTTTTTGGTTATATAAAGTGAGCAGGGCTTAGCGTAAAATCTCCATCTCCTCTTCTGATTCTTTCTGCTTGAAATAAACTTGTTCTGTAAACCCACCAATGTTTACTGTTGGTGAATATTTTCATTTTAATATTCCTAATAAAGGGACACTATAGGCACCCACACCACTTCACCTCACCTATTTTCAGCAGAGATTCTTCAACGATATCACACAAAGTCCATATCTTTAAAAATCGCAATGGAGGAAGGAGTGAATTGTTCTAAGGTATAATGTATTATGTGAGAGAACAGATTGGAACAGACCAGGTAAAATCTTTTCTTTATTGAAATCGTTTTAAGGTGCAGATACAAGCGAAGTTTCATAGTAGGGGTGCTTAGCACTGCTAAGTACCAACAGAGGTGAAACCGCGTCAGAGAAGGATATAATTGTTATATACAAGAAGAAGAGCGATGCTTTGCAATGCTATGTACTAATGAAAGATCTACTAAGAGTGTTGAGGTGGCTCCGAGTACACTTCCAGATAATAATTCTTAATGATAATTCATCCTAAAACATTCACTAAACTGTACATAAACCGTTATGTCCATTAATCTAAAGCATTTAAAAAATTCCAAATCACGTGTTAATTGGATCACTATATGCTCAGATCAAACGTCCACTGTTTTGCAGTTCGTAGGGCTCTTCCTCACACGTGACAAACTTTGAAGAGAAGTCGAGCTGTGTCATTCTGTCTCCTGTTTAACCATAATGCTCACAATCCAAAACGAGCACTAACACAAGCTATAGTTTGTCAGGATTCTCAGCTGGAGACGTCTGGTAGTTGTAGTTTAACCCTTGAAGATAATATTTGTTGCAGCTCCTCAACATCTGTTGAGTCATCGGTTTTCTAAAAGGCTTTAGAACATAAGCACTCGAAAATTGCTTTTCAGGCGATCTTGAGGACCTGTGCTGCTAGGGAGTCCTGGACAGTTGGTTTGAAACCCGACATCCTCTGATATGAAACGAGCTGTGAAGTTTTGGACACGTTTAACATCCAACGATCAGCACAGCTTGTTCTCCAGCCACACAAAGCGTTTTTGTTCGTCCATTATAACTTCCTTCACGCTGCTCAGCAGAGATTCCGTATCGTTCCACGTCTCTGGTTCCACGGTGCGGTAAAAGCATGGCAAAGCGTCTAACTCTGTCTCCTCCCGCTGCGCACACTCCAAGAGGAGATCCTCCCAGTTTCTCCACCAATGGAGTGGTTTTCTAAGGAGAAAAAAATGGCGGTGAAGGGAATGCTGCTGCATATACGAGTCGTCAACTAAGCCAGTGATTCCCAAACCAGACCTTATTGCAATGGAGATACTGACAAAACCTGGACTGTTGCTGAAACATGAGGAAAGGTTTGAGAATCACTGTTCTAAACTAAACAGAAATGTACAGAAATTTAAAGGGACAGACACTCTTTAGTTTTGTTTAAAAAGAAAATTGCACCATTTAGCAGTATAACTCCACTCCATTAACCACATCTCCCCTTTTCACAAAGCATCTTTTTGATTGGAAGGTACGCAGTGTACCATTGAAAAAGCGTTTTGAGCTAAGCTGCTGATCTGACTCCTTCCAACAGCCAATCGCTGTCCCTTTATTATACCTATAGTATGTCAAAGCCATGCGCAACACAAAAGGGGCAGATAAGAGGACAGTTAAAAAAAAAAATGCTAATAACATATATTCATTGCTATATACAATTACACAACGCCATTTGTTTAAAAAAGCCCAATGACTATTTGCCTATAATCCACACATAAACCATCCAGTACCCTCCCCATACCACTCCCCTACTAAATATTTACATTTTCTAATCTCTCAAAGCCTACCCAAGATGCCTTGCTCCCACTCAATGTGAACACCACCCCTGAGGAGCTACAATTTGATATCAAAGCTCTACCCTACGCGTGGTTATATTATGTGTATCAGGGTATTTTGTGAGACATTAACTACTTTGTTCAATGGGAAGTTAACACCAAGGGAGGATACTCCTGGCACCCTTTTCTCAGTTTCTTATAGAAACTGAAGCAGTATATAAGGCATGGAAGTTGCACTCACTTCAGTTTTTTTATACTCTTTTCTGTCAATGGGACATGCAGGACAATTGGGTAGATCCCCACTCGGATCAGAGGAGCCAGACAAGACAAACCAAGTTCCAAGAGGCAGTGTGCGTTCTGCGAGAAAATAAATAAAAAGTGAGATTGCCCTTTTTATATCCCCTCAATTCAGCATTGCAGATCTTCAAGTGCACCTACCTGCTGGGCCACAGACTCCACAGTATGTCTGGTGAAATAAGACCGTAACCTCTCACCCGCCTTCTCACCGATCACATCCCCGCGCTGATACTTTGCCGCGTACTCTGCGTCAGTCAAGCATTCTGGAGTAAAGGTCACATGTTACCATGAGGACATACCGATTACTGTGTTTTGGAGCTGGTTGTATTAAATAGCATTATCTGATGTGCTAGGACAGTGGTTCTAAACCCAGTCCTCAAGTACCCCCTAACAGCCCAGGATTTAGGGGTTGCCCAGCTGTGTCTAAGGTGTTTTTAGAAAAAAAGAAAAACACTTTAGACACAACAGGGTAATCCCTAAATCCTGAACTGTTAGAGGGTACTTGAGGACTGGGTTGGGAACCCCTGTGCAAGGAGATGCTGGACACAATGAGTAGACTTTCCATTCATCCACACATCTCTCCAAAAATAGATACCTCTGGGATAGGAAACACTGTCTGTTTCCGTTGAGCAATATATCTCTACTATCAAACCTCAGTATGGAGAAGAAATGTGATCTAAGGGACTGGTAGTAGAATGATTACTGGAGCCATCTTTAGGGATCTTCTTGCACAGCAGCCTCTAGAGCATGGCTCAAAATTAACACTCGCCCACTCACAGCTTACAAGTAGAAGTTGAGCCATGCTGAGATATTTTTGGAGACTCTAGTGACCCAAGAATCCCGGAGTCTCGGGTAGCTTCTATGAATGCAGGAATCAGGGTTTCTAATATTGGCACTTTCCTCCCAAGCAGCTCACTGTGACAAATATACAGAAACTGGCTAAACCATCCAGTGAGTCCTGCTAATAAATCAGAGGCATTGCCAGCCTGGTTCAGTATTAATAAAGTGACCAGTCAGTGTTATAGTGTGCAGTAGACAATGATCTTGTTCCCCCACATTGGATTACCAGGTAATGATAGAGCACTAAGCTCCATAGTCTTTCGGGACTCTGGGTCCGTGGTCTCAATGAAAACCCTTTAGAACACCGTGCAAGAGCCGGTACCTTCAGTAATTATGTAATGGAATGAACACAATGACGAATGGAAGGTACCTGTATCACATTTCATGAAGTCCTTGGTGGCACAGAGCTTCTCACTCAGATGTCGGCCAAGCAAAGAAGGGACAACCAGGACCGGTCGTGGTAACGTAACCTTGATATGTGTCACCAAGGTGTATGGCATCAGCGTGAAGCAGCTTCTGGTCAGTGCCGAACTTGTAGAGGAATCTGTACAAACACAAAAAATGAAAACAACGACAGAACAACAAGTGGTGTTACTTGAAATTAATATAAAAAAAGGAAATACCACAAACTAAAAAGGTAATTCTATAAATTCACAGTCCAGAGACTTTATAGAATGAGTAATTGGGCGTTAGTAACCTGATGGGCAAATTACCAAACCAAATGTTCTTTGCAACATACTGCAATCTGTCATTAATACCGCTTATGTAATGGTTATTCGTTTATGGGAAAATGGGCAGAGGGACATTGCAGATACAAAGTCACCCTTGATAGTGTTTTGTATATCGTTCCAGGTAGGTGGGAAAGCATTGGAGGGGGAGGGGTGGCCACAGCAAATAATTTTGTGACAAGATAAACATTTACTCTTCTACAACCAAATTTAGCAAACAGAAAATAAATTTCTAATAAAAATACATATTATAAATTTTTTTTTAAAAGATTACAAATTATAAAAACCCTGTCCAAAGAAGGGAGCGATATAATCCTTAAAGGGACTCCCAAAGCACTAAAACAGCTTCAGCTTAATGAAGTAGTTTTGGTAAGTAGATAATATCCCTGCAGTCTCACTGCTCAAGTACACAGCCTCCATTAAAAAGTGTTTTGTTTTTCAATCAGATCTTACAGCATAGAGTGTTTTCTTTAGAGGTTTTTATCTCCTGTTCTGTTAATTCAACTTTAATTTTATACAAGAAGCTACTGAATGATCTAACAGGCAATTAACCGAGTAGGAGATAAGACCCAACACTATATGCTAAGTACTGTATATACTCGAGTATAAGCCGAGTTTTTCAGCACATTTTTTGTGCTGAAAAACCCCCACTTGGCTTATACTCGAGTCAGTCTGTATTATGGCAATTTACATTGCCACAATACAGACCAGGACCGCCGGGCTCATTACAAGCCCGGCGGTCCTGTTGGGGGCTGACAGCGAGCTCTTACTTACCTTCCTGCAGCTCATGTCAGCTCTTCTGTCAGCTCTTCTGTCAGCTGTTCTGCTCACTGTGAGCCAGTCTCGCAGCTGCACGGAGAACGGAGCTGACAGGAGCTGCACGGAGCCCCCCCACTGACAGCCACTCCACCAGGGATTCACCAATGGCCAGGCAACAAGCAGGGAGGGGGGACAAAAAACTAAAAAAAGTACAAATATTAAAATATTAATAAAATAATAGAATAATATATAATAATATTAAAATAATAGAATAATAATAGAATAATAAAATACAAATATTAAAATTAATAAAATAATAATAGAATAATATAATAAAATCAAATAATAATATTAAAATAATATAATATTAAAATAATAATAATATTAAAATTAAAATATAAATGCCCTCCCCACACCCAGTTTACACACACTGCATTATATACACACTGCATTCATTATATACACACACAAACACACACTGTGCATTCATTATATACACACAACACACAAACACACACTGCATTCATTATATACACACATAAACACACACTCTGCATTCATTATATACGCAAACAACACACACACACACACACACTGCATTCATTATACACACACAAACACACACTGTGCATTCATTATATACACACACACAACACACACACACACACACTGCATTCATTATATACACACACTGTAAATAAATATTCAATTAATGTAATCTTATTGGGATCTAATTTTATTTAGAAATTTACCAGTAGCTGCTGCATTTCTCACCCTAGGCTTATACTCGAGTCAATAAGTTTTCCAAGTTTTTTTGTGGTAAAATTAGGGGCCTCGCCTTATATTCGGGTCGGCTTATACTCGAGTATATACGGTAAGTTAAAAAATATAAGCTCTTTTTCAGGAAGTGCTTAGGAAGGCTATGTGAGTCTCAGCCAGAGGAGGTGTGACTAAGGCTGTATAAACAAAATGATTTAGCTCAATTTGAGCAATGAGACTGCAGGGGCATGATCTATACACTAAAACTGCTTCATTAAGCTAAAGTTATTTTAATTCCTATAGTGTCCCTCTAAATAGTTATAGCTGAAAAGAAATAAGTCTACACGTAGACAAAAGCCTATTATATATATATATATCTCCCAATAAACTGACAATATCAGTCCTCATATAAATATATTAATATTGTCATAGGCAATCTCCATTATATTAAAGGAGCAGCAGGAATCACATTAAATCACTTAAAACGTGTGTATCCTGTGTGACTATAAAAAACCCAATAGAGCAGTAATATTGCTAATAACCTTTAGAGGGCAGTACAATCCACACTAGTAGTGTCCAGAGGGGAGGGAGAAAAATGGTTAACCATATCATTATAATTTACATAGTGCCAGCAAATTCCGTAGCACTGTATAATGACGGCGGGAATCCCTTATTGCTCACATTTTAGTTTCACATTTTTTTTATCCTGGTTCACACTTTTTACTAAGGTCTGGATTTGGGATTGTTTAGTATATATTGTAAGCATATAATATTCCGAACCAAGATCTACAATATCCACACTTTCCTCTACATAGGTTACAGTCTAGGTGTGGGCATCCAAGCTTTCCATGCTGTGTAGACCGGAGAGCAAAGCCAACGAACTAGTACTTACCTTCACATCGACAAAGTCCACAGTCTATAGATGTCCACAGCAAGTGAGACGTGCACCGGTCTGTACTCACTATGCGGACTTGCTTTTTTGACTGTGGAAGAATAAACCAGAGACAGATACTATTACCGACGGGATCATGTTACCAACACAAGGCTATGGAAATGAAGTAAAACTGTGAAACTGTGAAACTGACATAGATAACGAAATTCTAGATCGGGGTAGGCCCTATCTTTTGGTAGAGCTGTGACAAAGTAAAACTATGAAGCCCCTCATTGTGCTGGCCCTAACGTTGTAAACAATGTTTATGTATGTTAAGAATTTCTGCTTGTGTTATGTATGGGTGTAGCAGATGCTTTATGAAGTTGTATATGTGTGTATGTAAGTGGGCTGTATGTATTGTGTGTGTTTGGGATGTCTGTGGTGTTTTGTGAGTGAATATAAGGCTATGTGTAGTGTTGTGTATGCAATTTGTGTGTTTGGAGGGGTTTGCTGGTAGAGTTTTGTGTAAAAGTGGTCTGTTCGTGGCAATGTGTGCATGTGTGTGGCAAGGATGGTTTGTGTTTTTTTTTTAGCTGTACATTGTTTGTTGTAGTGTGTGTTATTTTTCATGTTATGTATGTGTGTTCCCTGTTTGAGGTAGTTATGTGGGGGGGCTGTCTGTGGTAATAAACGTGTGTATGTGGACTGTTTGTTGTATTTGTGTTTGCTGTCTGTGATAAATTGTGTGTATGTGAGTCACTTGTAGTATTTGTGTGTGTGGTTAGAACGGTCTGTGGTGTTGCATGTTTGTTTGGGCATTTGTGATACTGTGTGTGTGTGTGTGTGTGTGTGTGTGTGTGTGTGTGATGACTGTTGTGTTATGAATGAGTGTGAGCCTTCTGTGGGTAGGTGTGTGTATTTGGGATGCTTGTAATATTTTTGTTTGTGGTGTGTGGGTCTTAAGGTGCAGAGCCTCATTTTCAGCAGTTTTCCTGACTCCCAAACGTCAGCCTCTGCTACTATAAATCAATTTGATCCCTAGTAACACAGTAACACAAGTGTATGCCTAGTATCAGAGCTGTAAAATACTTCTTGAAAGAGAGGACCTGCCCTTCGTCCCACCTTACCTTGCGATGGACAGCATTCTGCCACGTTATGGTCTGGATGGAGCTGATTAAATGTTCCTGAGCCCTGATTTATGGCAAAGAAAGGTTTTAGTGGGAAGCAGTGATGGGCAGGTATAATTAAGTTTCTAGGCAATAGGGGGGTATTAGTAACTTACTGTCGATAGTTGGGAATTGATCCAGACTCGCCATCATTCATGGTGTAGGGATTGACTCTGTGAGCATACCACTGCTGACGCCCTTTGTACATGGTGTCTTTAATGTGAAGTATTTCACCACATGTGACCTGCATGCCGCCCCCTATCCGTCCTGGCATAGATTGGTTGACACGTACGTAGAAGGAGTCCCCCGAAACGGCTGATCCGCTGTCTATGTCATTCAGCAACTTACGGTACTCTATAACATGACATGCAGAATGTCAGGTATGTCTTAATGTAACCCGCCAAGAAGACAATCAAAATTATAATTTCGCAAACCCTGGCAAGAAGATGAGTCAGAATTCTGTGCTGTCACCATATTCTTTCTATCAGAACTGCATGAAGGGGCATTTCTAAGCATCCAAAGAACAGGAATATAGGATCTATCTTTAAGAAAATCTAGTATTTTATGAACTAAAGGATACCCAGCACAATTACCCCGAACGTTTCTAAATCTATCTAAAGAGGTTCATATATTCAACATGAATGACAGTGCACCCATTTAGTTGCATGAAAGGTTGGCCTTATGTTATCCCATAAGCAAAAATTCTCAAGGAAGCAAACTAACATTTGGAACCTTAGGTAGGCAAAAAAAACATCAAAACCTAGAGCCTTAGCGGTCAAGTTTCTGTCAAAGAAAAGGTCCAATGCTAAACTTGTGAACTCTCTGCTAAAAATGTTGTGTTGAATTTTTTCCAAGTTCACTTTTTAACTCAAGTCAAAGGAATCCTGTTTTTAGCACCTGTAGATACAGTCTAGCAAACTGAGAATTGTGTCTGCGGACTCTGTAGATTATATAAAATATCTATTTGGCTAATGCGCCAACAAAGGCCTTTTGATAAGATCTGGCCAGTGATCTTTTCAGAAATATAAATCATGTCTCATATCTCGAAATGGACCTGTTCTTCCTGGGAAAAGTAACGTTGTCTGAATTTTTGGTGTCATCACATTTTTAAAGTGTGATTCTAGACCTGTTTTGGGAAAATCTAATTTGCTTTCTGTCATATAGTGACATCCTGACCTGTTACTACACAACCACAAAGTGTTTTATATGGGGATTTTCTGTTCTGTTTCTGGAAATCAACTTTGTACACACAGACATGGAATCCTGAAATATTCTACACATGGAATGGACACACATAGAATCCTGGAATATTCTACACATGAATCTACACGGAATCTGTTGTCGCTATATAAATGGCAATAATAATAATAATAATGAAAAGGACACAGACAATCCTGGAATGTTCGACACATAGAATGGACACAGACACAATCCTGGAATATTCTACACATGGAATGGACACGCACAGAATTCTGGAATATTCTACACACATAGAATGGACACAGACACAATCCTGGAATATTCTACACATGGAATGGACACGCACAGAATTCTGGAATATTCTACATATGGAATGGACAAGCACAGAATACTGAAATATTCTACACATGGAATGGACACACATAGAATCCTGGAATATTCTACACATGAATCTACACGGAATCTGTTGTCGCTATATAAATGGCAATAATAATAATAATAATGAAAAAGACACAGAGAATCCTGGAATATTCTACACATAGAATGGACACACACAGAATCCTGGAATATTCTACACATGGAGTGGACACACACAGAATTCTGGAATATTCCACATATGGAATGGACACGCACAGAATCCTGGAATATTCTACATATGGAATGGACACGCACAGAATCCTGGAATATTCTACATATGGAATGGACACGCACAGAATCCTGGAATATTCTACATATGGAATGGACACGCACAGAATTCTGGAATATTCTACACATGGAGTGGACACACACAGAATTCTGATATATTCTACATATGAAATGGACACGCACAGAATCCTGGAATATTCTACATATGGAACGAACACAAGCGAATTATTCAACATTTTTTACCGTCCATGTTGCATCGAATGGAAAGACAGCAGAACCCGTTCACTCTGTTCAGTGTCCAGTGGGCGTCTTCTGAAGTCACCCCTTCCAGATCCACCTTGTGAGAGGGATCCATGACATCAAAATCTACCTGCACAAAAAAAGTATATATAAAAATGTTAAGATTAGTCCTTGGTATTAGAATTATTAATACGCCATATAAGCAAATTGAAAGCAGACAAGACTGAATAAATAAACAGGAAAGATCCCACATGCTGAGATATTCAGATACTTTGTTTACTGATAATGTTTTACACGTGTCAATTGATTGACCCAATGCAGGTATAACGAGACAGTCCGTATGAGGTCTAGCAGTGATTAGCAATTTCTAGAAACACAAATACTTAAATCGAGATTTTGCTTCATAGTTAGCAACCAAGAACACGTCAAGCAGACAAACAGTTTGAAAACAGTGCAAATACTGTGACATCGTCCTTCCCAGCTGACCACCTAGACAGCAATTACAGGAACACTATAGGGTCAGGAACACAAACATGTATTCCTGAACATAGTGTTAAAAACACTATGTAGGCCCCTCGGCCCCTCATTGTCCCCTAAATATAGTAAACATTTACTTTTAATCCAGTATGTTGCTGCTGGCTCTGCCCCTGATCTGCCTGCTTGGCTGACATTATCAGAGGTGATGATCTGAGCCAATAGCAATGCTTTCCCAAGCTTTGGCTTGGCTGAGACTGTCAAGAAGGCAGATCACAGCCTACAAAAGCAAAACACAGCCCTGGCCAATCAATGCATCTCTATGATGAAAGTTCAGTGTCTCCATGCAGAGGGTGGAGACACTGAATGTCAGTCACACTGTGCAGCACTGCCCCAGGAAGCACCTCCTGTAGCCACCTGAGGAGTGGCCAGTGAAGTTATCACTAGGCTGTAATGTAAACATTGCATTTTCTCTGAAACAGTGAAGGGAATGAATATACTCACCAGAACAAATGCAATAAGCTGTATACAGTACAATAAGCTGTAGTTGGTCTGGTGACTACAGTGACCCTTAAATCGTTTCTGGAGTTCCAGGGGTTACCTACTCACAGTCCAAATGCTGTGAAGAATAGTGTCCTTCATAGATTATCACTTAGACAACAGGTTCACGCTCACAGTGCCTGGAGTTCCAGACGTTGCCTATCCAAAGTGCAGAGTCAAAGTTGAGTATGTTGAGTAGAATTAGTCAATGGACTGAGTGTGCCATGGTAGGGATGTTGAAGTTATGAGTGTATTAATACATGTAAGAGGATATAAATTGACTCACAGCCATTATCTGACATCCTGGAATCAGTGACATCTCATCTGCTGCGGAATCCTTGGTCACCTGGTGGATGAATATTCCTGTTTTGTTTCCCCCAATGATGCAGATCTGCTTTAGAAGGTCATCACCCTGGAAAGCGATTATGGTTGTCCGCGTGTTCATTCTTTGGGCATGACGCCTCCGTGGCATGGATCTGTTAACGCAGAACAAAGTTTCAGTGAGAAAGGAGGCCGGACCATATGCAAAAGATTATTCATAAGGAATTCTTGCAGATCTCAAACCACCAGAAAGTAAAAGTTCTGTTGTGTTTGGCAAATGATCCCCCCAATACAGGCAGGTACAGAGACTGCACTTACTTAACAGCCCGATTAATGATTATTGTTTTTTTACAAATCGGTGTTGATGGAGATACATGGGACAATGGGACAGCACCCTGAGAACAGACAGAAGCTTAGAGATAGACTCAGTAGCTTGTCTTTCAGTACATCCCCGCTCGGGTGAGCTTTTGCTCATCTTGTGCCATTACAGAGAGAACATATCTGGCAGTTCAGATCCGAAATGCCAGCAAGTTCCCTCTGCACGAGAGATACAGCAACCCCAGACAATCATTTCAACCTTGTAAGGTATCAGCAGTGAGGCATAGCTATTATCCCTCTAGGCACAGGGAAGACTGATATTATTATTATTATTATTATTATTATATTTATAGAGCGCCGTCAAATTCCACAGCGCTTTACAATGGGTGGACAAACAGACATGTATTTGTAACCAGACAAGTTGGACACACAGTAACAGAGGGATTGAGGGCCCTGCTCAATGAGCTTACATGCTAGAGGGGGTGGGGTAAAATGACACAAAAAGGTAAGGATAGTATTAGACTAGACTAGATGTTGGACATAAAGTGGGTGAATGGGTTTTGGGGGTGTGACGTGTACAGTCGGCAAGCTTTCAGTATTCAGGGGAATTGGGTAAAAACTTGCTTTACATTGTCTACATGCCATTAATATATTTACAATACAAATATTCCGAGCTGATACAAAGTATTCACCAATGTTACAAACATCAATCTACACCAGTAAAGCTCTGATGGAGCTACGAGCAGCAATTTTAACATTAAATCCAGCAAATCAACGCAGACCTTGGATGGCTGCAACAGGCAAAGTCAGGTTAAAAGAAGTTCTGTTTTGCTGGATAATAATTAAAAATAAAATACAATGTGTGAATTAAAAGCGGGCTTACGTACAATCCTTTCTCCGCCGCGCTCTCACCACTTTCCATATTAGAGAACATCTGGAGATCTGAAAACATGACGGGAAACGTGAGGGGAAACGTGTGTTCGGTTGGTAGGACCTCAATAGATGCCATAGACAATGAGACAATGCTTTATAGACACAAGGTTAACATAAAGTATATTGAGCATTTAGAAAGATCCATTTTGGGTGTTTTACTATCCCCTTGTTCTGATCATTTCTTTACACATATGATGGTGCAATGAGGTGTCCCCCCCCCCTTCCATGCCTCTCTGCTTACTGACGGGTTATTCACTAAATGTAGCTATTTAAACCCAAACTATGACATTCTGATTTCATTTGCTAAAGACTGGCGAGCCAAACAACAGTGTGTACGTTTCTCACCTTTCTTGTACTCCATTTCCGACTCGCAGTCCAAGTCTGCTGCTTCACACTGCAGGAGATCCGGAAGATTAGTGGAACAACTACAACCAAAATAGGGGACATGGTGTAAGAGCAATCGTGTGATGTTACAATTCTACAGTGTGTCACAGCACTCCTTACAAATTGTTACATGAAAAAAGCCATTACTACCAATTCCACCCTATAGGCAACGTCCAGCAGTCCACACAATGCTCGGATAATTCTCTTTATTCTACTTTAGGAAACAATGGCTACATTCTGGCAAAAACATAAATAATACTGAAGGCAGAAAGACCTACATTTAAGTTAAAAATGAGAGTTATCTCTTTATTGTTCCTAAAGTACAAAGTGTCAACGTTTTAACATAAATGTAGGTTATTCAGGCTTGAGAATGATTTTTTTGGTGGGGATGTTGCTTTTTCTTAGTTAACGCAGATTAAAGAGAACACTCATTTTATGGACCTTGTGGAGTTTGCTATTCCTTAGATCAGGGTTGCCCAAAGGTTAGATGCCCAGATGTGGTAGAACATGATGCTTTGCATGCCTGTAGAATGACAAAGTATCATGTAAGCTGTAGGTTTAAAACATCTGGGGATCTACTTTTTGAGCATTGACCATACAACGGCCATGTTTGGTCAATTCTCCCCTGGGAAGCAAGACAACGCAAAGTCCTGGGATCATGGTACCCTCAACCTTACAATCTTTATTTATTTAAATCATTTTCTGTAATAACATAACAGGTAAGAGTACATAGGTAGAAGAGATTATTATATCAGCAATGGTACATATAGGTATTACGTGTATAGCCTTCATTAATATGGTCAGGGGTAGGAGTTTGGCCCAGAGATGGACAATTTTACCATTGATGATGTCCATGAACTACATGTCCAACCAGTATGTAAATACACATTGTAGCCATGTGTTTAGGAGATGCTGCCTGCACTAGTGTCAGAAGATTTAATTTTGTGGGTTTCTCCTGCATTTCAAAACACCACAATATGGCTTTTCACAAAGAATCGTGAGAGGCAAATAATTAATAATGGCATTTTCTACAATTCTTAACCTAACCGAGCAGGGGCAAACTTGACCTAACTGAGGGAGAAATCTCTCCAGGGTCCATCTCAGTACTGGTGATTTCAATACAAAATAGTAGCCCTGAAACCTGGCAGACTAGTGAACGAGCCCCTTCAGACACAGGGTTGGAGGTGTAGGTTCCAAATCCCATATCTTTAGTTACCTCTTGGTGAAGGCACTTTGATATCCTTCTTGAATGGGAGTGCTGCAGGGCAGGATATTCTCCCCCAAACTGGAGCAGGTGTCATTGTTTATTTGCCAAGGCTGAAACACAAAATGCAAGGTCAGATCATTTCTTGTCAAACAAAAACAATTAAGAAGAGTAGAAAAAATATATATTTATATCCGATAGTACATTAATATCCACCTGTTTATAAAACACACAATACCTGTACCAGTATGCTCTAATTGCACAATTAAATGTCATACTACAATAAGCTGTAACAATACAATAATCTAATGATTAAGGTCGAGTCTGAATGTGAAAAGCCCACTTCGAAGTAGCCAGAATTTCCCAAGATAACCATGATGACAGATAAAAGCTGGGTTCTTGTTGGCAAAAGATCACATACCTCGATGCTACAGTTTGAGATCCGGTCAGCCTCCTCGGAGGGGCAGATGGCGTCCATTCGGACCAGTCTCTGGTGTTTGAACTTTAGACATTTTTCTCTCTGTTCAGTGTCCATGCAATTTCTTCTCATCTGCACCACAGAAAGGAGAGATTTGGGATGAAAATCTAGTCAGTACAATTCACAGTCACTAGTGAGTCCAGATTATCTAATTTTCTTCTGGCGTTGGCAAACACCGTTTTAACAATTGGGTAAGAGCATGACGTCATTTTGCACATGGCATATGTCCTATCGAAGAGAGTGTGTAACTGTACGGACCTATAAAACGTGCTCGACAACGACGGTGTATTTTTATTGTTAGACAGGAGTTGTGCAAGTTACCATGCAGGTCGGATCGCATATCATTCTGTTTTAACATGAAATTATTTAGAACACAAACAATTATATAGGTTGTCTAGGCAGATGCAATACTTCGCCTACTGTCGCCTCTGCCCACCCTTCTTGTACATGGGATTTCTTATTTTTTACTGGGAAGTGCCTACATGTTACATAACAGGATATGTAGGACTTCAAGGTGTATATCTCAATCTATGACTGGGTTTCTGAGTAAGAGGAAGCAGCCAGTACCGACATCCATTTAGCAGGCTTTTAGATATCTGTTTTATGTTACTATGTTACATTAACGTATGTTTGTCAAACAAACATTAGGTTGAATACATTGATCCAAGTGTTGCTACAATCATACAAAAATAGCTTTACGTCATCGGTCTGAATCCAATCGCCTGGATTCTCATGTTTTGTCAGTGGAGAGAAAGGACAGGAGAAGCAATCTGTGTTTCCTTCAGAATTATACTTGTTTATCCGGAGGTATTTAAGTTTGTATATATGTCTGTATGGATGGTGTATACAATTCTCACCCTCTGTGTCTGCAGTTGTTCCTCCAGACTCCGAATTTGCAGTCTGAGCTTAGAGTTGGAGTCAGTTAGTTCCATGACTTGCTGCCTCAGACCATCTTTTTCTGCCAGGAATGAAGATATCTCAGCTTGAACCATATCACGGGCTTGGTAGGCCTAGACAGACACAACAGAAACTACAGGTCATGTAGGTTCATTATTTCCAATCGCCAGATAATCCATGAGACAACGCTTGTAAAGAGCTAAACTACTGGTGGTTTTAAGTATCTTACTGCTAACTAAAAAAATAGATTACAATTTAAATGTAAGGCCGTGTTTATAACTAAAGGACCCTCTAAATACCAAAACCACTTAATTTTATTGAAGATGAACCATTTGATTTTAATGCACAGACACTGTTTTTTTATCCCTGACAATGTAAAAATTGCATTTCAGAGGAACGGCAAAGATTGCATTTTGCCCAATCCACGTCGCTAGTTGCTGTCAGACAGACAATCACTAGAGGCACTTCCTCCTTGAAAATGCTTGATTTTTGAAGGTCTTCATGTTTGAAGCCATCACTCTCAGCATGATGGTGTAGCTGCTGCTAAAGCTTTTCATAGCAAAGCATTGTATTCAGTGCTTCTCTATTAGAAACATTGGATTGTAGGAGTGCAGCAATTGCTGTGCATGTGCAATGGGTCCCCTAAGCTTCATTGAGGCCATTGAACCATTGGACCAAGATATTCTGCGTTGATGGTCTCAATAGAGGTGGAGCAGCTGTTGTTTAAATTAAGTTTAAATGCTTTCTGTTTTCACTGTTACTTTGTTGTTTAAATCAGTGGAATCCCTGAATCTAAAACATTATTACTATTTATTATTCATTTTGAGTGTTGCTTTCAGGAGATATTACAGCAAGATAAATGTACTGAGACACCAGACTGCATTTTTTTATATCGCGGCATGTGTTTGTTTGTTTTTTAAGAAGGCATCTATAAAGTATTTGGCTCCATAGTTTGCCTCCCTGTTTTCTATTTCATTTTCTTATTAAATCCTTATGCAGTAGACTAGCCCCTGCTTGTTTAACTGGTAACATTTGGGGTTTTGTAAAACACTGGCAGAAAATGCAAGCTATAAAATGTGTACAGGTTAAATTGGCAGATCATTGTGTAACGGATGCACAGTAACAAATGCTGTGTGTGCCAATCGTGCCCCACGATCCTCGGTAGATACCTGGTCTCGTTCCTTCTGCAGTTCAGAAACCTGGTGGTGAAATGCGTCGGTTTTCTTCTTTAGCATATCATTGTCAGTTTGTAGATGGCATTTTTCTTTCAAAATGGCCTCTTTCTCCTCCTGCCACTGTAAACATGAAGACAAGTAATTTTCAGCTTTAATTCCTAACTTGAACACTGAAAACATTACTTAACGGGACTCAAACCGGGCTCTACGTGGGGTGGGTTTATTGCATGAAACGCTCACTTCTGTTATATGAATGTGCCAGAAGCTATGTTATTTCATAGTTTAACTTGTTGTTGTCCACACTAAGGTAAAGTGTTTTTCAGAGAATAAAACTTGTCTGGAATTTTATTAATAGAAATTTGTCATACACCTCTACCCCTGTGCCATCGACTACAGTGCCATAATAACAAATAGTGTGATTGCCGTGAAGTGAGCTTCCAGGGGATCCTCAAAGTTTAGATATTTCTGAAATGCTTTGTTATAACAAGTATACAACCTACCTATTATAAGCATTGATAACTTACTATCCCACAAGAGCAAGTTTAGAGGGGATGGGGCAGTTTTGGGAATGTTTAAAATGTTAACCTCAAGCTCTGCATTCTTTGTAATCATACTAATTCCAAAGTGATGTGAGATGTAACATACCCTTTTCAATATTCTTATCCTCAATAAAAAAAACTGCTTGCAAAAAAATAGGAAAAAGTGGTCTAAAGTACTAAAAGAAAGGCAATCACTGCAGGAACCCATGGAATCACCTTTTATAAATCTTCCTGTTTATCTAATAACACTTAGACTCAAAAATAATTACATTTAAAAGGGTAATGTAGGCAATGTAACTGCTTCATATGGTTGGAGTGGTTATAGTGTGCTGTCCATCCATTCATTGTTTTATTTTGTGGTTTAATGCTAAACGAGAGCCTCTGTCAGCTCGTCCCCTCTTCACTGCTTGGGCTAAGAGGAAGCAAAAACATGCGCAGCACTGGGAAGCAGTGCTTGGCTGAGGTGTGTCAGCTGATCACTTTAAACCTATCACAGCCGCTCATTGCTGTATCAATCGGTACGGCTAACCCATACCTCAGTGTGGACAGGAACTTCATTCAATATTACACTGAATGGAGGGACAGTGCCAAGGACTCCAGACACTATAACCACTTGAATGAGATTAAATTATTATAGTACAGTGTCCCTTTAAATAAAAAATATGACATGAAAAATAGTTAGAAGAATTAAAGTTAAAAAAATTATAATTAAAATATGCAGTTTGCAAAAATATTCAACTCCTCTGCTCTGGAAGCTCATGGCAATACAATTATTATACAATTAGCTAACAATTCATTTCCACTGGATAAAACTCTTTGGAGTGGATCAAGAATGAGAGTTAATGTTCTATAGTCATCAAGTCCTGATCTTGGTCGTTGAGAGAATCCTTGGCACTATTTGAAAATGGCAGTAAACAAGCAACCTATTCCACCTGCAGCAAATCTGCCAGGATACATGCGCAAACATTGCTCTCAGACAATGCCCAAAGCTGGTAGGCACTTACTTTCCCCCAAAAGACTTAGAGCTCTTATTACAGCTAACTGTGCCAATATTAAAATGAGGGGTTTGAATCCTCATGCAACCGGCATGTTTCAGTTCTTCTTTCAAGTATCTACTGCGAAATAAACAATTTTAGAATTTGGAAATAAAACGTACTCATAGAACAGATGATTTTGTAATAAAAATATTGTATTGGCATTTGTGACTATGTATCCAAAAATTGTACTGAAATAATATTTTCAATTAATTAACTGTTTAATAAAGTTTTACCTTCCGTCCTGGGCATTCAGAGGTGGCAATCAATCACGTTCAATATCAATGTTACATTTTACCCTCTCACCCACCACGTACCGTCTTCTTTAAGGCCTCCGAAGATGCAATCTTCTCCCTGGCACAAATAAGCTGGTTCAGCAGTTTTTGAGCATTTTCCGGAGTTAAATCTGCTTGTTGCATCTCACCCAGTTGCAGCTGTGGGGATTAGAAATTGATCAAAGGCTGAGAAGGTGGATTGAATTTACTTTTGTTTGTGTTGCAGTGCGTTCAGATTCAGTTGGGTCAGACTCACAGGACTGTGAATGAGTGTCAGCGATCCAGTTTGTCTTACTCACCAACTTGCCCTGTCCTTTAATCTCCAGCATTTCTCTCAGCTTTTGGTTCTCCTTCCTCAGCATAAATAGCTCCTCTTCACACAGGGTGGTGGTGCTCCAGTTCTGAGCCGCCTGCAGCTCAATCCGAACTCGATGAAGCTCTTCCTTCATGGCATACACCTGCAAAGGGGCAAGAGTTTTTTTGTTACATAATTTTCAGACAGCTGTTTTGTCTGTCATTGCAGAATCCCAAACCGCAGATACTAGAAGCTGTAGAATACACGTTGTGCTATTACAGCTCTGTATGTCCAGTTCAGTAACTATGAACCTATGGCGGTCTTACTATGCTTAATAACAAGTGAGCTGGAACTGTGTCGCCCTACAGACAGACAGGAGTAAATATTACATCCAATGCTGTACTGCCATTTTGCCATCATTCTGGCTTGAATTCTAAAGCTTAGCACTGCCGTATAGTCCTTTTATCACGAACCACTGTTGTGTCAGAATTATGATGCTCATTCCGTGGCATCATTCTGACACTGACGCACATTCTGTGCGCATTTGTGTGACGCTACAAATCAACATTTAGTGACAAATATCTACTCTCCACACATTCATTGTTGTGGTTTCTCGGTGTTCCGACAGATAGGGATTGAAGAAAGGGGAACGAGGGGGGAGGGAACAAGCAATTGGAAAGTGGTAGTCATTGAGGGAATTTAAATAATGTTGGAATACACACTAACAAATCAAAGAGAAAGCTTTTATCATGCATAAATTAGCAGGATGCTTAATCCAGGAAATAGGTTCCCGTAAATCAGTGTTCTACCCATAATTACCAGCCCTGCACACCCATTACCGTATTAGTCGCTGACACATACTGAACACCTATGTAAAGCATGATAGCTATGCATTAAGGATGGGCAATCATAGATGTTTGATTACAAAACAGGTTTTAAATACAAACACTCATTATCTGTTGCACCAGATGAGTTTGACTTCCTTCCAACTCTGTAGCAGTCTAGCACTTTGCCCATTAACTGACGGCAGAATAATTAACATCATATCAAGATCTGATAAAGGCTCACTATATAGTAATATAGATCTAACTATACAACACACTGCACTGTTGCAGTAATAGCACTACACGACACATTGTGTATAATCAGCCCTAATTAACGGCTTGTTTATGATCAATTACGTGAATCACAAAATTTGTTTTGTTAAGGTTGACTGAACACCTAATGAATTGCAATTCATAAAATTTTGGGATGCCAGTATTTGCATGCAGGGCCGCCATCAGGGCATGACAACCAACGGTTGTCATGGGCCCGGCGGTCCTGGGGGGCCCGGACTGCTCAGGTCGTCCCGGGCCCCACATTCAGTGGCGTACATACCAGGGTGGCAGGTGAGACAGCCACTAGAGGCTGGATTAACCCTCAGTGAAACATAGCAGTTTCTCTGAAACTGCTATGTTTTCAGCTGCAGGGTTAAAACTAGAGGGACCTGGCACCCAGACCACTTCATTGAGCTGATGTGATCTGGGTGTCTGTAGTGGTCCTTTAAGTGTATCTGCATGCGCTGGCGTTCATACCGCAGTCGCAGGGGTCGCAGCCATGTGTTGCGGCCCCAACCCGCGCAGAGTAAGCGCGTGGGGGGGTTACGGATCAGTTTTTGCACCGGGGCCCCATGGGTTGTGTGTACGCCACTGCCCACAATAGCTATGTGCACACATATATAGCGATTAACGCTATATATGTGTGTGCACTGCGGGCGCCCCGCTACGTGTATTCTGCAGGGGGCCCAGCACATTTGAAATATACTGCCCAGATGCTCTGCTCTGTCGAAGTCTTGCGAGCAACGCGATCTCCCCCCTCCATGACCACAGGTGAGATACAGGGAGGGGGGAATAAAACAATACAATTAATGGATGGGAAAAAAAACTGTAGGCTTTCCCCCCCACATTTTGCAGCCCCATACATTTACACACACTATCCACTAACATTTACACACACTATACACTAACATTTACACACACTACTCACTAACATTTACACACAATATTCACTAAAATTTACACACACTACATCCTTAGACAAACACACACTCTGCAGTACCTACACAAACACACACACATTTTGTAGTCACTACACACACTACATCCACTACACAAACACACAGTCTGCAGTCACTATACACACATTAAATACTTACACAAACACACACTATGTAGTCACTATACACACACTACATCGACTATACAAAGACACACTTTGCAACCACACACTGTATTCACTAAACACTACATCCACTACACACACACTACATCCACTACACAAAAACACACTCTGCATTCACTATACACATCGCATTTAATACACACAAACACTACATCAACTACACAAACACACATACACACTCTGCATTCACTATAAACACACACTACATCCACTACACAAACACACACTCTGCATCTAGTATACACCTCATACACTACACAAATGTACAATCTGCATCCACTATACACACTGCATCCGTTAAACACACACCGCATCCACTTAACACACGAACTCTGCATCCACTACACACATTCTACATCCACTATACACACACCAGAATCAGTACAGACACTGCATCCCTGTGGGCGGACTCGGGGGGGGGGGCAGCACTTTGGGCGGGCTCGGGTGCAGGCACAGGGGGCCCAGATCTTGAGCTGTGTCAGGCGCCCCAAAATTTCTGATGGCAGCCCTGCCGGCATAAACCAAAATGCACAAAGTAAAGCTGAATTGGGGAGTTGTGTCCTTTTCTGATTTCTAAAGGAACACTGCAGAAAGTGTTGGAGCAAGAATTTTATTATTGTTATTATTATTGCCCTTTATATAGCGCCAACAGATTCCGTAGCGCTTTACAATATTATGAGGGGGGGATTTAAATAGGACAATTACAAGAAAACTTACAGAAATTATAGGTTGACGAAGACCCTGCTCAAACGAGCTTACAGTCTGTGTTAGGTGGGGTATAAATAGGGACAGGAAATAGCAATCAAATAAGGTGGGAGTGAAGCAGAGCTGGAGGAGAGAGCAGAGTGCTGCCCTTTAGGAGAGAGCAAGAGACAGGTGTGTGAGGTAGAGGTTTCTCTGGGAGGCCATAAGCTTTCCTAAAGAGATGGGTTTTAAGGCACTTCTTAAACGATTTAAGACTAGGGGAGAGTCTGATGGCGGTAGGCAGGCTATTCTATAGGAAGGGAGCTGTCCGTAAGAAGTCCTGCAAGTGTGAGTTGGCCGTACAAGTGCGAGCAGCGGACAGGAGAAGGTCACAGGCAGAGCGGAGAGACCGAGAAGGGGCATACCTATGGATCTGTGAAGAGATATAAGAGGGGCTAGAATTGTTCAGTGCTTTAAATGTATGGGTTAGCACTTTGAATTGACTCCTATAGGATACAGGAAGCCAATGTAAGGACTGACTGAGGTGTGAGAGAACTGACTAGAGAGAAAAATGAGTCTGGCGGCAGCATTCATTACAGACTGTAGCGGGGCAATACGGTTTTTGGGAAGACCAATTAGGAGAGGGTTACAATAAACCATGCGGGAAATTACTAGAGCATGGACAAGCTCCTTGATAGCATCTTGCGTACGAAAGAGCGGATGCGGCTATGTTTTTAACATGGGTTTATCATTCCTTTACTAAACTGACTCCTAGAGTGTTCATTTGCTAATTGCGGCATTGCACACAAAATGCTTAGTTTTTTAAGTTGTTTAGTATAACCTTTTTTACCTTCTCCTTACAGAGGAAAGGTCATACTTTATCTGTTTTCAATAAATGTTACATTTTAGGTAGGCACTTTCACAGAAGTAGAAAACGGCTGAATTTTAGCTGTAACCATTATATTATAAGTATAATGCGACACTTCAAATACATGCATATTTAGGGAAAATACTGGAGAAAATATCTTCTGAATGACCCAAAATAAAAAAAAGAAATTCCAAATATATCCTTGTGCTTACTAATATGAAACCTTTCAAACACACAACTGGATGGATATTTCCAGCAGTTCATGATTCTCAGGTTAAGATTACGCGTCATATTTGGGACATAAAAATCTCACTTAATTCTTGCTGTTTGACCTGTTCCTCGAGTTTCATTGTTCCCAGGTTTAGCCCAGGGGCCACATTGTGGACCAACACGCTCTCTGTTCCACCAGCTAACCTGTTCTTGGACTTCATTGCTCCTGGTCTGCATGGTGTCTTTCTCCTGTAGTGCCAGCGAGTAGCTCATGGACAGATCATACTGTACATCCTTTAATTTGCTCAGTGCCTGGCTTTGTTCGTCCATTTCCTTGTGGAGTCGATGGTTCTCTGTCTCCATGTTGCGTAGAGACTTGCATTCCGTCTCCAGATGTTTAAACCTGTCCCATAACTTGCGCAGGTGATACAGTAAGGAATCCTTCAGCTGTTTCTCCTTCGTTAATTCCTCGTGCAAGCTGCTCATTGAGCTCAACAGGAACACATTAAACTGGCCGCTGTCTATCAGTCCTGCGGAGAAAGAACAAGGTCAACACGGGCAAAAAATTTCCAATGTGTTATTCTCCACTAGGGCTCTGAAGACACGAGATAAAGCACCATCATGGAAAGATGGACAAGTCCCATTACATCTCATATTGTCACCATGTCCTCCTACAACTCATACTGTCACAAAGTCCCATTACATCTCATACTGTCACCATGTACCGCTACATCTCATATTGTCACCATGTCCTCCTACATCTCATACTGTCACCATGTACCGCAACAACTCATATTGTCACCATGTACCGCAACATCTCATACTGTCACCATGTACCGCAACAACTCATATTGTCATCATGTCTCACTACATCTAATATTATCATCATGTTCCGTTACATCTCACTGTCACCAAGTCCTCCTACATCTCATACTGTCACCATGTCCTCCTACTTCTCATATTGTCACCAAGTCCCATTACATTTTATATTGTATCCATGTCCCTCTACAGCTAATATTTTCATCATGTCCCATTACATCTCATATTGTCACCAAGTCCCGCTACTTCTCATATTGTCACCAAGTCCCACTACATCTTATATTGTCACCAAGTACAGACAGATCTCTTATTGTCACCAAGTCCTGCTGCTGTATTATGTTATTGGTTGCATTCACATAGGAGAGTGCCTTCAGATCTTACTGCTGAAGCTGTTGGGGGCGATGGAAGCTTCCTTTCCTGTAATGAGGGTGTACATCCTGGGGTTCACCAGGAGCAGGCTCTCCAGGAACGCCACAGCGCCATTCTTCCCCCGAGTACGAAGCAGGTCCAGGAGATATCCTGCCAAGAAAAGAGCAGGTCAGAAGAAAGGCGGACATCAAAACAAGAAAACAGGCAGCTCCCCAGCCTTAACAAAAACTCACATAATCCTCAGCCATATTCTGGTTGCTTGGAAAGTTAGCTGGTGTAAAGGCTGACAATGCTAGTGTGGATTATTGACAAAAGATCACAATGTTTGGAAATAAAGATTCCCAATCAAACTGATGGCCTGCAGTATGTAAAATACTGGCGTGGGGTTTACGGGGCAAGAACAGACCATGCCTTCCTGGTGATGAAGGGGTCGGTATAGGCAGACCCTCCAAACTGTGAAATTACAGGATCATTGAGGGTATTATTTTCATTTTTTTAAAAGGTTGCTCCAACCATCATAACTACTACAGCCTTCTGTACAGCCCACTGTAGTGGTTATGGTGTAAGGAGTATACTGTCCTTATTTCCCAATAATGGGGGAAGCTGTCTTGCAGAGGTTTTTCCTCATATTTTGGTCTCCATTGTAGGCAGGTTACAACATGTGACTCTTGCAGAGCTGCAGAAGCCGGACGCCAATCTTCATCCATTGGCTGAACGCATCAGCTGACCCCTCGCAGCCAATGACTGACACTCTGTGCAGGAGAATTTCACATAATGTATATTATCTAGTCTGGAACTCCTGCTCTGGGCTGGTTAATGACGCCCCATTGAAGCTGACATTGGTGGAGTCACACCTCTCGCAGCACAGGGGGTTAAACTCCAGACACCATGACAACTTCAAATCACTGAAGTGGTCATGGTGTTTGGAGTAACCTTTAATATTGCTTTTAATACATAATCTATATAACGCATTAAAAAATAGACCATCATTTTGACCCCTTGATTTCAGGAATCATTGAAGAATTCACCATGAATAAATGTGTCCAGAAAAACATGGCGGACATGCCGCCTTGTTTGGGACTTTTTCCTGTGAATTTATCCATATTTTATGTAATGCTAACTTGTGTATAAATATATTACTTTGTTCTCTTTTTTCATCATTCGTATTTCCTCTTCTTGAAGAAGCCTTTCCTAATATTTTACATAAATCTGTCCAAATGTGAGTAAAAGGATTTATCTGTTTTCAAACCGTGAGAAACGGTTTTAAAGGAAAATACGTATTAAGGGAAAATACACACAATTGTGTAGAAGCCATTATTAAAATAAAATTTCAATTTATAGTTGTTTAAAGTTCCTCTTCCATACATATCAAATTATACAAAAAAGGTGAATTAATTGAGAATGACTCGATGTGAATTTCAAACTTAGGGTCAAAGTAGGCAAATTAGAAGCATAGCTGACTGTGGGGGGAACTTTGTCCCTAAATCTGAAATGCTTTATGAATGTCCAAGAGTTCTCAATTTGGCAAATCACCCTGAAATAGAAAGTCCTGTGTACATTTCCTGATTGCCAGCTATGGGTGAAAGCAGCCAGATTTGCATATTAAAGTTTATTAAATGCTGATAGTGGATAACTGCCCTGGAATATAATTCCCTATCGCTTTACGCGGAAATCCCCATCAGCATTATCAGGTTTGCTGAGTACAGCTCTGATTACCTTTATCATTGTGTGATGCAGAGACAAATTCAGGTCAAGTGTTCATTGACAGCTATGTCGTATTCTCAGCCAAACCTATTATAATAACAGCTTGAGAGCTCCTTGTGAATCCCTGATTCTGCGATTTCCTGCCAAGTCCTATCACCAGTCTACAGAGAGCATCCAGCAATGTGTCCGACATTAACACTGTGATACTGCATACACTGAGTGCTTACAATCATACCTGCCAACAGTCCTGAATCTGGCAGTACAGCCCTCAAACGGGGATGCCATAAAAAATGCTTAAAGAGACCCTCCATTGCCCCAATAATTAAAAATATAAACACCACTGGTTAGTAAATCTACACCCAAATGGCATTGAAGAAATGCATTTTTTTTTATTGGAGATATATTTTAAAACAGCTTGTGCAGTGGTCATGTCCTTCTAACCCTACGATGTCATTTTTTTTTTTTTTTATTGCAATGTTTACATTGAAGGTTTAAATCCACCTCTAGGGGCTGTCATACCAAGGAGGATACACACCCCGTAGACCCAGTTTAAATTAAAACTTTAATAAATTAGTCCTTCTGTATACATTGATAATCCATGTGCAGTTGTCATATCTGCATTCCTCCTTAATCAAGGACACTGACACAGAACAGGTACAATAACAGTGTTCAGGCAGAGACCCACACTGCGGACCTGACAGAATGTTCATAATGTCTCCACCTGGGCGGAATATTGAACAGGTAACAAAGTACCTGAGCAGGAAGTGTACCCTACAGACATATTGGGGAGATTTATAAAAATGTCATATATCGAAAATGTGGAGTTATCCATCTGAAAACCAATGTATATACCTGCTGATTTCTTTGAATTTCCCCATTTTTTGTAGTTCTAATACTTTTATAACATTCTCCTTTAACCCCTTAAGGACCAAACTTTTGGAATAAAAGGGATTCATGACATGTCACACGTCATGTGTCCTTAAGGGGTTAATAGTTGAAGCTCTAGAACTGGGTTTTGTGAAAGTCTCCCACAAACTAATGGTTTGTCAGATACCCTGCGTCAGCTTCCCGGACAAAATCTGAATATAATGGGAATCCATTGTATGAAAACAGAAGGCATGGAGAATTGACATCTCTGCGCATGCAGATTACAGACCCAAACTCACCTTGTCTCATTGGTCTAGTTGACAACCTGACCGAATGCAGAATTTCTTCTTCGTCCAATGCATCTAGCACTTTGATTTGGCGCAAATATGGAGTAAGCCGTTCTGGATGTAATCTTGAAACAATTTTACACCTGTGTCGGTTTATCATCTCCCATAATTCCTCTTCCTCCAGATCCATGAGTTCTGGATCTGCCTTCCAGCTTGCAGCCATCCTTGCCTGAACTAAACGAACGGGGTCTTGGAGAACGGACAATCTCACAAATGGCCCGCTATGCTTAGGTTCAGTTCAAGTGAGGCCTGGGTGAGAAAAATAGAAAAAAAAATGTTTAATGTCCCAGTTATTTTATTAATTAATACGTTTTCCTTTGTTTTAAAAGTTAGTTTCTACAAATATTAACACAAAACGAATTAACATCGGACATTGGTTTTCGAGTATACAGTAAGTGAGTCACTGAAATTTAAAAAAATGGTCAAACACCTCCATATGTGTATTTGTAAAGAATAAGCTGGTAATTTTGGGAGAGCAGTTTCCAAGACTAGGAATGCATTAATGACAGGCACTGTTTATCAGAATTCTATTGTCAGCTGTGGCTTCAGAACATTATAAAAGTATCAATACCTAGGCAGAATTTCATTCACCAATTTAGAATACATTCATAAGACAAAATGAAAAACAAGAATATGAGACAAAAATACAGAGACAGGTAGGGATGAGTGAGTGTGATCTGAGTATGTGTCAAACAGAAATCAGCTTCGATAATGTCTAAAACCAAGAATTAAAGGATCACTATAGGGTGCGGAACACAAACATGTTTTCCTGACCCTATAGTGTTAAAACCACCATCTAGCCTCCCTGGGCCCCTCATGCCTCCATAAATATAGCAAAATCTTACTGTATTCAAGCCTGAAGCTGTAGATCTGCATGCTGTTTGTCTCAGAAAAATAAGCAGTCTGCTGACATCATCAGAAGTGGTGGCCTGATCCAATCACAGTGCTTCCCCATAGGACTGGCTGAGACTGAGAAAGAGGCAGATCAGGGGCAGAGTCAGCATGATTCAAACACAGCCCTGGCCAATCAGCATCTCCTCATAGAGATGAATTGAATCAATTAATCTCTATGAGGAAAGTTCAGTGTCTACATGCAGAGGGAGGAGATACGGAATGTTTGGATGCATTTTAGGCAGCCATGACCCAGGAAGGATCTCTAACAGCCATCTGAGGAGTGGCCAGTGAAGTTATCACTAGGCTGTAATGTAAACACTGCATTTTCTCTGAAAAGACAGTATTTACTGCAAAAAGCCTGAAGGTAATGCTTCTACTCACCAGAACAAATTCAATAAGCTGTAGTTGTTCTGGTGACTATAGTGTCCCTTTAACAGGAGACTTGAGACCAGACTGCACTGGTTAGTTTATTCAATGAAGAGTCAACTGTGTCAACTCAAAAGCTGCTACACTTTGTAAAAAATAAATCAAGTTCAAACATTCTTCTAGCAATTACATACAGGCATTCACCAGTTTTGTACGGCACCTGACTCACTAAGTAACCAAACAACACGAATCTTAGTGATGACAAAAGGATTAGGTGTGATTACTCTAGGAAAGTGTCTTCCAAATGTGAAAGGATTAAATCAGTTAAAGCTTCCTAGAAACACAAAGAGCGTGGGATACGGCCACTGCAGAGAGAGAGTGCAAAGTCTGAAAAGCTGAGATTTCACATAGAGAAAAGAAAAGTGTTATTTACTGTAAGAGAAGATATACCGGTTATTTACTGCACTGCACATTTTAAAGAATGATTAACCGAGATCCCTGGGTAAGCTGTATTTGGATCTTATTACTGAATTTATACATTCAAACCATAATATTTTTATCAAATTAAATGTTGCGTTCAGAATCTAAAAATACTTTGTATTAACTGCATCCTGACTTTGGTTAGTGCTTACGTCATTTTTGGGGGAGGGCGGGTTGCCCCCTCGCATTCACTGCAGCGGCCATCATGCAGGACAAACTGATCTTTTGGATCTAAACATCTGGCTGGGATTTCACCACGACACTGTAATGTCTAATTGGAGCTGAACAATTAATCTGTGCAGTTTGCAGGAGATCTATCATCGCTAATTAAAAATGATCTCTACATATCAAGTTATCTTCATTATTAAAAGTTTCAAAGAATTTCTGCTTAACTGTCACATCACATGTATTCTGTAGGTATTTATTGAGAAGCAAATGGCTAAGGGAAAATTAAATAGAAATTAGAAAAACACTGGATTTTCTTCACAGCAGTGGATTGCACTGAACGCAATAATAGCCGATTTCAAAAAGTTCTTCTCCCCAGCCAACCCCTATTTTAGCCCAGCAGGGTTACTCACTTAAAGCGGCACTACCATTTAAAAATGTCTACTTTATAAAATACTCACAGTGACTGTGTTGGTATCTCATTGAAATTCCAAACCAGTCAGGATTGAAACTTTGTCTCAGTATATTTCCTGACACTTCTAGACCAGCGGTTCCCAACCCAGTCCTGGATCCTCCATGGACCTCAATGCTACTCTTTAGTAAATAACCCAAATTGCAATAATGATACCAAAACATGCTACAATGTCACCAATATGAATTACCAATTAAAAGCACATCAAAGAATATACATACAGTCAGAGCTGGGGGGCATCTAACCTGTGGACATCTCACGTCGAGTGTCAAATCTTTCAGCCCTTTAATCTCTAGTATTCAGTACAGAGTCTGGGTTCGAATTGTAACAGCTACCTGCAAAATGGTACAATCGAACACAAAACCCAAATTAAGGACTGTCCTTTGAAATCTGGGACAGTTGGCAGTTATTTTTTAAATTTACTTAACTTTTTTTCCCCGTGTAAGGTGAAGAGATACATTGTGGTAGATGTTCAGGATGTATTGATCCCAGGTTCAGGATGCGAATTCACTTTATTCTATATATAAAAATTCCAGTGAATACAAGGTAACCGTATCACAGAATTCCTGCTTCTGAACTATAGCCGTTAAAATGTTATAACATTGATCTGATGGAATAAAATACAGATAGCAGTCTGTAAGAGGCCCTGCAGCTCTTAGTCGTTAACCTGCAGGTATGAGAGACTCACCTTGCTAAACATTCTGCACTCAGGATGTCCTAGATATTAGTTCCCAGCCAGTTTCATACATGGAATTCCACCCCCTGGGCAGGGTTATTACCTCACTGTAAGTGTCATTATATAACAAAGTCCAGGTGTTAAGACACAAGTGGAAAAACACTCAGGATTTACATATAATAATATATTCAAGTGATTATATTTACCAGTTAGGTGGAACTATGAAGACAAGTGTTTGATACGTCATAGAATATATTATCTATTACTTTCTAAAGTTCTAAGATCCATGTATCCATCCCAGCCTTTATATACTATCAGTGAGAGAGACTACGTGCCTCCTCTTATCAGCGCGGATCAGGCTGCTGCCACTGATCCAAACAGTTACACAGACCAACTGCTGTCTGTAGAATACTCAGGGAACACAGCAGCTCACACTCGAGGGGGCAATTAACCAAACCCCCCGATATCTTTTACACTAAAGGGATAAGGCCCTGGGGAGATAGCGCAGCTAAGCGGACAAGGGCACATGTATGAGTGTGGGGATGGATGCGTGTGATTGGTTGTGTATGTATGTGTAGGTGGGATTATGTTATTGTTATTATTATGTTATTTATATAGCTCCATCAAATTCCGCAGCGCTTTACAGTGGGTGGATGAACATGTAGTTGTAACCAGACAAGTTGGACACACAGGAACAGAGGGGTTGTGGGACCTACTCAATGAGCTTACATGCTAGAGGGAGTGGGGTATAGTGACACAAAAGGTAAGGATAGTATTAGACTAGTGACAGTTTGGTGGGATGGTCTTACCTCAGTGCCATTTGGGATTCAGGCCAGCAAACAGCTTCCCTCCCGCCCGCCCCATTGTTATGTATTCACAGCTAGCCAGGGGGTGTGTCCTTGCCAATTCAGTTTTGGGGGGCTATGTCAATATGTGGAATTATGTGGTCATCATTCCCAATGCTCCCCTGCTTTAAAGGGTTAATTTTAGGTTACCTGTTTTGACGTGCCCACCGAGAGAGGTAAAGGTTGGCTGGTGTTAAACATTGGAAGGAAAATAAATTAACGGTCGAGAGGGGAGGTGAGATTACGTGGTGCATAGGCTCATGGTCAGTATATTGGCGAGGACTGTTGGGTTATACTGTATGACACTATGTGTTAAGCTGTTTGCTAAGTTACAGTTATTTATGTTTGACGTTTTGTTTATATTAATAAAAGATAATGTTTAACATAAATTATGGATATGTTATGCAGTATTTTATCATATGTTATAATAAATGCCGTGGCCTGTTTCATCCATCCTACGTTGTCTGTCATTATTTGGGGATAAATAATAAATAGCTCTGAATTCAGCATGTTCTGTACAGTAACGAATTAAGGAGGGACTGCTGCATGCTACCCCTCTCCTCATTGTCACTAGATTGCAGCACAGTAAAGCGTTATCTGAGCTGGTGTTACTGGTGTTCGACACAAAACCTAGCTTCACATCTTGCCTCATTTAGCACCCTAACACCACGCTCAGTCCAATTCAATCACAGCAGATGTGGGCTGTGGCGTGGCACAAGAAGATAGATGGGGGTGTCGAGACACGCAATCGGGTCAGAGGGTAAAAACATGCAAAAAAGATTTAGCGGCTGTAGGTATACAAAGGGGAAGACAATTTCGTCTTTGGCTCTTAGGTACACCGCTGATTCTATCTGGAGCAATAGGTTGTCAGAATCCATGGGAACACTATGTTCATAAATGGAATGTAGTTAATGACCTACACTTTACTGACGGGAAAAGCTGCGTTTCTAAACTGCAAAGAAAACAAACCCTACCTTAATTTTCTCACATGGCCCAGTCTGTACTTAGATCGCTATGACTGACAATGTTTGCTATTTGCAATGCACACACCTACTAGTGTAGATATAAATCATAGGTTTTACTTCTGGTTATGACTCTGTCCAAGCGATTTTGTTTCTTTTCTTGCTCTTAAAAACTAGCAACCTTTAAATTAATAGATAAATAATAATAAATCAAATAAACTGAGATATCAGAAAGAATAGACAATGCAGATGTAAGGGTGAAACGCGCTGGCTAATGCGTAGTGCGTGCCACTCTTTATGAAACAGCACATTATCTATTCGCAAACGCAATCATTTTGCGTAAAAAATAGGTGAAAGTGGGAACAGTCAGTTAAATCTTCTTAATGAAAAAAAAAAGAATGAAAATCACTAGTGTACAGAAGCTGCTGCACCCTCAGGATAGACGCCAAATAGCGAGGAGATCGCGCAGATACGGAGTGCTTTACAGGTTTATAGCAGACTGGGATAAGTAAGGATGCAAGCACAATGGGTGACACAGGCACAGGAGATATTGCTGCCACAGTGGGCTAGTGACATCCACACTCTTGTAGCAAGTTACGGAATCTATAGTCTGCAACATTTAAATAACGTAACACACACAGAGAGCACAGTGCTGTGCATGGCTTTAATAACCCTACAGAGATTAGAAGGATCTGTGTTTCTGGTCAAACAATGTGTAGTGTATCTGTGCAATGGCTCCCATCCTGTGCTCTCGCAGGGTTAAATGTCAGGGCGTAGAGTAAGCTTAGTGTTCCAGGGACGTGTATTAATTGTTGACTCATGCAGAAGAAATGTCTATTCTTCTCCTTCACCATCACCACCTTCTGTCAGATAAGTTGATGAGACCTTTCTAGAAGCAATGATATTTAAAATGTTAACCTTTACATTTCTGCAGGTATGGGGGACACAAAATAAATTTACTGGCAGTGACTATATCTATCCTATTTGCAATTTATAGAAGCAGTGATATTTAAAATGTTAACCTTTACATTTCTGCAGGTATGGGGGAGATGAATAAATAATCCTGCAGTGACTATCTGTATCCTATTTGCACTTTCACAAACTCTGTGCACATCAATACAAACACTCAATGAAGTGGTCTGGATGCCGTGCCCCCCTGTCCTCCTAACCCTGCAATTGTAATTATTGCAGTTATTACAATAATTCCGGGTCACCTAACTGATGCTGGACATCCTCCCGCTTTGCTTGATACAATGCTATCCTATGGGGTGTTTCTAATTCGAGCACGTCGCTCACCGCACATGCGTATTAGGTCGTCCATGCGGGCCAACGTCAACGGAGAAGTGAAGGCAGATCCTGACCCAGCGCTGAGGGACATCAGAGCTGGATTTAGGTAAATTACATGAGGGGGCCTGCGAGCGAGGGGGTGCTGTAGTATAGGGTACTAAAGTGCTGGGAATACATGTTTGTACCATAGTTTCCCTATAACTGCATCATGGGTGACAATATGCAGATAGGTGATAGAATAGTGGGCGGGAAAAACTAAATTAATGAATAGGTTGCAGGTAGAGATGTGCAAATTAGCAAGGAGTTGTGGGTGGAGATATGCAGATATCAAAACTGCAGAAGGGAATGAAGCAGCGCATGGGTTTGAAGACAGCAGGGCTCTGCAGTAAAGAGAGAGACTACGCAAAGTTCTGAATGAAGGAAGACCGCAGCACAGTGCTCTGCAAGGAGAAAGGCCGCAGCACAGTGCTCTGCAAGGAGAAAGACTGCAGCACAGAGCTCCGCATGGAGAAAGACCGCAGCATAGTGCTCTGCAAGGAGAAAGACCACAGCACAGTGCTCTGCAAGGAGAAAGACTGCAGCAGAGAGCTCCGCATGGAGAAAGACTGCAGCACAGTGCTCTGCAAGGAGAAAGACTGCAGCACAGAGCTCCGGATGGAGAAAGACTGCAGCACAGTGCTCTGCATGGAGAAAGACTGCAGCACAGAGCTCCGGATGAAGAAAGACTGCAGCACAGTGCTCCGCACGGAGAAAGACTGCAGCACAGAGCTCCGCACGGAGAAAGACTGCAGCACAATGCTCCGCATGGAGAAAGATAGCAGCACAGAGCTCCGCACGGAGAAAGACAGCAGCACAGAGCTCCGCACAGAGAAAGACTGCAAAACAGAGCTCCGCATAGAGAAAGACTGCAGCATAGAGCTCCGCATGGAGAAAGACTGCAGCACAGTGCTCTGCAAGGAGAAAGATAGCAGCACAGAGCTCCGCACGGAGAAAGACAGCAGCACAGAGCTCCGCACAGAGAAAGACTGCAAAACAGAGCTCCGCATAGAGAAAGACTGCAGCATAGAGCTCCGCATGGAGAAAGACTGCAGCACAGTGCTCTGCAAGGAGAAAGACTGCAGCACAGTGCTCCGCATGGAGAAAGACTGCAGCACAGAGCTAGTTTAAAGAGAAGCATCCGATGTGACAAAAGTCATCAGATTGCTAACATAATTAAGATATGCTTGCCGTGAGGAGACTCTCCCAGTGCTGGAATAAAGGGTTGAATAGCAAATAAAGAAAGACTTCTTTTTTAAAAGCTGTTATTGGCTCCCCTTTAAATTCCACCAAACCAATGTGTGTGATATTTATGCAACAACCTTCAAATTCACATTTTATTCACGCATACCTAGTGTCCCTATGTAGGAGGGACAGTGCCTATATTGGACCCAAACTCTGTCCCTCTTTTCTGTCCTAATGTCCCTCATTTCTAGGAGCTCCATATTGTTGGTGTGTCTGAGTGTATAACAGAGCTCCACAGCAATAATACTCCCAGTAATGTGTCTGAGTGTATAACAGAGCTCCACAGCAATAATACTCCCAGTAATGTGTCTGAGTGTATAACAGAGCTCACAGCAATAATACTCCCAGTAATGTGTCTGAGTGTATAACAGAGCTCACAGCAATAATACTCCCAGTAATGTGTCTGAGTGTATAACAGGAGCCCCACAGCAATAATACTCCCAGTAATGTGTCTGAGTGTATAACAGAGCTCCACAGCAATAATACTCCCAGTACTGTGTCTGAGTGTATAACAGAACTCCACAGCAATAATACTCCCAGTAATGTGTCTGATGTATAACAGAGCTCCACAGCCATAATACTCCCAGTAATGTGTCTGATGTATAACAGAGCTCCACAGCAATAATACTCCCAGTAATGTGTCTGAGTGTATAACAGAGCTCCACAGCAATAATACCCCAGTAATGTGTCTGAGTGTATAACAGAGCTCCACAGCAATAATACTCCCAGTAATGTGTCTGAGTGTATAACAGAGCTCCACAGCAATAATACTCCCAGTAATGTCTGAGTGTATAACAGAGCTCCACAGCAATAATACTCCCAGTAATGTGTCTGAGTGTATAACAGAGCTCCACAGCAATAATACTCCCAGTAATGTGTCTGAGTGTATAACAGAGCTCCACAGCAATAATACTCCCAGTAATGTGTCTGAGTGTATAACAGAGCTCCACAGCAATAATACTCCAGTAATGTGTCTGAGTGTATAACAGAGCTCCACAGTAATAATACTCCCAGTAATGTGTCTGAGTGTATAACAGAGCTCCACAGTAATAATACTCCCAGTAATGTGTCTGAGTGTATAACAGAGCTCCACAGCAATAATACTCCCAGTAATGTGTCTGAGTGTATAACAGAGCTCCACAGCAATAATACTCCCAGTAATGTGTCTTTAAAGTACAATACATGTGTTTAGAAATCAGCCTGTGTAAATAAGATACATTGTTCTTAATTTCATTTAAGTAGCATAAATTGTTATTAGTAAGTCACATAAAATTTCTCTAAACAGTCCCGCCCCTGGTCACACCACCACTCACACCCCTAACTTAAAAGTGTCCCACTTTGTCCATGTGAAACGTTGGTATGTTCACATGATGTTATTATTAAATTAATAAATGAAGTCCAGACACACCTGGGGCCAAGTCCCCATTCACTGTTTCAGGAGGGTGAGTTACACCCATCATCATGTTCGGTACCATTTCCGAACATAGAGCGTTGGATCTCCCTAATTCCCGTCCTTCTGATTGGCGCAATCTTTGGAAATCTGTAAATTAAGTTACAATTGAAACGACACTTTATATTGCTCTGCCAGCAGGGTCTAGCTACAGTACCCGCCATGCTATTTTATAATACGACATTATTTAAAGGAACCATTCCTAGTCTGAATTCTTAGCACGTTAACCTTATTATTATTATTAAAGGATAAATTTCTCATAAATATCTTTTTTTAATCTGGCGTTTTCATGAAACTGAATGGTTTAATCTAGGATTAGGGCCTATCCTGGGGAAGAAAGGGTTACATTCATTTTTGCTTCTTTCTGATAAAGGCAGATATTTTAAAAAACATAGACACTGCCAGAACTGCTGTCAGTGGATATATAATATTTTAAAATAGACGGGGATTGAATGTAAAATACAGGCTTCTTACTCTGACCGTGGACTCTAAAATGTCTCTAAATTAATATAATCTTATAAAGATAATAATCAGAGTGCTGGCAACATAAATCGCTATAATTACCACATGCAGTCTCCAAAAATGTTCTGCAATAGCCTCACCCAGTTTGTTGCACCTCTAGCACCAGCCTCCTATATAAAGGAAGCTCTCCAAAATATTGGCAGATATACCTGCTCCGTGACATGAAATGTGCAAACTACGCCAATCTATTAATAGCAAGTCTGATAGCAAGATACATTGTAAAAATAAACATTATAAAATTCCTATCGCATGCCAAGATTATACAGATAAACTAGTTGTGAACACTGCATGTTAACTAAGCCAATCAGTGCTAAACATAGCAGTTTTATTGTCATTATTATTGTGATTCTTGTACTGTATATGTTAGAGAGAAAAAACATATGTAATTTCCTTGTTTACAGGCAATTCTGAAAAGTGCAACAAAAAAAAAAAAAATTCTTCTAGAACTGAAATACAAACAGTCCTTTAAAAAACGAACAAACCGTAAATCTCAGACTTTGCATGTTGAGTGATACAGTTTGGTAATTAGAGTTTTATTCACTAGACTGCAAACCGCAAATGTCTCGCATTAACAGGGCTTGGTAGAGACATGGACGAGCTGCTAAACATCTCTAATTTTGCGAAGGAATAAATGCTAAGGTGTCAATATATCTCCGACTCTCAGCCAGGGTCCTACGCGTTCCAAGGCACTTTTCTTAATCAAGCAGTTTGTGGGAAAAGTCCCCAGATATAGGGAGGATGGAACCCCAATGAGATGGGACCACCGGTTTGGAGAATAACCCAAAAGCGCAGATTGGTTTTGTATGTGCCAGGCTCATTGATTTGCTCTGTGTTTGTGTTTGGGGGGGGTGGGAGGGAGTGGAGATTGGCTGAATTCTTAGCACGTTAACCTTATTATTATTATTAAAGGATAAATTTCTCATAAATATCTTTTTTTAATCTGGTGTTTTCATGAAACTGAATGGTTTAATCTAGGATGTAGGATGCACCTTCCATGTAGATAATGGCATCCTACTGAACCCACACCGAGTGCGGGCAGGGAGGTATAGACAAAAATATAGAAAAATAAGAAAACAAACATAAATATAAGATTTTTTAACAACTTTTTTTTGTTCTTAATTTTGCAAGTCGTTAATGAAGTCATTATTTAGTAAATAACATCTAACGAGTTCCAGAAATAGCAGTTAGTTGGCACAGGGTGTCAGAGTGGGGAGAGGAAAGGTTGCAATTTCAGAACTTTGCCTCCAATCCCAGTCAGTGTGTGAGATGTGAACTTTTTATTAACCTGCATATAAGAGATACAGTAACAGACAGTAATGGCAATCATTGACTTGGATGATGAATATTATGTATCTACAATTTACAATCAGCTCAATGCTCCATAATTCATTATGTCGATTTATCCTGCGATGTGATTAAAGTCACTACAGCATGTTCGTTCTACTCCCCACTGCCCCTATGGCACAATCTGCCCCACTCTCCACAGCCCCTCTGGTACAATCTGCCCCACTCTTGCACCACCCCTATGGCACACACCTGCCCACTTGCACCGCCCCCAATGGGCCTGCACCTGCTCCACACCTCTCCACTCACCCTATGGTAATACCTGCCCACTCTCACCATATGGCACACCTGCCCAATCTTGCCCAGCCCCTATGGCAATGGCCTGCCCACTGGCACCTCTATGGTACACACCTGGGTTCTAATTTCCAGACTGTAGCCCCTATGGCACACCTGCCCACTTGCACCACCACCTCTATGACACAATCTGCCCCACTCAGCCCAGCCCTATGGCAAAATGGGTCTGCCCACTTGGCACCGGCCCCATGGCACAATCTGGCCCCACTTTGCCCAGCCCCCTATGGCACACCTGCCCCACTTCCCTCCACAGCCCCTCTGGCACAATCTGCCCCACCCTGCACCGCCCCTATGGCACAATCTGCCCACACTGCACCGCCCCAATGGCACAATCTGCCCCACTCCCCACCACCCCTATGGCACAATCTGCCCACTCGGCACCGCCCATATGGCACAATCTGCCCAATCTGCCCAGCCCCTATGGCACAATCTGCCCACTCGGCACCACCGCTATGACACAATCTGCCCCACTCAGCCCAGCCCCTATGGCAAAATCTGCCCACTCGGCACCGCCCCATGGCACAATCTGCCCCACTTTGCCCAGCCCCTATGGCAAAATCTGCCCACTCGGCACCGCCCCTATGGCACAATCTGCCCCACTTTGCCCAGCCCCTATGGCACAATCTGCCCCACTCTCTACAGCCCCTATGGCACAATCTGCTTCGCTCTCCACGGCCTCTGTGGCACAATAGTCCCTGTTTACTTTTTGGAGCAGTAAATAATTTCTATAAAAATAACCTCCCCTTTGTACATTGTATTGTGTTACCTGTGAGAGCAGAATACACACAATGACAGAAACCTTAATATATTCTTCTTGGTAAGAGCACTTTTCACATACATGTATATATCACACAATTTCCTCTTTTTTACGGCAGGGGAGACAAAGGTCCATCGTGTACACTGAGCACAGACAGACAACAAACAAAAACAGAAAACACACACATACAAGTAAAACAGCGGCCTATAGCTCTACAAACACAGTGCTAAACACAATCACAGAGCTCTACATACACAGTGTTAAACACACAATCAGCAGCACACAGCTTTACATACACAGTGCTAAACACACCAACACACAGCTTTACATACACAGTGCTAAACACACCAACACACAGCTTTACATACACAGTGCTAAACACACCAACACACAGCTTTACATACACAGTGCTAAACACACCAACACACAGCTTTACATACACATTGTTAAACACACCAACACACAGCTTTACATACACAGTGCTAAACACACCATCACACACAGCTTTACATACACAGTGCTAAAAACACCAACACACAGCTTTACATACACAGTGCTAAACACACCATCACACAGCTTTACATACACAGTGCTAAACACACCATCACACAGCTTTACATACACAGTGCTAAAAACACCAACACACAGCTTTACATACACAGTGCTAAAAACACCAACACGCAGCTTTACATACACAGTGCTAAACACACCAACACACAGCTTTACATACACAGTGTTAAACACACAATCAGCAACACACAGCTTTACATACACAGTGCTAAACACACCATCACACAGCTCTACAAACACAGTGCTAAACACACCAACATGACACAGCTTTACATACACAGTGCTAAACACACCATCACACAGCTTTACATACACAGTGCTAAACACACCATCACACAGCTTTACATACACAGTGCTAAACACACCATCACACAGCTCTACAAACACAGTGCTAAACACACCAACATGACACAGCTTTACATACACAGTGCTAAACACACCATCACACAGCTTTACATACACAGTGCTAAACACACCATCACACAGCTTTACATACACAGTGCTAAACACACCATCACACAGCTTTACATACACAGTGCTAAACACACCAACATCACACAGCTTTACATACACAGTGCTAAACACACCATCACACACAGCTTTACATACACAGTGCTGAACACACCATCACACACAGCTTTACATACACAGTGCTAAACACACCATCACACACAGCTTTACATACACAGTGCTAAAAACACCAACACACAGCTTTACATACACAGTGCTAAACACACCATCACACAGCTTTACATACACAGTGCTAAAAACACCAACACACAGCTTTACATACACAGTGCTAAACACACCATCACACAGCTTTACATACACAGTGCTAAACACACCAACATCACACAGCTTTACATACACAGTGCTAAACACACCAACATCACACAGCTTTACATACACAGTGCTAAACACACCATCACACAGCTTTACATACACAGTGCTAAACACACCAACATCACACAGCTAGTAATATGATGAAGGCTTTTCAATAAAAGTTGATAAATCAGTGAATTACCCGAGGAAGTCCCTTAGAGTTCTGACCCAGGAGCAGCTTGGTACCAAGCCTGATTTCCCAGTTTGTGGGTGAGTGTCCAAGTCCACACTGACACTGACAGTCACTATATCCTCTGTGTGGCCCTGGGGGGCCTGTTCTGTACTGTATAGTGAACTAGCTTTACCTCCTATAACACCCACACAGAGGAGGGAAGAAGGACTGAACCAGCCAGTTCTGTGGCTTTCTCTTCCTGCATTCAGTCTGTCTGGAATGCAAGCAAAGGTCTCCCAGCCATGGACTGTGACTCACATGATGCTCAGTCAGCCAAAGCACCATGTACCAGCATCAGAGTCCCATGGCAGTATGGGGGGAATGGGAGGGGGTGGGGGGGATGCTGCACCTTGGCATTGAGAAAAAACAAACATATAACTTCTGGTTTCCATGGTGACTGCTCCATATTAGAATTTTACTATAACTAATACACACTCTAACTCTCACCAAGTGTGTTCCAGTGATACAGCTAGCAGGCAGCCCCCCTTCTCCCCCCCATATAGTCAGCCCCATTTTATTAACAAATGTAAATAATAATTTTTCCTTTTTAACAAAAACATAGAAGATCCCTGACCCGGAAAATCACATGAACATTTGTTTACCACCAATAAGGCCCGCCTCCACTAATCCGCAATACGCAGCCCAGCTCGAGGAACGCGTAGGGGACCCTGTTATAAAACACATCTTGTTTCCTGAGAGAAACAATTTGACCATATTGAAACTTTTGCAAAGATGATTGTAGGAACCGCACTCAATCCCAGCAGCCACCGGAGCGTCGGAACAGGACCAGCAATCCCAACACGTTAAGGCAACAAAGAGATTCCAAGGCACTCAGAGTGTTAAAGCCGCAGGCAGATTTAATGAAACAAAAAAGCAGCAATGTTTCGACCTTCTACGAGGTCTTTTTCAAGCTAACACCACAAACCAAACATCAGTGTATATAGCAAATAATGCCAAGGTCAAAAAAGGTCAAACAATAATTCACTTAAAGGAAAGTAAAACTTTTTGAACTTGATGTGCTTTATGTATTAAGGATACTTAATATTAATACTTTGTGATTCTGATCAAGGATTTCTAATCGATAATGGAAACTTCTGGAATCGTATATTCTGGTCTTATTATTATATTGTATTTATGTTGTGTATATGTGTATTTTATGTCCTATATACACTTAGATGTTATGTCAGTATCCATATAAAAATAATATATACATTTCCTTTTCCTGTATCAACAAATTAATAAGTCTTTCAAAGCTCGTTTGTTTTTGGCAATTAAGTATTAGATTCTCTTTCTAATTAATGTAATTAATTAAGTATTGCTGATCAGTAGTATACTACTTTCAGCTGTAAAACTACTTGCTTAGGATACTGATTCACAAGTGTATTTCATAATTGTGATTGTTTAAAGTTTGTTATATATATTGTACAACTGATGTATGTATCAGCTTGACAAAGACCTTTTGGGGTCGAAACGCTGCTGTTGTGGTTCTTAATAAAGTACCTGTCTTGAACCAAGGAGTGCCTGGACCGCTATTATTTGATTAATTTTTGGAAATCTAGTGTTTGATTCTGGCTCAGATTTATGGGAGTTTGTGCAGTTCCACACACACTACTAATACATCATTGGTCACCGTTTCAGGTATTGTTCTAATTCTTACGTTATTCCTGGGAGAATGGTCCTCCTGGTCAGTTATCTTGTTTTGCATAGTAATTACCTTTGTTTCAAGAGATTTTAGATGCTCTTTGAATTCTAATGAAGAGACCTGTACGCGTTCTATCTTGTCTTCTAGGGCCGTAACTTTGTTACCCAGAGTGGATAGATCATTCTTTATCTCACGTGTATTACTTTGAATAACTGATCTTATAAGTTCCCATTGATTTTCTAGGGAGGATTTTAATAGTTCTGGAGATATTGTTGATTGTTCAGAATTAAAGGATATTTGTGATTGGTCCGCCAATGATGTCTTCCCAGATGATAATCTATCCTTAGAAGCTGCGGGGGAGTTTATAGTAATTTTGGATGTATCATTTTGAGCACGAGGAGATTTTTATCTTTCTTATTTTGGTGTACCTTTTCTAATCTTTCCCTGTCTTTCGTAGTTAGGGTCTTAGTTTTTTCTTTGCTGGCCATCTTACTATCCCTTTCTCTTCCCCCCCGGTTTCCTTCACGCTTCCCTTTTTATATACAGTGGTAAAGTATTTTCTACAATGTTTGAAAGGCGCCTTTAAACCCAAGAAGAAAAGAAGAGAAGAAAAAAATAAAATATATATATATACTCTTCCCCACGCACAGATTTTAGGATATATGAGAACCCTAGCTATTTGGCTATTTGTTGCCTGAAAAACTATACAAATAAATAAATAAATAAATAATGGATTTCTTTTTTTCTCTCTTCCTCTCTCTCTGCTGAGTATTCTTATTCTCTAACTCCTTTCCTCTCAGTCTTTATGGTGGTTATTAATATAGAGTTGGATGTACAATATTAATTATCTTTATCTTAAAGGCAGTGTAGAGTGTATTTAGGCACACTGCTTCAATATAGACAGGTCTTCGTAAATATGTTCCTTTATTGTCTTCACGTATGTCTATCCTTTTCGCCTGGAGATCCCCTTCTATTTAGGTTCGTTTTTAGATTTGTTTTAATATGAGTTTATTCAGCAGATATGCCCCAATTTTCCTCACCTCCCCCTTTTCCTCCTTTCCTTTATTCTCTCTCCCCTCTCTCCCTATGTTTTTATGGGTTTCTATTGTACCGATGGGGGTTTTTATACAGTGATTTATAAAATATATTCAGTTTAGAATTCAATTTTGTCCACAAAGTATCTACATTATTCAATTTGGTCTGCAATCTGCAGTCTCCCTCACATAGTTGCAGATTGATTGATGCAGCAACATATTACATCAATACAATGTTCCAATGTTTCAAATTGTAACTTATCTGTATCAGCTTCAGATCACATTTCCATAGACTTCAGTTAGACTTCTCCTGCTGTTAGCTCTGCGCAGCCAACTTGTCCCCTTCGTAATGCCGCCACGAGGACCACATGTGTGGGGTAGTATATCATCCGGAGGGGTCCGTGGCCACAGTGTACCCATATGCCACCCACATTCCACTACAGTTGTTCGAACAGCAGCATGGGAAGGCGGCTGCCCGCAAGCAAACTCTGCGCCTCCAACTCAGCTCCTACGTCGGCTCCGACACCGCCGCTATATTCCAAGGGCAGGTAGTCCACGAGGAGGGAGGGTTAGAGCATTCGCCGTTTGCTATCGGGTTCCCTGCATCAGACGCGGGCATGTATGCATGCGTGCACGGTCACGTTATCCCGCCTCTTTTCAACTGTTGCAGGTTTAATTTGGTTGGATGATAACCATTAGCGGTTGTTACAGGTTTGGTTTGATTGGATGATAACCATTAGCGGTTGTTACAGGTTTGATTTGATTGGATGATAACCATTAGCGGTTGTTACAGGTTTGGTTTGATTGGATGATAACCATTAGCGGTTGTTACAGGTTTGATTGCATGATAACCATTAGCGGTTGTTACAGGTTTGGTTTGATTGGATGATAACCATTAGCGGTTGTTACAGGTTTGGTTTGATTGGATGATAACCATTAGCGGTTGGTTTGATTGGAAGATAACCATTAGCGGTTGTTACAGGTATGGTTTGATTGGATGATAACCATTAGCGGTTGTTACAGGTTTGGTTTGATTGGATGATAACCATTAGCGGTTGTTACAGGTTTGGTTTGATTGGATGATAACCATTAGCGGTTGTTACAGGTTTGGTTTGATTGGATGATAACCATTAGCGGTTGTTACAGGTTTGATTGGATGATAACCATTAGCGGTTGTTACAGGTTTGGTTTGATTGGATGATAACCATTAGCAGTTGTTACAGGTTTGGTTTGATTGGATGATAACCATTAGCGGTTGTTGTGGTTTAAATTCAGCAGACAGCAATGTTTTCTCTCAGGTATGAAGACAAGGAATGGACACAGCAGAAATACGAGCTCGGAGGGCAGTACTCATTCACACAAGTGTATGGCAGAATACTACACCTAATTTTAATGGGGAAAACACAGATCTTATAACACAATTCTATACACATCCAAAAGGGGTTGTCTTCACATAATACAGTCATGTTCTTTCAATTGCATATTAAAAGAACTTAAAGCACATTTGGCATTAGCTGGTCAAAAGGTGTTACTTGATTAAACAAACATTTCCCAACAAGGTGTTATCAGGATATGCAGTGCAGGGGGGGGGAACAAGAAGAAGATACAAATCAGGATCAAAGGCCACCTGTTATAATAGAGCATCCTGACATTACTCAATCAACTGTGTAGTGTGACACAGGAAATGTGCTCATTAATCCATATCAGCGGTTGTTACAGGTTTGATTTGATTTGATGATAACCATTAACGGTTGTTACAGGTGTGGTTTGATTGGATGATAACCATTAGCGGTTGTTACAGGTTTGGTTTGATTGGATGATAACCATTAGCGGTTGTTACAGGTTTGGTTTGATTGGATGATAACCATTAGCAGTTTGTTTGATTGGAGATAACAGGTTGTTACAGGTGGATTGGATGATAACCATTAGCAGTTGTTATTTGATTGGATGATAACCATTAGCGGTTGTTACAGGTTTGGTTTGATTGGATGATAACCATTAGCAGTTGTTACAGGTTTGGTTTGATTGGATGATAACCATTAGCAGGTTGTTACAGGTTTGGTTTGATTGGATGATAACCATTAGCGGTTGGTTATTGGATGATAACCATTAGCGTTTGGTTTGATTGGATTATTGGATGATAACCATTAGCGGTTGTTACAGGTTTGGTTTGATTGGATGATAACCATTAGCGGTTGTTACAGGTTTTTGATTGGATGATAACCATTAGCGGTTGTTACAGGTTGGTTTGATTGGATGATAACCATTAGCGGTTGTTACAGGTTTGGTTTGATTGGATGATAACCATTAGCAGTTGTTACAGGTTTGGTTTGATTGGATGATAACCATTAGCGGTTGTTGTGGTTTAAATTTAGCAGACAGCAATGTTTTCTCTCAGGTATGAAGACAAGGAATGGACACAGCAGAAATACGAGCTCGGAGGGCAGTACTCATTCACACAAATGTATGGCAGAATACTATACCTAATTTTAATGGGGAAAACACAGATCTTATAACAAAATTCTATACACATCCAAAAGGGGTTGTCTTCACATAATACAGTCATGTTCTGTCAATTGCATATTAAAAGAACTTAAAGCACATTTGGCATTAGCTGGTCAAAAGGTGTTACTTGATTAAACAAACACTTCCCAACAAGGTGTTATCAGGATATGCAGTGCAGGGGAGGAAACAAGAAGAAGATACAAATCAGGATCAAAGGCCACCTGTTATAATAGAGCATCCTGACATTACTCAATCAACTGTGTAGTGTGACACAGGATATAAGGGGAAAGGTGCTCATTAATCCATATCAGCGGTTGTTACAGGTTTGATTTGATTTGATGATAACCATTAGCGGTTGTTACAGGTTTGGTTTGATTGGATGATAACCATCAGCGGTTGTTACAGGTCTGGTTTGATTGGATGATAACCATTAGCGGTTGTTACAGGTTTGGTTTGATTGGATGATAACCATTAGCGGTTGTTACAGGTTTGATTTGATTGGATGATAACCATTAGCGGTTGTTACAGGTTTGGTTTGATTGGATGATAACCATTAGCGGTTGTTACAGGTTTGGTTTGATTGGATGATAACCATTAGCGGTTGTTACAGGTGTGATTGGATGATAACCATTAGCGGTTGTTACAGGTTTGATTGGATGATAACCATTAGCGGTTGTTACAGGTTTGGTGTGATTGGATGATAACCATTAGCAGTTGTTATTTGGTTTGATTGGATGATAACCATTAGCGGTTGTTACAGGTTATTACAGGTTTGGTTTGATTGGATGATAACCATTAGCGGTTTACAGGTTTGGTGTGATTGGATGATAACCAGCGTGTTACAGCTTTGGTGTGATTGATTAACCATTAGCGGTTGTTACAGGTTTGGCTTGATTGGATGATAACCATTAGCGGTTGTTACAGGTTTGGTTTGATTGGATGATAACCATTAGCGGTTGTTACAGGTTGGTTTGATTGGATGATAACCATTAGCGGTTGTTACAGGTCTGGTTTGATTGGATGATAACCATTAGCGGTTGTTACAGGTTTGGTTTGATTGGATGATAACCATTAGCAGTTGTTACAGGTTTGGTGTGATTGGATGATAACCATTAGCGGTTGTTACAGGTTTGGTTTGATTGGATGATAACCATTAGCGGTTGTTACAGGTTTGGTTTGATTGGATGATAACCATTAGCAGTTGTTACAGGTTTGGTGTGATTGGATGATAACCATTAGCAGTTATTACAGGTTTGGTTTGATTGGATGATAACCATTAGCGGTTGTTACAGGTTTGGTTTGATTGGATGATAACCATTAGCGGTTGTTACAGGTTTGGTTTGATTGGATGATAACATTAGCGGTTGTTACAGGTTTGGTTTGATTGGATGATAACCATTAGCGGTTGTTACAGGTTTGGTTTGATTGGATGATAACCATTAGCGGTTGTTACAGGTTTGGTTTGATTGGATGATAACCATTAGCGGTTGTTACAGGTTTGGTTTGATTGGATGATAACCATTAGCGGTTGTTACAGGTTTGGTTTGATTGGATGATAACCATTAGCGGTTGTTACAGGTTTGGTTTGATTGGATGATAACCATTAGCGGTTGTTACAGGTTTGGTTTGATTGGATGATAACCATTAGGGGTTGTTACAGGTTTGGTTTGATTGGATTACAGGTTTGGTTTGATTGGATGATAACCATTAGCGGTTGTTACAGGTTTGGTTTGATTGGATGATAACCATTAGCAGTTGTTATAGGTTTGGTGTGATTGGATGATAACCATTAGCAGTTATTACAGGTTTGGTTTGATTGGATATTTTACCATTACCATTGATTAGATGATAATCCTTAGTACTTGTTATAGGTTTCTCACACATGAGAGTACAACAATGAGTTCTATGGAGGATCCTGTGAGACTTGGGAGTCATCCACAGACAGAGCCTTTATCCCTAGACCTGTCACTGTTGTCAAGCATAGGAAAAATACTAAGACAAAGTTGTCCCTGCATTGTCCTAGTATGTCTTTTGACTGCGCTGAAATTTTAAAGCAGTCAATTTGAGAGTTTAATAACGATGTATTGGCACATTTTAGTGGTAGGGACACTTGTCTGCTGAGAACTCTGTGTTACACCTCGGTAGGATACATTTGAGAAGTTAGGTAGGAAGAAGTAAGAGGGACTCAATCACTTAAACTAAGTAAATCTCACAATATCTGTTAGGTTGATGCATCATTCTGGCAGCAATTTTGACACGGACCACCGGTCCCATACCCACGTCATCCCGGTATTAATTTTGTTTTTTTATATTCTTTATTTTTGAACATGCATGAGGTTACATTGCATCCTGCATTGCCACAACAGCAAATGCAAGGATTTGCGGTACATTCAGTGATACATGTGAAGTAATAGTGAGGACTACTAGAGATAATACTTGCATCATTTAGGAAAACAGCATGAAATTTTATATTTAACGATTAAGCTAGCAACAGTATTGTAGATACAACATGAGTTAGTCAAGGTAATGTAGACTTAACTAGTGGCTCATTTTTAAGTTAGAGATCATGCAGGCTAAAGGTAAACAGGCTTAGTTAGTTATGTAGCTATACAGTAGGTTCAGTAACTTCAGTTAAGATGTAGTGTGGAATAAGAGTTTACGTTGCTGTGAGTGCCGTATACATTGCGCTAACTTGCGGTCACTGGTAGATACAACTTATAGATTAACTTTCATACTATGTCTAGGTAGGTCATATTATGAAGACTAGTGGGGTTACACAATGTGGGGCAACTGTCACCCTGATGGATCATAGTTCCCAGAGCTGCCTCCGTGTGGGGGATATCGGTATCCTGGTGGTCCCAAGGCCACTCAGACAGGGGTAGTCCCGCTTTTATCAGATACCTCTTCTGCTGTGTTCAGGTGGTAGGGGGCAAGTGTCCATCAGAGCAGGCATCAGAGTGTACTTTGTCCTCATAGACTCCTGCATAGTTCTTTGGGTGCATTCGAGTTGCAGCCTTGGCGCTTGCCGTCTTCCCTTGTCTGCAGGCTGATGTCCGCCATGCGTGAGAGCTGGGCTTTGTCCATGGGAGTCCGCCGCTTTCGGGGTAATCCTGTTATAGGCTGAGTGGTAAGTGAGTGCTTCCGGCAGAGGTGTCATGCCGGGCAGCTGGCGCAGTTACCCCAGGCGGGGATCGGTTGCTGTTAGGAGTTCCGCCCTCCCGGTGCAGCCGCAAACTCCCGCTTGTTCCGGTCGCCCATGCATCTAGTTGCTGGCTTGGGTGATAAGGGTAGGCTCTGTGTTTGCCGTTTCCCTATGTAGTGGGATCGGGATGTGGGAGCTGTTTTTGGTGTGATCATGAGGAGGTGGGAGGTGTTCCCCTTGTTGTCTGCATGCAAGACGCCCGCCATTTTGGAGGCAGCAGTCGGGCTTCTCAGCCTCAGTCGCGGAGTCACATTCAGGGCCGCACCCCCCCGGTCCATAGGGGGGGGGAACGGAGCCGGATCCGCGCCGGTCTGTACCGTTGGTCTGGTTCTGTGGTGCAGGATAGTGAGGCAGCGGCCGTCTGCCTCACTCACCGCCAGAGAAGGCCCGGGTTGGGGCAACATGTTTTTCTCCCCCGGGGGACTGAAGCTCAGTGAGCCAGCCTCTCCCCGGGTCCAGCAGTCCCTCGGCTCTGGGTATCTTCGCGGTTGATCAGGTTTTAGGTGGTAATCAGCGTTTTTAGCAGTGATTATGTATTGTGTTACTGGAGCTGGTCTGACTTGCGACCGTCCAGCCTGGCGGTCCGGCCCCCCCCGGTATTAATTTTGGTGCAAACACTCACTGGCCTCGATACCTACGACCGTCTGGAGTCATTTTTGACATTGGTTACTCTGAACCTGTATCATTTTATGCCATTGTGCCATTTCTGACGCTTGCCTAGCTGTGCCATTTCTGCTGCATCGCCCTTGCATACTTTGGCAGCAGAGGAACGACACAAACCAATCACAGGATTCCTAAACCTACTTAAGCCCTCCCTGAATTCTATGCGTTGCCCTGTTGTGAAATCCCTTGTGGTGATCTGAGAGCACATTTAAATTGTGTATTTCTGATCCCTGGTATTCTTACTTTGACTTGTCTTTGACCATTCTTCATTCGGTGATCCATGACCCTGGTTTGTCTACCAGCTACTCTTACCTTCTGTGGTCCTAGAGCTTGGAGAGTTATTGACTACTCTCTAACCTGTTCCACAGGTTCTTGCTTTTTCTGACCTATGTCCTACCTTAGATAGGTGTAAACCAGGTTCTGCGTATTGGTCCTGGTGATATCATGACAGTAAAAGTATGAATGCAGATCATAAAAAACAAACAAACAGTTATACTTAGCAGAAGCACATACACATTTATTTCAAATTTAAGTTTTGTCTGTTTGGCATAGATGAACTTTGTGACATGACCACACTGCCCTAAATGAAAATTATATCATAGTAGAAGAGACGGAAGTATATATTTGCTGTACACATTTCTTGGAGCATGTATTTTTGCTGTACATATCATATAAACACTGGACTCCCTAACTCGCAATAAACAGAGGTCTTCTTTAAGTGGAGATGTTCAAAAACAATAATTATATTTTAAAAACTGTGTCTGAAAAGAGGAGCTAAACTACTAAACTACTAATCTAAAATTCACAAGATTTGGCACCTTGTATGGAGTATGGCCAGTAAAAGACCAATTTCCTTTAAACACAAACCAGAGTGATTGGAGGGTGGGAATAGTCCATTCTTCTCCAGTTTAATGCCTTAAAGCTTTGACGGTGGTTCCAGCTCAGTCCAGAAGGTTCTCCAAAGGTCCAGTTTCTGTCAGTGTCCCCAATGGTACACAATTTGGTAAAACCTGAATTCTGGACTGTTTGCGTGCCTCAATTACTGGTCTGGGAACTGCTGAGCTACGGTGACAGTTTTCACAAATTTCTAGAGAATTGTTAAGGGAATGTTGTTTCTTCATCAAACATTAGACAAACAAATAACTAAATAAAATGGAAATTATGGAGAAATGTAGCATTTTTCTGACCGGGTAAGAGGGACATATCATCTGTAACAAAAAACCACAACCACTGGAGAATCTAAAATTTCAGGAAGATGGCACCTACAGACAAAATGCGCAAAACAGATTTCCTGTGTGTCTGTGTTCACCATGCTGTAGACATGGTTCCTCATTTTACGGAAGAGATAATAAAAGTTGTTGCATTTCTGGTTTTATGCTTTTTTGTGAAACTGTCAAATCTGGTCTGGTAAGTCACTTCTGTTTGTTAAAGACGTCTCACTAATGACAAACTTTCCAATGTAGGACGAGCAGAAACACCCTTAAGGAACTTGTTTTTTAAAAAGATATTTATAAAGATATTTCAGTAACATTTTTGGACTTCAATAACCATTTTAGTTTTTTCCTTGGAAATTTTGCTTCAGTCACATTTTGTATTCACAAGGACAGGGTTAGACAACCTTTGGCGTCTCCCATAACGCTCTTACAACCATAATGCTGGCAGAGCATCATGGGAGATGGAGTCCACAACATCTCGAGTGCTTAAGGTTGCTTATCTCTGCACTAGGGTCATGCTGTATTTTAAAAACTATTTTTGCTTTACACACCACAATAAAGATACGTCAGTATGCACAGAGAAAGCTCAGCTACAAAGCCTAGATTACATATTACTGGAAGAGATTCTGTAGAGTTCTAACCCGGGTCTCAGGACCATGTGATGCTAAATCGTAATGGCAAAAAAATGTGTTCTATCACCATCATCTGAAAGAGATACAGAAATCAATCAAGAGGACACACAGGGACAAATTGCACAGACAGACAGGAGGAGTCGGAGGGACAGACAGATTGGACAGACAGACAGGAGTCGGAGGGACAGACAGATTGCACAGACAGAGAGGAGTCGGAGAGACAGATTGCACAGACAGACAGGATGAGTCGGAGGGACAGACAGATTGCACAGACAGACAGGAGGAGTCGGAGGGACAGACAGATTGGACAGACAGACAGGAGTCGGAGGGACAGACATATTGCACAGACAGACAGGAGGAGTCGGAGGAACAGACAGATTGCACAGACAGACAGGAGTCGGAGGGACAGACATATTGCACAGACAGACAGGAGTCGGAGAGACAGATTGCACAGACAGACAGGAGTAGTGGGAGAGACAGATTGCACAGACAGACAGGAGTCGGAGAGATAGATTGCACAGACAGACAGGAGTAGTCAGAGAGACAGATTGCACAGACAGACAGGAGTCGGAGGGACAGACAGATTGCACAGACACAGGCCCGGACTGGCCATCGGGCACAGCGGGCAAATGCCTGGTGGGCCGCGGTGGCCGTGGGCCGAGGCCGGCAGGGGTGGTCCCAGGATCTCCCCTGCCGGTCTATGCACGTGTGTGCGTGTGCCTGTCGGTGAGTGAGTTTTTTAGTGTGTGCTAAATCAGCAAGTGTATGTTTGTGCCTGTCATTGTGTGTCTGTTTAGGTGACATGGGAAAGGTGTTTTTACTCTCCTCTTGGTGCAATGGGCCACTTGACTGGATTTGCTCCTCGGGCCTAAGGCTGCCAGCCCTCCCCTGGACAGATTGGACAGACAGACAGGAGGACACGGAGGGGCAGATTGCAGAGACAGACAGTAGGAGACAGAGAGATAGATTACACAGATAGACCGGAGGAGAAAGAGGGGCAGATTTTGCAGACAGACAGTAGGAGAAGGAGAGACAGATTTAGCAGACAGACAGACAGAAGGAAATGGAAGATCAGATTGGACAGACAGACAAAAGGAAATGGAGAGATAGACTAATGGTAGTTAAGTGGTTTGTCTCATTTGAAAGAGTAAATTCACCTCACTCTCCGGCTTGTAGGAATAATTTTGGAAGGGCTCCCCATTTGCCAGCACTTTATTTGGGGGATTTGACAGCCCATATACTGAGACCATGCCCAGTTTTAGGGTGTCTGCCTGACTGCCCGCCCAAATCACCTCACTTTGAAGGACATTCTGTGACAAAGAAACAAAAAGTCAACTTTTACTATAGACACAGGCAACATCACCTCTTGCATTTGTCATCACTCAAATATTGATAGGTTCAGTGATTTGGGAACGTGCCCCTTTGGAGTCCATTTATTTGATGAAGACTCACATTTGCAGCCAGAAAGCTAACTTGGGTATAATCGCCTTTCTCAAAGGTCCCCAAGCTGTCTCCATCGTCCCAATAGAGGTCTCCACGGGCATATCCTTCGGAATCCAGAGCCACCACCAGTCTCAGGTCACTCTCGCGTGTTTTCTCGGCCGTCAATCCTGGAGTCTGAGCAGACAGAAGAAAAACATATAATTATTAAAAATAACAGCCTTTGTTTTTTAGCCTTGTTGTCCCTGATAGACTCAGAATCTTTCATACGTGTACATGCAGTCAGAGGACATTGCAAAGTCCCACTAGGAAAGCACAAAAATGTTAATAATTGAAAACTAACAATCATATTTTGTTTTGGGATGATTAATCTTGTCTGTCGTGGAGACAAGTAGAAATAAACATTTTTATGGTTGAATGTCTGAATGCCTGGTATAGTTTCCAAGTGATTCCTTGTTCAATAATTTGTTGCGGAGAATGCAGTGTATTTTGCGGTGTATTTTGGATTTGTGCTGCCCTAGGCACGACTAAATTTGCCCCCCCAATTTGTGTCAAGACCATTTTTTTGACTGACAGACACACGCCCTCATTTATACATGCACTGATATACACTCACTGACAGATACACAGTCATTGGCACACACTGTTTAACCAACACACACTTCCACTGACAGACACACACTGACACACCCACTCACTGACAGGCACACACTCTAAGATACACATAAAATGACATACACACACTGACACACACTCACAGGCACACCCATTCTCACTCACAGACACACACTGACAGCTACACTCACTCACTCACAGTAAGGTGGACAGCCCCAGAACACGAGGCAAACAAGGTATTTGTCTGGGAGCTTGGGGTGGCATTTTTTGGTGCCCCCCACCCCCGAAAGTGCCGCCCTAGGCAAATGCCTTATTTGCCTTGTGGTAAATACATCCCTGGGAGAATGTGCGGAAACATTTTACATTTTTAACTTACATCTAAAGTCAAGTGGTGCTAACATACCTTTCATTTATTGCAAATTAAAATAATGAAAATATGATTTTTATTTTTAAGAGTGCAAATAATTGCTAGCTTTATCCCTTAGTATATACTTTTGCCTTCTATGGGTCAGCTACTCAAACAGCAAGTTCTGAGGGACGGACACAGAATTTACTGAATACGGGAGATATGACAGTTTTCTAACGGAATAAGGTAGACATTTGTAACATATAGAGGAGGACCATGTAACTAACGTCTGGCACTCTGATTGAGAATGGTGGTTGGAAATGGGTGGAGTTAGTTGGATTGAGAATGGTGCTGAAAAATTAGAGGGAATTAGTTGGTTTGAAAATGGTTGTTAAACATGTGTGGGAACAGCTGGCTTGAGAATGGTGGTTGTGCATGAGTGGGGGTTAGTTAGATTGAGAATGGTGGTTGTGCATGAGTGGCGGTTAGTTAGATTGAGAATGGTGGTTGTGCATGAGTGGCGGATAGTTAGATTGAGAATGGTGGTTGTTCATGAGTGGCGGTTAGTTAGATTGAGAATGGCAGTTGTGCATGCGTGGGGGTTAGTTAGATTGAGAATGGTGGTTGTGCATGAGTGGCGGATAGTTAGATTGAGAATGGTGGTTGTTCATGAGTGGGGGTTAGTTAGATTGAGAATGGTGGTTGTGCATGAGTGGCGGATAGTTAGATTGAGAATGGAGGTTGAACATGAGTGGGGGTTAGTTGGTTAAAGAATGGTGGTTGGCCATGAGTGGGTTTACTTGGCTTGAGAATGGTGGTTGCACATAAGAGGGACAGGGTGGTTTGAGAATGGGAGCCTAACAAGAGTGGGGATTAGTTGGTTTATGAACGGTGGTTGGACATGAGAGGAAAGGTTGGTTTGAATAAGGTTCAGGAGCTCAAGGTAAATCCAAAGTAAGCAGGTTTATCGGAGCAGATGAAAACAACATTTGTGAAGCTCAATTGTGTTCTGACATGTTGCTCTCATCTGTTCCAATAGACCTGCTCACTTTGGAGTGCCTGGAACATAATCGGTTGTTTTGTAGCTTACTTCATCCCGTGCTTCCTCTTCTTCATCCCTGGCCATACATTGCCATGGATACGTTATCAGAACGTTACCGTCCTCAGTACATTATTGGTGGCGTTCATTCCGTGTTATTTGCCTCTGTAGTTCGTTAGACAATAGTATATAATAGCTGCTTCAACATTTTGACAAGGAAGCAAAGTTTGTTTTCATATTTATTTTTGTATTCTGCACAACTTGTTGCTCTTCAAGTTCTGTCTTCAGAAAATATATATGCAAGATCGACAAATTGTTGGAAAGACAAAAATAACTTAAATCTTGCATTTTGATCTAAATTGTTGGTTTCCAGAGATCTATTTTCAGTCTAAAATAGAGAAATATTTGGATATGTAGAGGCTATTTGAAAGAGAGAAAGACCTAAAAATAAATGTGTTTACTGATGATGATGATGATGAATGGAGCATTCTCAATGAAATTATAATAATAATACAAAATCCTCTATAAAGGAAATAATTAACATTCTGCAGACAGCCTGCATTTCACTTGTCCCAAAACATGATCCAGTTATTGTCTACATTGAACACTAAAGATCATTGTAACGGACCGTTTTGCACAAAAGGGGTAAAAACCGTTTAGGCGATCTTCCCCCTTTCCAGAGATGCAGGCACAGCTACTGTAGAACACCAAACACACGAACCGCCAATAAGGGAATGCTCCAAACACCCGAACTGCATACAAGGGAATGCTCCAAACACTCTAACTGCATACAAGGGAATGCTCCAAACACCCGAACTGCATACAAGGGAATGCTCCAAACACCCGAACTGCATACAAGGGAATGCTCCAAACACTCGAACTGCATACAAGGGAATGCTCCAAACACTCAAACTGCATACAAGGGAATGCTCCAAACACCTGAACTGCATACAAGGGAATGCTCCAAACACCCGAACTGCATACAAGGGAATGCTCCAAACACTCGAACTGCATACAAGGGAATGCTCCAAACACTCGAACTGCATACAAGGGAATGCTCCAAACACTCGAACTGCATACAAGGAATGCTCCAAACACGCGAACTGCATACAAGGGAATGGTCCAAACGCTCGAACTGCATACAAGGGAATGCTCCAAACACTCGAACTGCATACAAGGGAATGCTCCAAACACCCGAACTGCACACAAGGGAATGCTCCAAACACCCGAACTGCATACAAGGGAATGCTCCAAACACTCGAACTGCATACAAGGGAATGCTCCAAACACTCGAACTGCATACAAGGGAATGCTCCAAACTCGGACTGCATACAGAGAATGCTCAAACACCGAACTGGAACCTCACGAAATAGCTGCTAGCAGGCGAACAGGAAAAGCACCCAAGCGGCTTACACTCCTGGCAATCAGTCTCTATCAGCATTCAGTAAATCCCCCCCAAAGACGAGACAAGGCTCCGTGTTGGGGGTCAAGCAGTGGTCTGTTTAATGAGGGCTACCTGCCCAGTATTTATGCAGGTCTCCCACCTGGTGGACACTCCCCTAGGGGACCAGATGGAAGACTGTAAAAAAAGACAGACATGTACCAATTACAGACATACAGAAGTAAAACATCCCCACAATGCATCCTGGCTTCCTCCCCTCTGCCCTGGAGAAGTAATTATCTCCCAGGACAAAGTCAAAACTCCATTACACACGTGGGGACACAAAGACAGACTATCACTTTAAAATACATAATGGGACAAATGGTACAGTAAATATATACATGTAACATATCCCCAGATTGCTCAGGTCTGAGTGCACATTATTAGGTGAATGGCACTCAGACCACACGAATACAGTTTAATTGCCATGGAGCCAAAGTCTTTAATTCCATGAACAGGCTCCATGGCATAGCTATCTGGGTTAAAACATTCCCCCAACACAAAATACCGAATTTACATGCATTCGTTAAATCCGTACGAATTAGAACCAGGGGTTGGAGGTTCAGCGGTGCCTGCACGTAAAAGTGTCCGGGTTTGGTGCAGGAAAGCCGGGCAGAAAAGCGCTGGCTGCCCGGGGAGCTCCAGAACACCGCCATCGTGTGGCGGCTAAGTGTAACCGCGACCACCCAGTAACAATCAATTAAGCTGCGGTTAACCACAGCTACTGGGTGGTCAATTGCCGGCACACGCTCGTTAAGCCGCGGTTAACCGCGGCTTCAGGGAGGTAAATGGAGGGCGTACTCCAGCTTCTGGGTGGCCAATTAAGGTCGCCGGCCGACTTCCCACTGTTCCGGGGAGGCTGAAAAGAAACTGTTTGTTCGGTAGATAGAATCTACCGAACGGCTGTGCAGAAAGGGAGAAATAAATCCTTCTGCACAGTAAAATTAACCCTTTAGCTGCCGGTCCATAATCCAAAGGCAGCAGGTGGGCAACCAGGCTCCTCCAATGCAATGTGGCGAGATTGGTCTCGTCACAATCATCATCAGTGTTGGCTAGATCTCTGGTCACAAATAGTTAAAGAATACATTGTGGAATAAATAAATGGTTGGTTTTAAAGTTGTGTTTGATTTTTTTTTTTTTTTTTAGTAATCAGACAGATTTAAGCTATAAAGATTTTACTCCCTGCTTTGGCTGCTGAATTTTACATAAAAAGTCCTTACAGGAGAATTCATGTTATAAAATATACAATTCGTGAGGTCCCCCAATAGACCATTAGTGACATAACCAAGACAATGTGCTACAGTGGTTAACTGCACAGACTGCCCTTTTAATTGTACAGTCATTTACATTGGGCAATGTGGATAGTTGAATATAGGTGACAGGTAAAGAGCCAGATTAATATAGCCCAGGGCCCAAGGTAGGGTTCCATATTGGGGCCTTCTCCTAGAACCCTGGGCTCAGAGAGGAGGTGGCTGAGTGTCATGTGAAGTGGCTCAGTGTTTAATTTATGTGGTGGTACCTGAGTGTTGTGTGTGGGTGGTTTAGAATTGTGCGTGTGAATGTGTAGTGGACAAGTGTCATTTGTGTAGAGCAAGTTGAGCTACACTGCTCAAAAAAATAAAGGGAACACAAAAATAACACATCCTAGATCTGAATGAATTAAATATTCTTCTGAAATACTTTATTCTTTACATAGTTGAATGTGCTGACAATAAAATCACACAAAAAAAAAATGGAAATCAAATCTTTCAACCCATGGAGGTCTGAAATTGGAGTCACACTCAAAATTAAAGTGGAAAACCACACTACAGGCTGATCCAATTTTGATGTAATGTCCTTATAACAAAATGAGACTCAGTAGTGTGTGTGGCCTCCACGTGCCTGTATGACCTCCATACAATGCCTGTGCATGCTACTGATGAGGTGGCAGATGGTCTCCTGAGGGATCTCCTCCCAGACCTGGACTAAAGCATCTCCTGGACAGTCTGTGGTGCAACGTGACGTTGGTGGATGGAGCGAGACATGATGTCCCAGATGTGCTCAATTGGATTCAGGTCTGGGGAACGGGCGGGCCAGTCCATAAATGCCTTCGTCTTGCAGGAACTGCTGACACACTCCAGCCACATGAGTTCTAGCATTGTCTTGCATTAGAAGGAACCTAGGGCCAACCACACCAGCATATGGTCTCACAAGGGGTTTGAGGATCTCATCTCGGTACCTAATGGCAGTCAAACTACCTCTGGCGAGTACATGGAGGGCTGTGCGGCCCCCAAAGAAATGCCACCCCACACCATTACTGACCCACTGCCAAACCGGTCATGCTGGAGGATGTTGCAGGCAGCAGAACGTTCTCCACGGCATTTTCAGACTCTGTCACGTCTGTCACATGTGCTCAGTGTGAACCTGCTTTCACCTGTAAAGAGCACAGGGCGCCAGTGGCAAATTTGCCAATCTTGGTGTTCTCTGGCAAATGCCAAACGTCCTGTGCTGTGTTGGGCTGTAAGCACAACCCCCCACCTGTGGACGTCGGGCCCTCATACCACCCTCAAGGAGTCTGTTTCTGACTGTTTGAGCATACACATGCACATTTGTGTAGATAAACACAAAAAGAATTCAGCGCTAGTAATCACAAAATTAGTCAAGGTAGGCAGCAACCCAAATGAAGGAAAACCCCTCGGGTCCTTCGGTGGATAGATACAAAAAGATATGGTGAAACGCGTTTATGGTTATTAATTCTGTATTTTACTGTGTATTTTAGATCAATAAAAGTTTTTTGGCTACTTTATTGTACCAATCCTCTTTTTATTGCACTCTTTATGCACTTTAAACAACTTTTGTTTTTACCTATTCCTGGCATTTTAACCTTTCCTGGTTACTTTTACTTCCATTGGCAATTTTAAAGTTCCAGTACTCCAAGAAATCCTAGGTGGGGATCATACCACCGGCGCCTATCCATAGAGCAGTACCTCTGCTCTATCTTTGTGAGTATTATTTTATTTTCTCTACTACTCTCTTAACCTATCACAATTGAGAGCACTATTGCTGCTTTTATTCTTCTATATTGGAGCCTTGGATCACCAGACGGTGCTGACGGACGTATCGCCGCTACATATCCTATAAGCGGGGATTATACCGCTGTACGCTATCCACACCAGAGCTGGCCATAGCTCCCTCAAATGTGAGTTTTTTACCTCTTCTTATCTGCACATTGAACCACATCAAAATTGAGAGCACTATTGTTGCTTTCTGTCTTTCTTTTTCGAGCTCTGGACTACCAGACGGTGCTGACGGAGACCCCTCCCTACATATCCCATAAGCGGGGATTATACCGCTGTACGCAATCCACACCAGAGCTGGCCATAGCTCTCTTGAATGTGAGTTCTTTACTTTTTGTTACCTATCACACCCTGAACTTTCATACTATACCATTAGTCGCCTCTACCTCTCTTGTATTTACATATACGGAACGGTCTACACCAGACGCATCCACAGAGGAACTCTATCAAGTATCCTAGACCATCTATTGGCACCCTAGCAATACTTTACTGGACTATCTACCCTTATTTGGCGCAGCCCTTCCATATCTTTTTGTACATGCACATTTGTGGCCTGCTGGAGGTCATTTTGCAGGGCTCTGGCAGTGCTCCTCCTGTTCATCCTTGCACAAAGGCGGAGGTAGCGGTCCTGCTGTTGGGTTGTTGCCCTCATACGGCCTCCTCCACTTTTCCTGATGTACTGGCTTGTCTCCTGGTAGCGCCTCCATGCTCTGGACACTACGCTGACAGACACAGAAAACCATCTTGCCACAGCTCGCACTGATCTGCCATCCTGGATGAGCTGCACTACCTGAGCCACTTTTGTGGGTTGTAGACTGCATCTCATGCTACCACTAGAGTGAAAGCACCGCCAGCATTCAAAAGTGACCAAAACATTAGCCAGGAAGCATAGGAACTGAGAAATGGTCTGTGGTCACCCCCTGCAGAACCACTCCTTTATTGGAGGTGTCTTGCTAATTGCCTATAATTTCCACGTGTTGTCTATCCCATTTGCACAACAGCATGTGAAATTGATTGTCACTCAGTGTTGCTTCCTATGTGGACAGTTTGATTTCACAGAAGTGTGATGGACTTGGAGTTACATTGTGTTGTTTAAGTGTTCCCTTTATTTTTTTGAGCAGTGTATATCACGTAGAACAGTAAGTGGGGATGTATATCTACCCACTTTGACATTTTTGGGTTGTGAACATCAACAATAGGTGTAACGTAAAAATAAAAATGAAGAAACATAATTTAAGCAAAATAACAGTAAGAACTTTGAATGCTTGGTCACGGGTCGTGGTGGCGGAAAGTGTGGCATCCCTCGAGATGAGTAAGTGGCGTCTCAGCGTAAGTTACTCAAGAGGCATTCTCTGCTGCGTGATTGCGCCGGGATCGCTACCGTAGAGGGATCCAGGTGGGACAGCCATTTGGGTGGTTGACAGGCCCAACTGGCCAAAAAGAGAGTTCAGTTCTTGGGGGCTCCTTGCCCGGTGGGTAGTCCGATGAAAGGTAAACGTGAGAAGTCTTGGCACACCCAAGTGATAGGGAATATTCTTGAAGCGCAAATGTTGTAGCTGTGGTTGGAGCAATTTGCACCAGCTCAGAGTGCTCCTCGTAAGGTCAGGGAACAGTGAAATTTGCAAGTCCTTAAATGACAAAGGGGATCTCCCCCAGGCCGCTGGTAACAATGTGGCCTTGTCCTGGAGAGACTGAAACCGCAAGATAAGGTCTGCGGTGGCTGTGGGGGTGCTGTTGCCAGTTTTGGCAGGTGGAACATTCCTTCCAGCTTCACATTTTTAGCCGGTTTAGGCTGTAGCAGTGTGGCCAATAGGCGCCTTATAAAGTGTGGAAGGTTGGGTAACCCAATGGTGTCAGGCACCCCTCTGATCTTGAGGTTGTGTTTCTGTCTTTGGCTCTCCAGGGCTCCCACTTTCTCAGTGGTACTGATTTGCTGCTTTTGGAGGTTAGAGACCTTCTGCTCTAGTGTGGTTAGTCAGGTGTCCCAAGACCTTGCTGAAGCCTCGAGGAGGTTGAGCCTTGTGGTAGCTCCTGCAATGGCATCTTTGAAGCATGCTATATCCGAAGCCAAATTCTGCTGGAGTTCAGCAAACATGCTTTTTAATAGGTCTGTGGTGGCTGGATCACCAGATGGAGGTGGCTTGGCCATATGCCCTGATGGCTGACCCAGTGAAGCTCCTTCTCCCAGGTCGGTATAAGTGTCGGAGGAGGAGTCGGAAAATCCTTCTTCCCCCAACGCCATTTTCTCCCATGTAGTTTTCTGAGAGTTACGCAGGAGCTCGCCTATGTCACGGCTGGTAGGAGCTTTATCCGCCCTCGGTTTCTTGTTTTTCCTGCCCATCGTGGTTTCTCCTATCTGCAGTCAAGGCAGTGGGTAGGTAAGTGCCCAATTTCCACAAGAAAAATGGTTATTTTGCCAGCTGTGGCATGAAGCCTTCCAAGATGAGTCTGCTCTGGTCTGCAGCTAGCTCTGCCCCGCATTTGTTTTATTTTGATTTATCAAACAGTTCTTCTCCTTGCAGGCCCCACCTCGCAACTTGCAGAACTTAAATGAATCTGCTGCTAATGTCATGACCACAGGACATGTTCAGAGGTCTTGTGGAGTCTATACCTTGACATATCAGAGGCTGTTTGGGGGACCTACACAATATTAGGCAGGTGGTTTTAATGTTGTTTGGCATGGTGTCCACTTTTTCTTTGGTTTATATAAATATATACATGATTAGTTTGCTGCAATTGTCTTGAAGAACCTTTATTGTATAAACTAAAACGTTAACCCACCCATCTTTTTCAATAGGTCTCTGGAGTGATGTTTTTTTTTTATAGTGGGTATTATTTGCTAAACATTGCACCATGCCATATAGTCATGTTGTCTTTGAGTGCAAGATTTGTAAGTTAATCATTTCAAAAAGTAATAAAAGAGCTTAAAAAAATCGCATCCAAAAGACCATAAAAATGGGTAAAAGATCGTCTGAAACAAGAATACTAATCCTTTTAAAAAAAACTTTTATAGTTAATAAAATATTAATTTGCTGCTATACACTTTAGTGTCTACACCCAAGGGGGATCAATAAAAAAGATGTAGACATATCTAAATGGCAAGTTCAAAGGTGTGACGAAAGCACCTTCGTCACTGGGATTTGGAGAGGCCTGCTTGCCAGCCTCTTGCCCTGTGACTATGGCCCCTAAGGTGTATTGCCCTTTAAAAACGCTATTTGGGCATATTGGGTTTTAAGGCACTGTTTCTGCCCCCTTAAATTATATTGGAACAGTTCTACACCTACAACAGTATTTTATAATATTAATCAAATATAACCCCTCAATAAATGTATATTGAATCGAACCACACAGGAACAAAAAAGCATTGAAAGATCTAAAAAATTACAGTAATATAGTAATAAAGACAGCAGACAAGGGAGGGAGGGGCAATAGTCATGAGCCGCTTATACTATTTTGAAGAGGCTTGGAAACTTCTGGACAATAAAATAATATATAAAAAATTAATATAAGATCCGACATCAGACATTAAAAACAAAGTTGCTAAATTAGTAGAAAAAGGTGTCTTAATGGAGTTTTAAATAAAAAAGAAGCTGAATATCTGAATATGAAACAGGTAAAAATACAATTTTTTTATTTTTTACCGAAGATCAACAAAAACCTAATGAAACCTTCAGGTAGACCAATATATCAAGGTGTTGGCATACTGAATATTTTTCTTTTTTTTTTATTTAAATTTACCGTATATACTCGAGTATAAGTCGACCCGAATATAAACCGAGGCCCCTAATTTTACCCCCAAAAACTGGGAAAACTTATTGAGTCGAGTATAAGACTAGGGTGGGAAATGCAGCAGCAACTGGTACATTTCTAAATAAAATTATATCCCAAAAATTATATTAATTGAATATTTATTTACAGTGTGTGTATAGAATGAATGCAGAGTATGTGTATATAATGAATGCAGAGTGTGTGTGTATATGAATGCAGAGTGTGTGTGTTTATGAATGCAGTGTGTGTGTGTGTGTATGAATGCAGTGTGTGTATATGAATGCAGTGTGTGTGTATGAATGCAGTGTGTGTGTGTGTGTAATGTGTGTGGGTGATGCAGAGCCTTGGTGGGGGTGGGCATTTTTATTTTTATTATTATTCTTATTTTAATATTTTATTATTTTGTTATATTTATTAATATTTTTTTATTATAATTTTTTTTTAAATATTATTAATATTTTATTATTATTTAAATTTGTATTTATTTTTATTCGTCCCCCCTCCCTGCTTGTTAGCTGGCCAGGGAGGGGGGCTCTCATTCCCTGGTGGTCCAGTGGCATGGGCTGTGTAGGAGGGGGGCTGGCAGCGAGCTGTAACTTACCTTTCCTGCAGCTCCTGTCAGCTCCCTTCTCTCTCCTCTGGTCCAGTCAGCTCCATTGTAGGTCTCACGGTCTCACGGTGTGACTGCCGTGCGGAGCATTGCCACGGTAACCCGCACTGATGCACTGACCCCGCGGCTCTCGTGAGATTTACAGTGGAGCTGACAGGGGAGCTGACCGGAACGCAGGAGAAGGGAGTTGACAGGAGCTGCAGGAAAGGTAAGTAACAGCCCCCAACAGGACTGCCGGGCTTGTAATGAGCCTGGCCGTCCTTGTCTGTGTTATGGCAATGTAAATTGACATAATACAGACATTGACTAGAGTATAAGTCGAGTAGTGGTTTTTCATCACAAAAAATGTGCTGAAAAACTCGACTTATACTCGAGTATATACGGTATTCTTTATCCAGACAATCAAATTGTTTTTATTTTAGAGGCCATTGAAATTATTTTAAAGAATAACTATTTCTGGTTTCAGAACAATTTTTTACTTGCAATTATGTGGTACAGCTAAAGGCACCAGGTTTGCCCCTAGTTACGCAAATTTGTTTATGGCCCACTGGGAATCAAAATACGTTAACCCAGAAGGGGAATGGGGGTCAAACCTGGTGCTGTACAAGAGATACATAGATATTTTTTTATTTGGAGAGGGGACAAAAATGACATTAACTCTAAGAATAGGGAGTCTCACTAATTTTTAATTACAGTGAATCTAAAGTGAACTTCCTTGACCTTACAATTTGTATAGAAGATAATCAAATTAAAACTGAAACTTTTTTTTAAAACAGTTGACGTCAATAGCTAAATCAACAAAACAAGCTGCCACTTTAGCACTTGGTTAGAAAATATTCCCAAGAGTCAACTAATTAGAATAAAAAGAAATTTGCATCAACACTTTTATCAACCAAAGTCAAAGATTAATCCAGTACTCTTTTTACAATCCTTGTTTAGTTTTTCTAGGTTTTTCTGGTTTTCTATTCTATGTCTGGTTTTCTTTATGTTGGGTTTTCTGGGTTCATTCCTTTATTCCGTTCCTGGAATTCCCAGTCTCCTGGATTCCTTTAAATGTTTGTTTTTTGTTGCCACACCCGTTCCTTTTCCATTGATCCTTTTTGTTTCAGTTGGTTCCAGCAGGCAGTGGTTTCCTGTCCTCTGCTCCTTTCTTTGCAGGTAAGTACTGTGTGTATTTTATTGTTGATTATTTAGTCATGCATATCTAGGCAGTTAGGACCCACCGTAATTGGAGTACTTTGGCGCAGTGGTGGGCTGCATACATCTTGGCCATTTATGTATGTCTAAAGCTCCAATGTTTTATATATATATAGTACTTATTTATGTCTCCTCTTGTTTTGCCTTGTCTTGTTTTATTTTGTATTCCCAGTTCATGTACAGTCCTGTCCTACACTGTTCATGTTTCCCTCATGTCTTGTGTACATGTTCTGGGTTCTGCTTTCTGTCCTGCTCCGGTTCTGGGTTCTACTAGTTCTGTCTTGTTTTCATGTTTGGTGCCTGTTCTAGTCTTGCCTTGTTTCTATTACTGGATACATTTCTGCTGCAGAGCCTCCCTATCCAGATCCTGGGAGGTCTGCATATCCTCAAGCGTCTGGGATCCACAGAAGATGCATCAGGGCCCTGGTATGTGGCAGCACAAACGCTGGTGCTTAACACCATGGGGCGTGTGGTTACCCTGCACTCGGCCCTGATAGTCCGTTTCCACGCTGAGACTCCCCTCATCAACATCAGGCACTCATGGGTCCCGGTCTCCGTACCACCACCCGTGATACTTAGATGTTCATGGACTTGTAATTATGCAAATAAAGACTTTTAGATGTAGCCAATGGGGACTAAGAGAGCCCAAACAGACTTTGCCCATTAATACCCAAGACAAAGATGGCGGGAACTATGACTCACGTCCTGACGAAGCTAAAGAAAACCGCGAGATACGAACTACACACGCACTAGAGATGGAGCTCGCTACTATCGGAGACACTACCCGGAGAGACACTGCCTGGAGGGACATTGTCCAGAGGAAGCAGACTGGATTGGGATCTAGACAACTATAGTTGACTATCTGAAGGTCAAAACGCTTGTGAGTGGCAATGTTTTATACCGCGTATGCTCACCACCAATCTGTAGTAAGGGGCAGTGATACCCATCTGATTGTGCAATATATATTTAGTTTTTAATATAATATCCTTTTAATATGTGTTAAATAAATTGTACATTCAGTTATTCTTCATCTTTGGATTTTATGCATATAATTATTATTAATATCTGTATCTACATGATTCATGTGTAACAGTATTACACTATTTTGCATTTTTCTCATGTTTACATGTTTATGGAACCTAAAGTCAAGGAGTTTTCTTTTGCGCTCCACTTTTTTATTTATATTTAAAGATTTTTAAGTTGTTAGGACTGTGTTTAAAATTCTTTACAAGTTTAGTTACAAAGTTTTCCATAATTCTGTTCCTGCTTATATCTCCTCACTCATTATCAGATACGTTTCAACCCTGCCTCTTACTGTCCCTTTCACGTACGCACTCCAGACTCTCAGATGCAGGACTTTACCAGTGTGACCCCAAACTTATTGAATACCCCCCTGTGGCATATTAACCTCTCCCTTTCTCTGCAATCCTTCAAAAAAATCCCTAAAAACACACTTCTTTAGAATAGCCCATGAGCTCTCCCCTTAACTCCTCATCCCCGATACCTTCTGCAGTCTCCCACCACGGTGCTCCTTCATCCAAACACCACTCCCATCGTCGGCGGGTACATACAGATCACTTGATTCCTTGTGAATATTTCTCCCTCGTCCTTTTAGATTGTAAGCTCTTCACCTACTGTTCCCTATGTCATGCGTGTTTTGTTATAATCAAATGTTTCTCTCATTTACCTATTGTACAGAGATGCAGAATATATTGTCACTATATTAATAATTATAATTGATATATATATATATATATATATATACAGGCCTCGAGTCCTGCAGGAACGCATGGGAACGATGTTCCTGCACTTTTTCCAGAGCAGGAACGTCGTTCCCATTATAGGTACTGCAGGACCCAGGGCTGGCACAAGCGGCCGTCAGAGCGTGGGGCAACACAAATCTGAATCCCCTGGCTCTGGCCCTGCCTCCTCTCAGGACCGCTGGGGAGTCTGGGGGAAGAGCAGTGAAAGTCACGCCCCCTCCTGACATCATCAGGAGAGGCCGGCCTACTCCACTGACTGCAGGCTCCAGATCCTGTCCCACCCCTCCTGGCCCATGGTAAGCCTCAGGGAGGGGGGAATGCACTTTAGAGTTTTTTTATCCCCTTCTTCAGTCCCTGCCCTCTTCCTCAGCCCTGTCCCCCTCAGTCCATGTCCCCTTCCTCAGCCCCTGCCCCCCTTCTAAGCTTCCATCCCTCTTCCTCAGCCCGTCACCTTACTCAGCCCCTGCCCCCCTCCTCAGCCCTAGTCCACCTTACTCAGCCCCTGCCCACCTTACTCAGCCTCTGCCCACCTTACTCAGTCCCTGTACCCCCCTCCTACGCTCCTGTCCCTCTTCCTCAGCCCTTGCCCCCTCAGCCCCTGTCCCCCTCCTCAGCCTTTGTCCACCTTTCCTCAGCCCCCCCCACGCTCCTGTCCCTCTTCCTCAGCCCTCAGCCCCTGTCCCTCCTCCTCAGCCCCTGCCCCCCTCCTCAGCCTTTGTCCACCTTACTCAGCCCCTGTCCACCTTTCCTCAGCCCCTGTCCCTCCTACGCTCCTGTCCCTCTTCCTCAGCCCTGACCCTCAGCCCTGTCCCCTCCCTCAGCCTTTGTCCACCTTACTCAGCCCTGTCCCCCTCCCACGCTCCTGTCCCTCTTTTCTCAGCCCTGGCCCCTCAGCCTCTGTCTCCTCCTCAGCCTGTGCCTTTTGTCCACCTTACTCAGCTCCCTGCCTCCTCCTACACTCCTGTCCTCTTTCTCAGCCCTGGCCCCTCAGCCCCTGTCCCCTCCTCAGCCTTTGTCCACCTTACTCAGCCCTTGTCCACCTTTCCTTAGCCCCTGTCCCCCCCCCCTCCTACACTCCTGTCCCTCTTCCTCAGCCCTGCCCCCTCAGCCCCTGTCCCCCTACTCAGCCCCTGCAAACGAGCGTATAATTATTTTTTTTAAGGGGGGGGGGGTGGATCTTGGGTGAGTTCCCACACTTATTTTACTCAGGATTTGACCCCTGTGTGTGTGTATGTATGTGTATATATATATATATACTACAAACTCTTGGCTCAATGTCTGGGTGTCTCGCAACTCTGCTGGCACAATGTCTGGGTGTCTCGTGTCCCCTCCAGCCAGTCACTCTGCGTAGTGTGAACTCGCAGACTGAGAGAGAAGACCTTATTTATCCTCTACCCCAACTTAAAGGAAGCTGCTGGGACGACGTGTAGAGCAGGTTATGGTCAATATATATAGGAAGATATGAATGTATGGTCAATATATACCAATAATCAACTGACCCTGGATCAGTCCATCATGACATAGTAAAACAACTCTCATCTACAATCAAGCTCTCTGACAAATAATGGCGAATTTACCAGGAACAAGAAGTCGTGTTTAAAGTTAACATTCTTTCCAAATACTAAAATAATTTATCTGTAACCAAAAATAAACCAGTCAGTGAAAGACAAGAAAATTCAGTATGTGGTTTCCCTTTACATAGGAATGTCTTTGAATAAATAGAAACAGAACAGCCCAGGGGAAAGCAACATTTACTGCCTCTGGAACTCAGCTAGATGCATGATCTAACCAGTTTATGGGAAAAAACATCAACATCGAAACCTGGAGCTGGTCCACAATCTTATGAGTGATTGACAGCAGTTACAAAGAATCCAAAATGAAACCCCAATCACTATCTATATACTGTACGTGCGTGTCAAGTAATCTTTAGCAGACACCCGGAAATCATGGGCTTAGCATTGCCCTTCATATTATCCTCGGTGTTTAAAATGCAATATAGCTGTCAGCTCTTGAATGACTCAAATATCACTACAAGTAGGACTTACTTGCACAAATATTTTTTGACATGCTAGGATAGGCGGCAGTCTTTGCACTCAGGGGTTGTTGCGATTATATTTTGGCCTTGTGCTGCCTCTAGAAAAGACCCATTACTTTCTCCTCACCAACTGCTTACCTGTGTAGGTAAGATAAAGCCCCCTCGCACGTGGACATTAATTTCATCTAGAGGGGCTGGGAGGACAATCCACTGACCCTGACTTCGAATTCTTTTACCCTGTCGGATAGAGAAATGTAGAGATGTATCAGAAGAAATATTGTGTTCTTGAAAATAGATCACAAGATGAATAGAATACAAACACAAATGATATGTGTAATAGTATCAAGACCATGGATTTTGGTGCAGCGCCATCTGTTGGTGAAAAAGTGGTTATGTACATTAAGTCTGATTTGCATATATTTGCATCTGTTTGAAATACAGACAAAATGCTCTGGGATTTACATTTTATAAGTGTCACTGATGCTCCCTTGTATGGCAGTTTTTTTGTACCTTTATGTTTTATTATATATTTATGTTTCATGTACTTTTTTAATACCTCGCCATAAGTTAAATGTAGCACTGTTGAAGGTAGGTCTTGGTTTGAAAGTAAAGAAATTATCCAGTTCCTTTTGGAACATTGTCTAAGTGTGCTTGTGTCCAGGGGCCCAGTCTCAAAACAGATTTGTAAGAACTCTGTACACAAGGCCTGGACTCAGAGCCTAAAAAAGTATTTATAAAGACAATGCTTGGAGCGAGCAGAGAGATTGATTCCTGACAAAGTGGACAAAGCGAGCAGAGAGATTGATTCCTGCCTAGAGGATGGCTGAGGTGCCAGAGGAGGAACTAACAACATAATGGGACAGGTCTGGGTCCAAACCAGGGACCAGACATACCCTGTACTTGTTACATTATGTATGTATATTTAGTATAAATTAAATGATTAAGGGAAAGAGAAAAAGTAGAGCAGATTACAAGAGAGATAGAAAAGCAAGAAAATGAAATCTTAGGACCTTATATAATGTTTCTCAACCCATCTAAACCATGTGTTAATTTGCTTAATGGGTCCTCAACAATTAAATACAAGACAGATTAGAAATAAAATTAATCAGGTGGATAAAGTGTATAGACAAACTCACTGTGCTTTTGTTGTACCATATTCCAGCAGGAAAATATCCGTTCACTTCGTTCTTGCCTTCCTCCAGGACAGGGGTGATGAGCAGAGCTTCTCCCCAAAGGAACTGCCGGTCGATTGTCCATGTGTTTGGATCAGAAGGAAACCTGGATGTAGAAAAGAAAGAAATAGATCAGGATTCAGCACCCAACGTGATTGACGTTTGGACCTTATTGATCCCAGAACGTACTCCATGAAAAGTGCTCGTACAACTGTCTCTCCTGTGCTATGAGCTTTATGGAACAGCGTGTAGAGATATGGAAGTAGAGAGTATCGAATGAACAGGGCCGTCTTCATGGCATGTTGAGCGCGTTTACTGAAAACATATGGCTCCTGTGACTGGGAGAAGAAAAAGCACAGATATAGGTATAATCTTGAGGAATATACAACAAGAAAATAACTTCTAGACCGTGGATTGTCAAGAATTATGTGACCCGGCTACATCTGGATCTCTTTCTCCAGCAGAGGTTTTAGAAAAACAAAGGTTGCCACATGGAGCTATCATATAGGAATATCACAAATTAGATTAAAGGCCACACATGTATTATTGATAAAAAAAAATAGAGAAGAGAGTTTAAATCAGAAGGATAATTACAACTGTCATAATGTTGAAGGGGGTGTATGAACACCTGAATACAAGTAAAGGGAAAATGTGCTCATTTTAAGGCAAAAATGACCAAATATTATTTTATATGAACTTCAGGTCAATCAGTATAATATGTAATTTGACATGGACAGTAAACTGCACAGAAAGAAGGCAATTAATGAGTTGGCCCTAATAAGACGTGCGAGGTGGAGCCCAAATTTCACTGCTATTTATTATGTATCCTTGATCATATTTCAACAAGATGAATGAGAAGTCTTGAAGTTTCAAAACCAACTGTATTCAAAAAAATTTATATCCAATAAGTTTCATTTATCAACAGTGAGGCATTTGGTTTCTGAGCTAAACCTCCACCTCTGGAGTTCAGATTCGGTAAATTAGGACAGGGAATTAGTTGGCCGGACTCAGCAAGATGGAGTTGGACAAGTCAGTTTGAGCATATCTGCTGTGTGGCCAGCATGTCATAACTTCTCCCCCTTCCAGGTATCAACTGAAGCTCGTAGGCACTCTCTTCTCTTCCATTCCATGCAGGACATGATAATGTTGGACGTTGATATAAGATTGGCAATGATGCAGTACACTTCACCCTGGTTCCTTTTTATTCTTATTGCGATTCTTGTCTTGTGTGGGTGCCTTACTATGCTCGCACAACACTAGTAGCATTTGTTTTTGTGTCACATGTAATGCAAGCCAATCAGAGGCCACAGGGTCCTATAAGTAGCCTGTGTGACCTCTCATCCTTGCCCTGTCTTGGTTGCTAATAGCCTGAGAGTACATTCCTTGATTATCTGCATTTCTGGTATTTGACTTTTCTTTGTACAAATTTTTATTTTGTATTCTAGTATCCCTGACCCTTGTCTTTGATTTGCATGTTTATCCATCTTTCTCCAATGCTGATCTAGGTTTGTATTTGATTATTCTGTATCAATTACTTTCTTCATACATTAAGCACGGCCACTCTCAGGTTTGGTAATAAGTCCACCCTCTCTATAACCGGCCTCATTCTTTGTGTTTTGGGGTGTCTATCCTTGACACAGCAGAACTCAAGATGCCCACTCAACACTGGTTGGATTAGAAAGAGGAAGAATCTAACAATTCCCATCTTGTCTATGAAGAAAATGGATTGCTGGCTCCAAAATTACATTTTCTTTCCTCATTTTGAACAGAGGAAGAGCTGGAAATTGAGATCATTGCTCTGTATAGTTTGTCCTCATCGTTACCTTGGCTTCAATAGTATTGTGGTTTCTCATGAATGGGTAGAAGGCTCCAAGTTGGCTCCATCGCACACAGAGCTCCTCTGTGACATTTCCCACAAATCCACATAGATCTGCTCCCACCAAGGGGACCCCATACATATTAAACAGAATAATGGCTGTGGAGGAAATGGAGTAATGTTACCCATAGGATTAAAGCAAGCTTATAGCATCATCAGTGTACCCAGGGCCGGATTAACATAGGCCCAGGCCCATGGAATAGGCCCATTAATTTTACACATTACTCTTAGGGTTGTCACCTGGCTGGTATTTTATGGTATTTGAGGCTGCCTGGCTAGTGCCAGTATTGCAGTAAAATCGTCAATACAAATGCCGGCATATTTCTTAGTGTAAACAGAGATTACTCTGCAATACCTGCGCTGGCCAGTAGGTGTCACTGTGTGTGTGGAGAGAGGCAGGGATAGGAAGTTAAAGCATATCCCTCCCTACCTCTCTCTTCTCACCGATCCGCAGCTTCACAGGACAGAGAGTCCAGACAGCAGCTCCCAGCCTGCAGAGACAGCCTACAGCTCAGAAAAGTGAGGGATGGGGGGAAAGGCAGCAGAGAGACATGGGGACACTGAGACACTAGGGGACAATGAACTGGGAGCTCAGACACTTGGGGACATTGGAAGATCAGGGGACACTGGAGACATGGGTACACTGAGACACTAGGGGACGCTGTGAGACACTAGGCACTTGGTGACACTGGGAGACATGGGGACACTGAGACACTGTGTCCCTAGCATATGTGTCCCCATGTCTCCCACAGTCCCCAAGTCTCTCATTGTCTCCATATCTTCCAGACAGTGTCCCTAGTGTCTCAGTGTCCGCATGTCTCCCAGTGTCCCTATATCTCAGTGTCTCCTGGTGTCCTAATGTCTCACAGTGTTCCCATGTCTCTTAAGTGTCCCTAGTGTCCAAGTGACACTGGGCAACATGGGGACACTGGGAGACATGGGGCACTGAGACATTGTAATACATAGGGAGACTGTGATACATAGAAGACACTGAGACATGGGGACATGAGGGGACACTGGGACACATGGGGCACTGAAACACTGTGATACATAGAGGACACAGACACTAGGAGATACTGGAAGACTAGGGGACACTAAGACACCTGAAGACAGGGAGACACTGGGAACAATCCATCTTTTATTCAGCAGAATAAATGTAAGTAGTTTTTTGGGGATTTTACAGAATTTTCTCTTAGGTCACTCCTTGTGGTTTACATGCATACATAATTAATTATGCAAATTGGTAAGGCTCATCATTAGATGCATTTATGCCAAGCTCAGGGTGCTGTCTGCATAGTATGCCCTTAGTTGGCCAGCCTGCATGATTGGCAGGCAGCCTTATGTGCATGCATGCTGAGCTGGCCTTCCAATTCTTTAGGCGCAGGCCCCCTTTTTAAGGCATGTTCGCCTCTTTTGGCAGGTCTGATTACATGATTTGCGTCAGTGGCCCACCCTTTTACACCACCCATTAACTGCCTTCTTCACTGGACACTGCTGTTAGGGGGTATGGATTTACTTGAAAGATGAAAGCATAAAATAGAGAGAGATTAGCGTAGAGTGTGTGTTTTCTCATAGCTGCATCCTCTGGGTTTCCCTTCAGCACCACTTCCGCCAGATACATGACGATTGGTAGGTATGACTGTTTATGATTCTATAATTAGGCCCATCATAATTGTCAGCACCAAGTCTACTGGGCTCTTAATCTGGCCCTGAGTGTACCAATATCATTACTAAGGATTACCCACCTGGCACAGTGTGATATAGCTGGTCCCAGGTGCTCTCCACATCTCCCGTCCAGTGACCGCCGTAATGCCCATGACTAGCAAATGTTGAGCGAGAGATAATGAAAGGACGTTTCTTTCGAACACTCACCAGGGCACTGAGATGAAAATTAAAAGGGATTTACTAAAGGTTTACTAATAATGCTTACAAAACATGTTTCAAACAACAAGATGTGGATATTATACCTTGCAGGAGAATGACAGCTACATGCATATCCCTACCAACAGGAAGCGTTACAAATGTCCCCAAGCGTCCATCACAACCTGCGGCCATTGAAACAATCTTGGGCCAATTAAACAAGATCTTCAGATCTTCCCAACTGACCCAAAAATGGCCCCCATGGCTGGGCCCACCTCACCTGTCACTCTGATCTCATAAGGTTATATGTCAAATTTCAAAGTGAAAAATACCTAAAAAATAACTTTATTGGAAAATGGCTTTACTGAAAAAAAAAAATACACTTTTTACATTTATTATTATTTTTTATTAATTCCAGCTTCTCAAGAAAATGTGCCATACATAATAGAAAACATACACATGGCGAAATACACATATTGCCCTGTTTTTCCAAAGGAACAAAACACAGAATCATATTTATAAGTATCCTAAAAATTTAATGATAAAACAGATAAACATATATAAAGATAATTCAAAGCTACACCAACCGTATAGCTACAAAAAGTGTCTACAGGTTGAACATTCATCTAATTTCCTGTTGCCCTAACTTCCTAATAAAATCTTCACCTCTCCAGTTTCTAGAAAATAGAAGCTATGAAGCTATGAAGCTCGGGTTATTTGGTTTCTTATCATCGTATTGCGTTAAAACATTAAAACGGGCGGGGGGACAGGGGAGAAGCTTATCAAATCCTCTTTTAACATTTCTAAGATGTAAGTTATGGAATGCATGATTTTATAACTTTTTCCTGAGATGTAGCTCACAAATTCCTTTCTCACTACAAGCGAAACAATCCCCACTTTAAAAACTTCCCTTAAAGTATTCCCTAACTAATACCCGTTCCCTATCACTTTTGGAAGCAACTTTTCACTAATTTGTCTTTAATGCTAGATACACCTCTATAGACCACCATCGGGTTTATCAGGTAATGCCTTCTAGAATAGGATGTTCAGATAAAATTAACCAATACTTATTTACAATTCTTCTACATTTGTTATTATTCCCAGAATGATTAACTATCAAAATATGGTTATGTCTCTCACTTTACCTTTTCCACTTCCCTTTGATTTTTGCTACGATATATCCCCCAGTTACAGTTTCAATCTCTCTATGCGCTGATTTTAAAACCTTCCTATCATATTTCTTATCCACAAAGCCTCTAAGTATTTTGTATGCGTGGGATCTAAACACGTGACGTTGGCAGACGGGCATTCCCTCCAGTGGCCATTGGAGTAACTAAATGACCTCCATTTGTTTAAATATACATAGGGATTAAGAAGAGAGTGCAGGTAACTTTTTTCCTTTAGTTTGTGGTCGTTACTGCCGCCCAGGAGTGATGGGAGTGAGCGCAGGACTTTTCTTTTTGTAGTGGGACCCAAACACATCGTCTTCTGAATAATTCCTCTTCATATTTAGGAGTTGACCCTTTGGTATATTGCACAGCCATCGTTCATAGAGGCAGCCGTCATAGAATATGTCTATGCATTTTGTTGTTTTTTTGCACAGCACACTTTTTATGGGGTTGTGAATTGGGGGTTGTTTGCACAGATATAGTGTGGAGTTATTGCAGCTGATTCCGAACTAAAATCACGATCACATAATTGTTTCTATTAAGCACCTTGCACGGTTTCTGTTTTATTTTTTTAATGTGTAACACGTCAAACAGTATTAGTTAGAAATACATGAAATTAATGTATTTATTTTCTGCAGAATCTGCCTTATCATGGTGCCCAAAGCTGTGCCCACATTTCATCCAGTGATGAAGAACAGACAATTTATCTGTTGTGGTGAGACATATATTATTTCTATTCATAATGTTTGTGCATATTCTCATTATTCAGCTAATTTCATTAATCGTTAGGGAGCTGTTCAAGACCTCAACTAAACGTATATGGGGTGGGTGGTACAGGCAGAAGCCTAATGCCCACAAGGATCTTCTAATTAGAACCATTGTTTTGTTTATTCTTTATATTGTTTTTGTTCTTTAAACGTCACGTTCGTGCATTCTTTCACGCATGTTAGAGACCCATGTTCATTCAGACACCAATACAGTAGAAGATAGTCTGTGTGTCAACAGTAATTTCATGACGTCATATTCCTGAACGATCTAATTAAGTTTCACCTCAGGCAGAAACTTTACTCTAGGCGATTTTATGATTGACACATTTCACATTAAAATCTGCCTGTTCTTTGACTCTAGATAATGTATTCACACCTGCAGTTCTAAAATATTTTTAAAGATATTCTTTGGTTTGATGTTTTGTAAACACCTAGGATGAAAGGAGGGTCCATGGCATCAATGCTTTTGGGCAGATCACTAATGTACAGTTTCAGAATCTAGACTTGCGTCATTACATTCTTTGTTACCACCTATGACATCACTCCTGCCTTCTATCAATTTGTTTGCCAACAGGTAAATCCAGGATCTTAACAAGTGCTAACAGATAATGTCTTCACAATGGTCCTAATACTCGTATATCGTGTTATTATTTTATATATATTGTGTCCAAGTGTCCATCTTTGTGTTAAACGTGTTTTGTTTCAAACCTGTGACTCTACATGTAGTGTAAGGATGTAGTTATCACCTAGTTCAGGGCTTTAACAGACTGCAATATTTGTGGTATTTTGTGTGACAATCTGAGGAGCTCATCTCCGATCTGACAATTAACACACTTGATATGAATAAATGCTAAGATATCTGGCCTAATGGGTAAATGTGGGTTTTGGGAGATCTGTTACTTTCTGGAATTTAATTAATGGATTTTGATGTGTGGAGCTTGACAAAGGAGTAAAAAGTACCAAAACTAACTGTGTTTCTGGGGGGGTCACAAGTGATTTGCATGAAAATAAGGGGGCTGGATATTAGATCCCATAAGCTACTTTCTACATCACGCAGGACAACGGATACAGGACACATCAAGCAAAGCAGAATAATGCCCATCGTTCTGTGAGTATTTTGTATTTTTCTCATGACAGAGTTAAAATAGATCTGGCTTCCTCAAAATACTCAGGGCTGATATTAAAATGCAATGTGTAATAAATTAAATAAATTATTTGCAATATTTACATGAATGTATCCATAATTTGTCAAATAGTATGCCAGAGAATGCTGGGTTCTAGGGAGTGCGGAGTTTTGTCGAGATATTCCATGACTGACCCAGTTCCCACCAAGACACAGTAACAAGCATTCAGTAGACTATATTAACAAGTGTCTCTAAGCTTGACAGGTTCAATTCTACCATCTTGTTTTATACATTTCTACTGATATTTTACAACACAGCTAATCACAGAGCCTGAATAACTCCTCCTGTTCCAGTCCCTCCTGTTCACTTACTGGTAGGAGGCTATGGTCTCAGAGAGTCCGTACAAGTTGTGGAGGTTGTAATGGGTAGAAACATGCTGCTTGCTGGATGAACAGATGGTCGTCGCCTGAAGGGAGCCGTGAACTACCGCTATCAAATAAACACAAAAGGTCAAATAAAAGATAGTAAGATAAAGAGCAGAGACAGGTGACATGCTACAAACCTGTACAAAATCTCTATTATAATATCTGAATGAATATTGCACTTACTGTACCTCCCTCTACTGTAATGTAACCTGTAAAGTGCTGAGTATACCTGTTAGCGCTATATAAATAAAATATACATACACTGTATACCTACTGCACTTACTGTACCTCCCTCTACTGTAATGTAACCTGTACAGTGCTGAGTATACCTGTTAGCGCTATATAAATATAATATACATACACTGTATACCTACTGCACTTACTGTACCTCCCTCTACTGTAATATAACCTGTAAAGTGCTGAGTACACCTATTAGCGCTATATAAATAAAATATACATACACTGTATACCTACTGCACTTACTGTACCTCCCTCTACTGTAATGTAACCTGTAAAGTGCTGAGTACACCTGTTAGTGCTATATAAATAAAATCTACATACACTGTATACCTACTGCACTTACTGTACCTCCCCCTACTGTAATATAACCTGTAAAGTGCTGAGTATACCTGTTAGCGCTATATAAATAAAATATACATACACTGTATACCTACTGCACTTACTGTACCTCCCTCTACTGTAATGTAACCTGTAAAGTGCTGAGTACACCTGTTAGCGCTATATAAATATAATATACATACACTGTATACCTACTGCACTTACTGTACCTCCCTCTACTGTAATGTAACATGTGAAGTGCTGAGTACACCTGTTAGTGCTATATAAATAAAATATACATACACTGTATACTTACTGTACTTACTGTACCTCCCTCTACTGTAATGTAACCTGTAAAGTGCTGAGTACACCTGTTAGCGCTATATAAATATTATATACATACACTGTATACCTACTGTACCTCCCTCTACTGTAATGTAAGCTGTAAGGTGCTGAGTACACCTGTTAGCGCTATATAAATATAATATACATACACTGTATACCTACTGCACTTACTGTACCTCCCTCTACTGTAATGTAACCTGTAAAGCGCTGAGTACACCTGTTAGCACTATATAAATAAAATATACATACACTATATACCTACTGCACTTACTGTACCCCCCTCCCACTGTAAAGTAACCTGTAATGCTGAGTACACCTGTTAGCGCTATATAAATATAATATACATACACTGCATACCTACTGCACTTACTGTACCTCCCTCTACTGTAATGTAACCTGTAAAGTGCTGAGTACACCTGTTAGCGCTATATAAATAAAATATACACACACTGTATACCTACTGCACTTACTGTACCTCCCTCTACTGTAATGTAACCTGTAAGGTGCTGAGTACACCTGTTAGCGCTATATAAATAAAATATACATACACTGCATACCTACGGCACTTACTGTACCTCCCTCTACTGTAATGTAACCTGTAAAGTGCTGAGTACACCTATTAGCGCTATATAAATAATATATACATACACTGTATACCTACTGCATTTACTGTACCTCCCTCTACTGTAATGTAACCTGTAAAGTGCTGAGTACACCTGTTAGCACTATATAAATAACATATAGATACACACTATACCTACTGTACTTACTGTACCTCCCTCTACTGTAATGTAACCTGTAAAGTGCTGAGTACACCTGTTAGCGCTATATAAATAAAATATACATACACTGTATACCTACTGCACTTACTGTACCTCCCTCTACTGTAATGTAACCTGTAAAGTGCTGAGTACACCTGTTAGTGCTATATAAATAAAATATATACACTGTATACCTACTGCACTTACTGTACCTCCCTCTACTGTAATGTAACCTGTAAAGTGCTGAGTACACCTGTTAGCGCTATATAAATATAATATGCATACACTGTATACCTACTGCACCTACTGTACCTCCCTCTACTGTAATGTAACCTGTAAAGTGCTGAGTACACCTGTTAGCGCTATATAAATATAATATACATACACTGTATACCTACTGTGCTTACTGTGCCTCCCTCTACTGTAATGTAACATGTAAAGTGCTGAGTACACCTGTTAGCGCTATATAAATAAAATATACATACACTGTATACCTACTGTGCTTACTGTACCTTCCTCTACTGTAATGTAACCTGTAAAGTGCTAAGTACACCGAAGTCCCTATATACACTCTGAATCCTCTACACATACACACACACACAATCCATATATACACTCTGATTCATCTACACACACACAATATCTCCTCTACACACTCTCGGTCCTTTACACACTACATCCCCAACACACACAGTACATTCCTGACATACAAACTCTGGATACCCTATGCACATACTACATTCCTTGTAAGCAAACACATACTACATTCTCTAAACACACACTCTATACAACACCTACACACACTACGTCACCTATATACACACACACTACATACGCACACAATCGCTACATCCCCTATACACACTATGCCCCCTATACACACATTCTCTACAGCCCAGTGGCGTACACATGACCCATTGGGCCCCGGTGCGAAAATTGATCCGTGGGCCCCCCCTCCCCCCCGCGCTTACTCGGCGCGGGTCGGGGGCCGCAACACATGGCGGCGGGCACCTGGTCGCAGGGGTTACAGGGCTGCGACAGCGACCGCGACAGCAGCCACACCACAAAGGACCACTACAGACACCCAGATCACATCAGCTCAATGAAGTGGTCTGGGTGCCAGGTCCTTCTAGTTTTAACCCTGCAGCTGAAAACATAGCCGTTTCGTATGGCTGTCTGTCTCATTGACAGCTGCTAGAGGAGCTTCCGCGATTCTCACTGTGAAAATCACAGTGAGAAGACACTGAACGTCCATAGGAAAGCATTGAGTAATGCTTTCCTATGGCGGTTTAAATGCGCGCGCGCGCCTCTTGCCACGCATTTGCATTTGGAGCTGAGAGGCGGACACTGGGGAGTCCGACGCTGGAGAAAGGTAAATGCTGAAGAGACACACACACTCTCACGAACAGACGCATACACACTCACTTACAAAACATACACTTTCACTGACAAACACACACTCACTAACAGACAAACACACTCAGTAACAGACACACACAGTAACACACTCACTAGCAGACACACACCCAATAACACAATAACAGACACACTCACTGACACACACACTAACACACGCACTAACACAAACACTAATACACGCACTAACACAAACACTAATACACACACTAACACAAACACTAATACACACACTAACACACACACTAACACACACACATACACTAACACACACACTAACACACAAATACTAGGACACACATATACTAACACACACACAAACACACACATACTAGGACACACATACACTAACACACACACACATACTAAGACCCACATACACTAACACACACATACTAACACACACACATACTAAGACCCACATACACTAACACACACATACTAACACACACATACTAACACACACATACTAACACACACACATACTAAGACCCACATACACTAACACACACATACTAAACACACACACACATACTAAACACACACACACACACACACTAACACACACATACTCACTAACACACACATACTAAGACACACACACACACTAACACATTTTTATTTTTTAAATGTAATCCCCCCAGCCTCCTTACCTATTGGAGTGCTGGGGGGATTCCCTGGGGTCCAGTGGTGCTGCTGGGCTCCTGGGTGGGCGGGCTGTCTGGGCAGGCGGGCGCGCGAGGGAGCTCTCTGCTCTGTGTGCTTCCTCTTCAGCTCCCTCGCGCGCCGCTTAGGGATGCCGGCGCCGGAAGATGACGTCATCTTCCGGCTCCGGTATCAGTGCGGTGCGCGAGGGAGCTGAAGAGGAAGCACTGAGTGCTCCCTCGCACGCCCGCCTGCCTGCCCGACTGGCCACCCGCCTGCCCGGTGACAGCAGGGCCAGCCTCTGGGGGCCCTGGGGTGGTCGGCTCCTGGGCCCCCCTGGGGAAGAGGCTGGCCCTGTGGCTACATACCGGGTCGCAGGGGCGGCCGAGCCCCCTGGTGGGCCGGGCCCGGTCGCAGCCGCGACCCCTGCGACCCTGGTATGTACGCCACTGCTACAGCCCCTAGCCACACATATTACACCACAAACACAAATGAAATCGACCTATTTACACAATACCACACCACAATCAGCTAATTCTACACACATGCAATCCCACAAGCAGGCTCCAAACACATGCACCATATGCTTTCCTGGCCCTTTTGTCCTCTGGTGTCCCACTTATGGAGACACCAGAGACAAGTTAAAACCAAACACAGCCTTTAACAGCCAGATTTGACCCTTGACATACAGATCATTCCAACATGACCCTTGTTTCACTGTAACATGTTACAATGTATTTTATAGTTCATTTTTATATTCACATCATGCCTGGAGTAGCTATGGTTATACGGTAAGTGGCCAGGATTTACCTGGGACATATGGAGGGTTTTCCAAATCATTTTGGGGACAGCCGTCCAGCGAGCCATTGACAAGGTTAGTAGGCTCATTCATGTCCTGTGATAGAGATAGAAGCAGTTACAACAAGGCTAGACAAGACTTCCCTCTAGCGGCTGACCCTAGGTTGTCATGTCTTACCTGACGTAAAGGAACACTTCATGCACCATAACCACTACATAGTAAAAACCCAAGTCCAGTTTCTGCTTTGACCAGTTTTTTTTAATTATCTCCCACAAAATTTGTTGCTATTTTGGTTGGTTTTGCAAACTGTTCACAATGTTGTTTAGTTTCTGAAAACCTTGGGTATTTAGGAGCAATGCTATTGTCGTGATCACATGGCCACAAGCTCCTTGCGGCCCAAGAATGCCTGCGTCACAAACTGGTATGATCTATGATTTAATGTCTGTAACAGATCATATGGCACCCCGACTGGGTACCTCCATTGAAGGATGCTCCTAGCGCTTCCTGAGGGCTCCAAGCACTCCAGCAGACACCTCCAGGAACTGGACGCTACTCAGTCCTGAGCACTCTGGAACCGAATAGGGAATTAGCTCTAGTCCTTACAAGGACTTTCCCCGTTGAGTCTCCTGCAAGCTGGAACAGCAGGCACAGGAGCAAATATTCTTCCCTCCAATAACTGGACGATACACGGTTTGGAGAGTAAGCAGGAACAGACAGAGCTGTGGTTTTATTGCTTCTTTTATACATATCATATTACACCATGTTACCACCCACATGGGTTTGTAGAACAGCCAGTCAAACATGTCCAATACAGTTAAACACTCCCACAGTTCATTCCCACAAAATCCTCCCCTCTGCCTATGATATAATTACTGTACACAATGGGTTAACATAATTATCACAGGCAGGAAAAATATACTTGTGACAGAACCATCTGTCTGCTGGATTTTTGCCCGTTCGTCTGTTTGTCCCCGTTCGTATGAATGGCTGGTTTCTATAGCCCAGCCATTCGAATGACTCTTTTTCCCGAACAAAACCGCCGAACGAACGGCCACCCAAGTGAGGAGTGTGCTGCAGGTTAACGAAGTGATCACCATTATAACGTTGTGGTTAACCGCAGACACTTCTCAATTAAACCGAACTCAGGGTGGTCGTCGTTCGTATGTCGACCACGAGGCAGCGGCCATTTTAAATCATGCGAACGCTCAGCGGTGTTTGGCTCTATTTCTATGGAACGGAAAACGGACACTTTTTCTGTCGAACACCGCTGAAACAAGGGAACGCCTGGCTGCCTCCACGAAAGCATGCGAACATCGGCCGTTCGGGAGATTGAGAACACACAAAAGACTTAACCCAGATAGCCCACCCATGGAGTCATTCGTGTACCGAAGGACTGTAAGAACTTTGACTCCATGGCGATTGAACTATGTGTGTGGGATCTGAGCGCTATTCGCCAATAATATGCACTCAGATCCAGGCTATCTGGGGACATGTAATACGAATGGGAAATGTTCAGTCTTCATGTAGTTATGCATTTTTGTGTCTTTTATTATTTCATGTTTAAGATGGCGACTGTCCTTGTCCTGGAGTTAATTGAGTTACTTGGTAATTAACTCCAGGACAGAGGGGAGGGAATCAGAATGTACTGTGGGTAAAATATGTGACTGTGTGTCAGAAATGTCCTGCTATCTGTCTGTACTTTAAGTCTTCCATTTGGTCCCCTAGGGGAGTGTCCACCAGGTGGGAGACCTGCATAAATACGGGCAGGTAGCCCACAGTAAACCCAGATCTTATTTGACCCTCAATGCGGAGCTTCTGTCTCGTTATTGGGGGGATTTCTTCTTCACGTTTAGAGACTGCTGGATGGAACGAAAGCCGCTTTGGGGATATTATTGTTCGACGGTTCCTAGCAGTTCGTATATTGCCGTTCGGGAGTTTGGAGCCGTTCGTGGATTTCGATCGGGAGATTGCCGCTTCCCCTGCATTTGGTTCGTGGGTTACAGAGTAAGCGAACAGAGACTGTACTGCAGCCGGGGAAGGTTTACTAAACGGCGGTTTGGCTTAAAGACACGGGAGGTGTCTTAACAATTGGTGGCAGCGGTGGGATGAATCCTACAGCACTGGAGGTCAGCTACAAGAGATGCAGTACGAGGAATTAAGGCGTGCTACACTTAAGGACATATTGGAACGCCGAGGAAGGTCAGCAAGCAATTTAAAGAAACGGGAGATTATTGCTTTGCTAATGGAGATGGATGCAGCAACGGGAATGGAAAGAGTCAACGTGCCCAGTACCTTGGATTTAACACCCGAGGAAATACAATTCAACCGGGCAGTACAAATAAGGCTGGCACATTTTGGCCCCAACCCCTCAGCTGACATCGTGGTTCGTGTGCAGGCAGCAGTTGCAACACAACAGGCAGCCCGGGAAAGAGGAGCTGCAGCAGCAGAGGTACCGTATGACAATAATGTGGTTGCTAGAAAAAAGGTACCTTTTGCTGCGTTTAAAAATTTTGTGGAAACAGAGGGAGAGATTGATGGATTTTTGGCAGACTTTGAGAGGCAGTGTGCGCTACATCAGGTACCTGCAGATGAATGGGTCACCATCCTCTCTGGGAAATTATCTGGCCGGGCTAGTGAAGCTTTTCGGGCCATCCCAGAGGAGGAGATCACCAGCTACCGGGCTGTGAAAGAGGCGCTCCTAGCCAGGTATGCAGTGACCCCAGAGGCGTACAGGCGGAGGTTTAGAGAAACCAACAAGCTGGTTGGGGACTCTTATGTGGAATGGGCCTGCAGAGTCCATCGTACCGCAGCCCACTGGATGGCTGGATGCCAAGCGGTAACTGGGGAGGAGGTGTTACAAGTGTTCCTGCTGGAGCACTGCTTTGATAGACTACCTGCTGGGGTCCGGGAATGGGTCAGAGACAGAAAACCCTCTACCCTACCCGAGGCTGCCCGTCTGGCAGACGAATACACGGATGCCCGCAAGTTGGATGGTACAGCTGCTAAAGCCCCTGCCAGACTGGAATATCGACCAGCAGTAACACCCGCTCCTGCAGTCTACCAACCCCCAGTACACCGTACCCCAGCCGCACCACCAGCTAACAATTATATGCAACCAGCCCGATTTAATGCCCGGGAGTACTCCCAACCCATCCGGTGCTATGGATGCAAGCAGTTGGGGCACAAGCGTCCTGAGTGCCCCCTGAACAGTGCCAACCAGGCTCAGTCCTGGAGGAGACCAGTTAACGGAAACCAGCGCCCACCTCAGCCTGCTGCTCACTGCCTAGAGCAGGAGGAATTTTGGGGCATTCTGCACGAGGCAGACCCAGTGCAAGCGGCTCACCAGGATAATCGCCAGCAACATCGGCAAACTGTGAAACTAAATGGCAGAGTGGTGAATGGGCTGAGAGACACAGGAGCCACGATGACACTGCTCCAAAAGAACTTGGTCTCAGAGCATCAACACACTGGAGACACTGTGGCAGTAAGGGTAGCAGGGGGTGCCGTGTTTCGCTTACCTGTTGCCCGAGTACATTTGGATTGGGGAGTGGGCGCTAGGCATGTGGATGTGGGGGTGATGAAGGACTTGCCCGCAGATGTTCTTTTGGGAAACGATTTGGCCCCTTTGGTTTCAGCCTATGCTCCGATGGGCCCTGCAGACGTGAACCCAGTGACCACCCGTGCCCAGACCCGTGCTGCCGGAACCAGCCCACTTGCTGACGAGACCCAGGTAAGATCTCCTTCCCCGACTGATACCCCAGATCAGGTCCCCTTAAGCTGGGATTCCCCAGAGGAGTTTGGGAGGGAAACCCGGGCGGATCCGACCCTCCAAAGATACAAGGACAGGGCAGAGGCTGGGGAGGAAGGAATAGATGGGGAACGGTATGAGTGGGTGGGGGACAGGTTATATAGGATCCCTAAACCTTCCCAGAAGAGTGTTGCCTCTCCGCCGAATCGCCAGTTAGTGGTACCTGCAAAGTACCGGCAGGAGATTCTGCGGATAGGGCATGATGTTCCTTTAGCTGGACATCTAGGGTCCCGCCGCACAGCCTATAGGATTTCACAGAACTTCTTTTGGCCAAACTTTAACCAGGCTGTGCGGATGTACTGCAGCACGTGTGACACATGTCAACGGGTAGGAAAGCGGGGGGACCACCCTAAGGCTAGGCTATTATCGATGCCTATTATAGGGGAGCCCTTTGCCCGCATAGCCGTTGACATTGTGGGTCCACTGGCCAGGGCTAGTCCATCCGGTAAGAAGTATGTTCTTACCGTGGTGGACTATGCCACCCGCTATCCAGAGGCAGTAGCGCTGTCTAACATAGAGGCAGAGACGGTTGCTGATGCCCTGGTTAGAATTTTTACTAGGGTCGGGTTCCCTAAGGAGATCCTCTCCGACCAGGGAACCCAATTCACCGCTGTGCTCACCCAGCAACTGTGGAAGGTGTGCGGCATTAAGCCGTTACTTAGCTCACCCTACCACCCACAGACTAACGGTCTCTGCGAGCGCTTTAACGGTACCCTCAAACAGATGCTGAGGACCTTTACAGACACTTGCAGAGACTGGGAGAGATTCCTGCCTCATCTATTATTTTCTTATAGAGAGGTGCCCCAGGAATCTACTGGGTTCTCCCCCTTTGAGCTGCTGTATGGGAGAAGGGTCCGCGGACCCCTAGATCTCATTAGAGGCCACTGGGAGGGGGAGACGGAGCAGGAAGGGACCCCCATAGTGCCATATGTTCTGGAACTCCGGGACCGCATGGAGAAACTGTCCCTGATGGTAAGGGAGAATCTCCAGGCGGCCCAGGGGAGACAGAAGAGATGGTACGATCAGGGTGCCCGACAGCGGGTCTTCCAGGTTGGGCAAAAGGTATTGGTGCTTAAACCTGTGAAGGCCAACAAGATGCAAGCATCTTGGCAGGGCCCGTACAAGGTAGTGGCGCAGATCTGCGACACTACTTACTTGATAGCCAGCTGTGCAGATGAGAGGATCCAGCGGTCCTTTCATGTGAACATGCTGAAAGAGTACCAGGAGAGACCTGAGAACATTGCAGCAGTGTGTGCCCCAGCTGCAGATGATTCTGAGAATTTACCCCTTCCAGATCTATTAGAAAGGGATTCCCAGACTGACCTTACTACCTTGGTACAGCTAGGGGACCGGTTGAACCCCACAGAAAGGGTACAGGCGCAGCAGTTGTTATGGGAGAAGCAGGCGACGTTCTCCCAGGAACCAGGTTATACCACCCTAGCTGTGCATAAGGTAGAGACCCCTGGACAGACCCCGTTACGACAGCCCCCCTACCGTATCCCTGAAGCAGTCCGTGAAGGAATGCGGAAGGAGATACAGGAGATGACCCAACTTGGGGTTATCGAGCACTCCGACAGCCCTTGGGCCTCGCCTGTAGTCCTGGTGCCAAAGAAAGATGGGACCACCCGGTTCTGTGTGGACTACAGGCGACTCAACGAGCGGACCACCACTGACGCCTACCCAATGCCCCGGGTAGACGAATTACTAGATCGTATTGCCAGGGGGCGATATCTGACCACCATAGACCTGTGTAAGGGCTACTGGCAGATCCCCCTGGCCGAGGATGCTATCCCCAAGTCGGCATTTGTCACCCCATTTGGCCTGTACCAATTTAAGGTCATGCCTTTTGGGATGAAAAATGCACCGGCTACTTTCCAACGGATGGTGGATAGACTCCTGGATGGCTTCCAAGAATTTGCCTGTGCATACTTGGACGACATTGCGATCTACAGTGGGTCCTGGGAGGAACACCTGGTACATGTAGGGGTAGTGCTGGATAAGATTAGGGCCGCTGGCCTGACGTTGAAGCCAGAAAAGTGTCATCTAGGTATGGCTGAAGTGCAGTACCTGGGTCACAGAGTGGGGTGTGGGAGCCAGAGACCAGAGCCAGCCAAGGTAGAAGCAGTGGCTAACTGGCCCACACCCACTACTAAGACCCAGGTATTGGCCTTCTTGGGGACGGCAGGGTACTACAGACGTTTTGTCCCTGACTACAGCGCTATCGCTAAGCCCCTGACAGACCTGACGAAGAAGAACTTGCCTAAGCAGGTCCTGTGGTCTCCGGCTTGTGAAGCTGCGTTCCAGGCACTGAAGCAGGCTCTTGTGAATGCCCCTGTCTTGGCTGCCCCAGTCCCTAACAAACGCTTTCTCGTCCATACAGATGCTTCCATGTATGGACTGGGGGCTGTGCTGAGCCAAGTCGGGGAAGATGGAGGAGAGCACCCTGTCGCATATCTCAGCAGAAAGTTGTTACCCAGAGAAGTGAGTTATGCGGCAGTGGAGAAGGAATGTTTGGCCTTGGTCTGGGCACTGAAAAAGTTAAGCCCCTATTTGTATGGGCAAGAGTTTTCCCTTGTGACTGATCACAACCCACTCGTTTGGCTTAACCGGGTCTCAGGAGACAATGGGAGACTGCTGAGATGGAGCTTGGCACTACAGCCCTACAATTTTACCATCAGCTACAGACCCGGTAAGCTAAACGGAAACGCAGATGGGTTGTCACGACAAACAGACGTTTCCATCACCTCGTAGTCCGGTCATCCCCAAGTTGACCCGCCACAGGGTCAAGCCGGGTCTGCCGGAGTGTCCCACAAGGAGGGAGCCGTGTGACAGAACCATCTGTCTGCTGGATTTTTGCCCGTTCGTCTGTTTGTCCCCGTTCGTATGAATGGCTGGTTTCTATAGCCCAGCCATTCGAATGACTCTTTTTCCCGAACAAAACCGCCGAACGAACGGCCACCCAAGTGAGGAGTGTGCTGCAGGTTAACGAAGTGATCACCATTATAACGTTGTGGTTAACCGCAGACACTTCTCAATTAAACCGAACTCAGGGTGGTCGTCGTTCGTATGTCGACCACGAGGCAGCGGCCATTTTAAATCATGCGAACGCTCAGCGGTGTTTGGCTCTATTTCTATGGAACGGAAAACGGACACTTTTTCTGTCGAACACCGCTGAAACAAGGGAACGCCTGGCTGCCTCCACGAAAGCATGCGAACATCGGCCGTTCGGGAGATTGAGAACACACAAAAGACTTAACCCAGATAGCCCACCCATGGAGTCATTCGTGTACCGAAGGACTGTAAGAACTTTGACTCCATGGCGATTGAACTATGTGTGTGGGATCTGAGCGCTATTCGCCAATAATATGCACTCAGATCCAGGCTATCTGGGGACATGTAATACGAATGGGAAATGTTCAGTCTTCATGTAGTTATGCATTTTTGTGTCTTTTATTATTTCATGTTTAAGATGGCGACTGTCCTTGTCCTGGAGTTAATTGAGTTACTTGGTAATTAACTCCAGGACAGAGGGGAGGGAATCAGAATGTACTGTGGGTAAAATATGTGACTGTGTGTCAGAAATGTCCTGCTATCTGTCTGTACTTTAAGTCTTCCATTTGGTCCCCTAGGGGAGTGTCCACCAGGTGGGAGACCTGCATAAATACGGGCAGGTAGCCCACAGTAAACCCAGATCTTATTTGACCCTCAATGCGGAGCTTCTGTCTCGTTATTGGGGGGATTTCTTCTTCACGTTTAGAGACTGCTGGATGGAACGAAAGCCGCTTTGGGGATATTATTGTTCGACGGTTCCTAGCAGTTCGTATATTGCCGTTCGGGAGTTTGGAGCCGTTCGTGGATTTCGATCGGGAGATTGCCGCTTCCCCTGCATTTGGTTCGTGGGTTACAGAGTAAGCGAACAGAGACTGTACTGCAGCCGGGGAAGGTTTACTAAACGGCGGTTTGGCTTAAAGACATGGGAGGTGTCGTAACAATACTTTTTACACATTTACTATAACTTTAAAAATATACATCCAGTCTCCATAAAAGTTACATATTATTAATCGGCACACTTCAAATATAGACATATCCAAAAATCATACAATTCCCTGCAGGGGTTAAAAAGTTATTTGGAAGTCCTTCTTGACCGACCGCAAGCATGCTTTCCTGCCCAAATCAGTTCCATAGTTTTTGGCTGTGCGGTCAGTCAATTTCACTCAGAAAAATGACTAAGTCCCATTCGAATGCGCAAACGGGGCACCGTTCGTGCATATAGCTTAGTCTCACTGTGCGTTCAAATTGTCGAACGGGACTTAGTTTTCAGCCGCAGTGTCTAAGTGGAGGAGAAGGTAGGGGTCACAAAGATGGCCGCCACCACGTGTTCGACTGCATGAACAAAGGCCACCCAGCAGTTGGCAATTAACCTGCGGTTAACCGCCAGCCTGGGAGGTAAATTAGCCGCACACTTTCCTTCTGTGCGGTCCGCCTATACAGTAATTGGTTCGGTAAGCCCCATTTACCGAACCAAATAGGAAAAAGCCACGAACCAAGTATTTTAAAGGTCTGGGACACAGTCTTAAAGGGGCATTGTTCCCAAAAGTGTCAATATTCCCCAATAACAGTTTTAAAGGGCCATACAATCCTGGGGCAAAAGGCGAGCAATCAGGCCTCCAGAAACCAATGGCGAGGTCACTTTCGCCACAATGTCAGTGCCTGACGCACACAGGGAAATAAAGTGATGGACTTCTCACAGGGAAAAATATAACTGTACCCGAAAAAATGTACGGATCGGAATACCTTCTGTTAAAAAAAACAACAACGAAATGAAGAACATGGTGTATATCTGCGCTACGATACCCGAGTTATACAGAAAAACTTTACCTGATTTGTTCTCAGGTCGGTAGCAGTATCTGCCTAGAGAGTTACATTTTTAGCACAAGTTATTTTCGGTGTGATTTTCCCATAGTTACAGTTTTGTTACTGATTCTGAGAACTTAGAGGTTAGTAATAGTTTGTTCCAACTATTTGTTATTGCTTGCTGACCTTGTGTGGCTATATATATATCTCTGCTGCCCCCATGTGGCCATTTATCTCTTTGCTAGTTCTGTTTGGGTAATTATCTCTTTGCTCCCCCTAGTCCATATATCCCTCTGCTGCCCCAGTGTGGCCATTTATCTCTCTCTTGTCCCCAGTGTGGCCATTTATCTCTCTCCTGCCCCCATGTGGCCATTTATCTATTGCTGCTCCCAGGTGTCCAAATATCTCTTTGCTGCCCCCGTGTTGCCCTATATCTCTCTCCTGCCCCCATGTGGTCACTTGTCTCTCTGCTACCCAAGGGTGGTCATATAACTCTCTAACAACCTCCTGTGGCCATATATCACATTCCTGCCCCCATGTGGCTATATAATTCTCTGCTTTCATATATCTCTGTCGCCCCCAGGTAGTTACTCTTACTGCTACGGTCCCCACGACGTGTTGACACAATGCGTGCCTCCCAGCCATTATCTCATTGAGCATACATTGGCTAAGTAATCTCTAACGCACAATATAATCATAGTGGCTGATTTCACTGAATTTTCTCTCTTTTTTTCGTCTGATCTCGGCTATTGCATATATGATCAGATGATAGATTCTATAACTTTACACAATAGAATGCAAAGAGAATGGTTACTTACTAGCCACATCCCATCAAAAGGCACCTGGTCGTGGAAACTCTTTACCATGTCATGCCACCAATCCAATGTCTCTGGGTTTGTGAAATCGGGGTACACGTTGGGACCTGGCCAGACCTGGGCAATGGATACATATACAGAATGAGTGAAAGTTTTTACCAAGGGCCACCAGGATCGGATTGGCAACCGCAGAGATCACTACAGGTGAGTCACCGTATGTATTCTAAGGGGCAATGGAGCTCTGAGATAGCTAATGGGGAAAGGCTTTAAAAGTGGTTCAGCAGTAACATTCCATCGGCTTCCCATCCAGAACTTTGACCCAGAATTGATTTATACAAAGAACCATCAGTGGCTTTGAATGACAAAGCATGAACCGAAAACTTATTTTTACACAGGATGGAAAAAGCATACAAATAGAAAACTAATGGTCAAAATTAAAAAACAAAAGTAACTCAATTTTTAAGTATTATAGAAAGTATAACTGAACCAGTAATTCTGTAAATATAGGAGACTGCCATGACATTTAGAAAGAACCACACAATGGTGAAAATAATAAATTCTATCGTTTTAAAGCTGTAATGCCACTTTTAACATTTTCAAAAAATAGAAAAGAATAGAAAACGTGAAAAACATGTAAATAGAGAAAATTTATTGAAATATCAACACAACCAGAATGCAAACATGAGATAAAGAAAGGACTATTTGTGCTGTGTCCTTGTATGCACCACGTTCTGTCTCTTTCAGCTCTTACACTGTTAAAGTATCTAACGACAGCCTCACATTGTGAGTTTGTGATGTCATCTGGAGAAGATCACACATAATCTTCCATAATGTACACAATGAGAGTAATACTCTTGTGCATGCGCAAGTGCACATCATGGACGCAGGCTCCTGATAGAGGAAACCGCCAGATAGAATTTCAGTGTGTTTCACCTCATTGAGTTTGCATAAAGTTGGTAAAGAACTTCCAAACTGAAGTTAGTTCTTAAACCAGGTGATTAAGGTAGTGGCCCTACCCATTTGTACAGGTGACCATATAAGCATTTTACTTCTTTTTTTAGGTGTCAGAATGCTTTCTCACTACAGCGACTAGTATGGGAACTATAACTAAAAAGACATGGATTCATAAATTGCCACCATTAGAAATTCTGTGCCCTCCTAGGTTATTACCTTGCCCTCAAGGGGTTCCCCGGTCTCATTGGTGACAAACACGCCTCTCTTCAGTCCATCGTCGTATGGAGGATACGTCCCAGGAGGGGTTGTACTACTGATTGCTGGCTCCTGAAATGTGGTGGTAGAAATGGGTGAAAAACACTGCAATATCTCAGTTTCCCACTAGTATGGAGCAAATGTAACACTTTCTCAGACATTACAATGTTTGTTTTTCTGGAGTCAAATAGAAGTGGGATTTAATACATGAATATTCAAATAAACCACAAAGCACTCTGCGCCCACACAGACCAGATTCTGGATTCTCACCACAATCAGAACATATTTAATTCCTTGTTCATGGAACTCCTTCACCATTTCTGGAAAATCGCCAAAGTTTTTCGGGTCATATGTGAAATCCCTGTAACTGTCCATGTAATCGATATCATTCCACTGGACGTCCTTAATTGGAGACAGAGAAACAGTAAGAACGATTCATCTCCTCCTCGGCCTGCTTCCACAAACTAAATCCATATGAAATACGTGCACATACTTTAACTAATGTTGCTTATGCTTTTAATAATATTTTTTTTTAATAAAGGAGACACATTACAGATGAGAAAAGTAGAAACATTATAAACAACATGAAAAGGAGATATTAAAAAAAAAGTAGTGCACAAAGGTGAAGATTCTACATGAAGACCAAGCTTAATCCCTATTCACCAAAAACAGCATCTAGGAGATTCACGCACCATGTTCTGTGTGTGACTTATAATAAATAAAAGAGAGGAAAGTTAAAGGAAATTCTGGAGTAGTAAGTGTTAAAGTGGGTATTGTAGAGACTAATTAGAACCAAAGGAATATTTCTGACAATTCTTTTGGTAATCAAATTCATGGATCTTCTGTAATACAATCCACTAACAAGAGGTACCAACTGGTTACATTTTAGAACATCTCAAAGTTCTATTGACGTTCATCATATTTTTTTTTAAAGTAATTTTCAGTTCCCTCTGTTGCCAGACTACTATTTAAAATTGCTTGTATTGTTTTTCAACCTTCTGGACAAGTAAAGGGTCCGTTTATGCTTGTTCAAAGCTGCTTTGATGGAGACACCAAAAGCCCTGAATGCAAAACTCAATTGTATTCATTGTTTTTGACAATTGCTTTTAATGTTACATTGTCTCTGTAGTGTTAAACATTTTTCCAGCTGTAGATTAGAAAAAAATATATAGTCAGCGTGCATGTTTCATTGGCCGGGGGAAATATTTTTCATTCTAAGTCATCCAGGTGGAAGACAAGCTGGTCTACGGAGTACCAATTGAGTAAGAAATGTGGCCCTCACGATTAAACCCAAATTGGGAATATTTTCTGTTCTGACATCAGCATCACTGATACAAAACAGTAGGGAGGGCCAGCACTCTACTAGGTATTTGTGTGCAAATCTCCAAAGTCTCCACCCAATATCTAACATACAGTTTAAAAAAACAAACACAATAATGAGCCACAACACCAAAATAAATGTCAAAGAGATTTATTCCACCATTGTGGAACCAGGAAACGTTTTGACCCTACTAAAGGGTCTTTGACAAAGACCCTGAAGTTGGGTAGAAACGTTGGAATAAATCTCGTTGACGTTTATTTTGGTGTTAAAGATAGAGCAAAGTGTGTTGGCGCTTCAAATAAAGAAAATAGAAAAAGAGGGGTGTATTGTTAGGTGTATCCCATTTACACACCTGTAGTAATTGTGAAAGTAAAAAGTAATAATACACCCCCCAAAAAATGTGAACACACATATAATACTTAACACAGTAGCTGAACACAAGGCAAGCAGAGCGATCTACAAAAGATAAAATGGAAAACACATCGCGCTCACTGAATATAATAAACCAGACATAAAAATAAGTGAAATAAAACTCACACAGCTCTCCGCTTTATGTATGGTTTATTTTTGGTTTACAAATTCCACTGTCAAGATGCAGCCTTTCAGTGTCTATGAATTATTTCTAGTTTATGAAATTACCCCAGAAAGCCAGGGTAATAATGTTATGACATATTGAGCATTGGGAGACCCTCTTACCAGAGGAAACCCGGCAGCTGTCATGTTTTCCACAGCTTCCCGAGTCATTTTGGTCGATGTATATCCCCAGCGACTCAAGTGGAATCCAAGACCCCAGTAAGGTGGCATGAAAGGAAAACCTGCAAGGAGAGTCGGTTATCCTCAAAATACCCATTAACCTCTACTTTATGAAATAAATGACATTTATTTGGTAAAGTCCTATAAAGTTCTAGAATTTTCAACCTTTTTTTAGTTTGTGTATCAATGCGTTTCTTATATTAGATTCAGCCAATCCATGAAGGTAATGAAGTGATATTTGAATGGTAGAACTAGCTTCAAAAACACATTGTAATCTGTTTCACATCAAAGATTTCAGTCCATGAAAAGCTTGTTGCACAAAGAAAGTCCTACACCGAGTGAATGCTCTTCTTATGACGTTTGACTACAATCTCAGACAATAAGGACTTGCTAGCAGCAGCAGACTGAGATAAGTTCTACATACATATAAAATATGGAACAGTGACAAAAACCCATCTGTCCATCTATCCATCCATCCATCCATCCATTCATTCAACTGTTCATCCATCCTTCCTGTTATCTCTTGTCCATGCACAGACAAAATTCTGTGGTACTGATCATGCCATGATCATAATAATCTCTCCAGTCTCTCTAGACATCCAGTGGTTATGGGGCGCTTACCGATGACCTCATGGTACTGTCGGATCACGGATTTAGGTTCGGGCCCCAGGAAAACATAAAAGTCAAAGATCCCTCCTGTGGTTCTCCAGGTCAGTGCGGGAGCTTCCTGCAACAGGACATCTAGAAATAGGATACAGAACAGTCATATATACTTTGGGAATCAGAGATATCAACTTTCTATATTAGAAAGAATCAGAAGTCTGTTCCTGGCCATGCAAGCACTTTGATAACCCGATTCAAAGAAATGTGCTAAATTGTTTAAAAATAAACATAAATTTGGAACTAAAGAGTAAAGTGGGTAAAACCCTTTAAGAGCCAAGAATTTCAGGGGACCCTTGACTGCCAGGTCCACTAGATGGAGGGAGCTAAAAATGGAGAAAGAAAAAAGGTCTGGGTGGGGGGAGTAAGTGACAGATTTCAAATGATTAAGTCTAGAGTAATTAAAACAATTAAAAAACTTGAAAAAATACTGATCAAATACCCAACCAGTGTATTTTCAAAATATAAAGGAGATTACATGGTCATTAATCGGTGACTCTAGGCATCAAGACAACAACTTAATCTAATGAAGTTGTTATGTTGCCAGGAGGTCACAGATGCTTTCTCACCTTAAGAGCTTAAACCATTTAGGACTTACAAACTTGGAGGAACCTTGTTATTATTATTATTATTATTATTGTCATTTATATAGAGACAACAGATTCTGTAGTGCTTTACAATATTATGAGAGGGGGATTTAACTATAACTAAGACAATTACAAGAAAACTTACCGGAACGATAGGTTAAAGAGGACCCTGCTCAAACGAGCTTACAGTTGTTCACTCATGTTTATAAATGGGGAGCAAGCGACAGGTTGGGAGCATCAGCTGAGTAGAGTGAATAGGAGCTGTCTTTGCAAGTTTGATAAAACCAAGACCTCCTGGCACTGTAACAACTTCGTTATGGTGAAGATGTTATGATGCTTAGAATGTCCATTTAATTATATTGTGATCGACTTGTCTAATACAGAAAAATCACATCTACCCCTACTGGCAGTGCAACTAAACCTTATACTTACCCATGGCATTACTGTTGAGAAGGAAGACGCCATGGGCAGAGCCATCCTTCTCCATGGAAAGATAGAAAGGATGAGTCCCGTACAAGTTGGAATTTTTCTGAGGAGACAAAAAGTGATCCGAATCAGTCAGACATTATCTGGTGACCTGCAATGGATC